AAGAAACGCATATCCAGATGCAAGAACCTGAAGATCTCTCAAGTTTTTCGAGCTCTTGTGATCTAAACAACAACAACAACAACAATTCGATTCCTTTCAGTTACCCTCTTCATCACGTCCAAGAACCTAATCAACAGCTACAACAAGAACAACAACAACAACAACAACAATATTGTTCTTCTGGCACCTTCAATGGGTTACAAGAAGACATGTGGTGTCTTCAACTTCAAGATTCATCAACGACAGTGAATATCAAAGGTGGCTTCATTGATGAATGTGAGGACGTTAAGCCTGTGGAAGAAGTTTCTAGCGAGAGAATCGAGTTTGAGCACCATGATGGTTTCGTTGAACAACGGAAACTAGATTTGCCTTCTGCACAATTCATCATTTCTTCTTAGCTTTTTTCTTTCCTTCCTCTCTTGCATTTTTTCTTGATTTAAGAATCACTTTTCTAGCCTCCATTGATCGATAGATTTGGTATTTTTGTGCTTTTTTCGTTTGGATTTTTTGTATGTCATTTGCTAATTTGTCCTAGGATTAGATGAGAAAGATGTTTGGAATCTTCAAAATAGTATGTTGCACAAGAAATTGATGGAATAAATAAAACTTAGCCGAGAAAATTAATTATTCTCGTTTAATAGCTTAACTCATAAAGAATAAAAACAGGCCCATGAAGAATCATTAATAGAGGCCTTGTCATCAAAAAAGGCCCATTTAATACTGAAACAATAGCATTTCTCCCACATCGCTCAGATACAGAGAAGAAGCTGTTTTTATATAGCGTTGGAGTGACATAGATGATTGTCCCTTCGGTGACATCCGATAAAATTGGAACGATACAGAGAAGATTAGCATGGCCCCTGCGCAAGGATGACATGCACAAATCGAGAAATGGTCTAAATTTTTATTTTTTTGCCAAAATTTTCCTGATCCATTTCTTCTTCCTCTGTTTTTCTGCGACTGTAACTTAAGTTTTCGATGCAAATCTGATCGATTTCTTCACGTTCTGTTATTCTAGGTTTCGATTTGTATCATTTTTGTTGTTTCTGGAAACGTAACTGAAGTTTTGGTTGCAAATCTGCGCAAAAGAGAAAGGCTCGAGTTTTCTGAAACCATTGATATTCATTCATTCACGATAAAACAGAGGTTTCGCACTAATTCATTGGTTTGGTTTTTGATGAAATACTTACACCAGCAATCTGATCTGTCCGATTGTCGGAAAGATCTGAGTCTCTTAAAAATAAGATGCATGCAATGATGCAAGTTCTTGAGAATTTGCAGCAAAAAAAGAATTTCTCTTGTTAAAATCAAGTCTCTGTGATTTGTAATAACACTTTTAAGGCTCGAAACAACCACGTGATACAAGTTTGCATCCCACAAAATTCATAATCAGACCCACACCAAATTAAATCCAAGAATGTTTCTAACTTCGTAGGAGAAAGATTTAAGATTCTTTCGCAGAAGTGGTCGGTCAGTCACATCACATGCCCATGGCGGACATATCAGGGACATGGCTTTGTGTTTTCTCGTCTGCACTCACAAGCACCGAAGCCTCTGTTGTTGTCAAAAGCAAAGAAATGCTGCGTTTTGGGACACAAAAGCAAAAACACATGAGTCACATGGTTAATCTAATAGAAGCAAATCAAGCAATAACGGTTTGAGTTTTGGGACACTCTTCTTACCTAGCGGCGTCGGTTAAGGCGGATTTGATAACCTTGACCGGGTCTATGATTCCAGCTTTTACCATATCAACATAAGTACCTAGAAAACAAAGCAGGCAGACAAATTCAGAGACTGATGAGGTTTGCCTCTTGAGAGACGTTTTTAAAAGATACTATTTACTCTCACCTTTGGCTGCATCGAAACCGTAATTGAAATCGTCTTGCTCCAATAACTTGCCAACCACTAAAGAACCATCGTAACCAGCATTTGCAGCTATTGTTACTGCAGGAGCCTACACAAGATTCACAACTTCTTGTCACGGTTTACACTTTTTGGAGCTGAGAGATTTTTTTCAATCAAAGAAGTTGGAGATCAAACCTTGAGAGCATTCTGAACTATCTGAACACCTCTTCTTTGATCCTCGTTTTGAGTTTGAAGGTTGTCTAAAGCCTTTGTAGCATACAATAGAGCCACACCACCACCTAGGATTTCGAAATTACAACAGTTATACGCAACATAACGAAATTATCATCAGAGGAAATATAGAGAGAAACGAATAAGATTTACTTACCAGGTATGATGCCTTCTTCTACAGCTGCTCTTGTGGCATTCAAAGCATCAGTGACTCTGTCTTTTCTTTCTCCAACTTCAGCTTCGCTTGATCCTCCCACCTAAACAAGAAACCAGACATACATCAGCTACTTTGGCCTGTAAGAGTTGAAAAATGCTGATTGATGGTTGTGAGTTGTGACTAACCTTGAAGACAGCAACGCCACCTGATAGTTTTGAGAGTCTTTCTTGCGTTTTCTCTTTATCAAAAGCGGATGTGCTCTTTTCATTGGCTGACCTTAACTATAGAGCATGAGAATAAAAACGGAGATTTATATTTCTGTATAATAGTGAGCAAGATTCATGATAGAGATAGTGTAAGAAATAATCATATACCTCTTCACATCTTTCTTCGATCAGCTTCTTATCGCCACCACCGTGCAGGATGATAGTGTCATCACGAGAGATAGTGACCTTAATTCAACGAATTTGTATTAGATTCGGATCTTGACAACAAATCACAAGCAGAAACCAAATATATTTGTCTCCTCTTACCTTCTTCGCAGTTCCTAGCAATTCAGGACGAATTTTGTCAAGAGTTAGACCGCGCTCCTCAGAGATTACCTGTGTGTAAACCCCCGAGTTAGAAAATGAAAAAAGTGAGACAAACATAACTACCTGTTGTTCCTGAGAAATTTTTACCTCTGCACCAGTAAGAACCGCAAGATCATCTAAGCTTGCTTTCCTGCTGTCACCAAAACCTGGAGCCTTGATAGCGCATACCTTGAGCCCAGCATGATGCTTGTTCAGAATAAGCATAGCTAATGCATCACTTTCTACATCTTCGGCGACAACAAGAAGTGGCCTGCTGCTCTGCAGAGCCATAATCAATAAGAGAAAGAAATGAGCACTATTTCTTAAAGCAAAGTTTCGAAAAACCGGAATTCAGAACATAGTAATAGATAATCACGGAAAAGCTTTACTTTCACAGCTGCCTCTAGAACTTTCAACAGCGCGTTCATGTCTGAAACCTTCTTCTCGTGAATGAGGATGATGGGATTCTCAAGCTCCTGCAAACCAACGCCATATTTAGTTCAATGACCTTTCTTTTGCCTTAGCTTTCGGGTGAGACATATTAATTCCACATCATACCAACCATAAAGATATGAACTTACACATTTCTGAGTCTTCTCATCTGTGATGAAATAAGGAGAAATGTAACCTCTGGCTAGCTTCATTCCCTCCACTACTTCTAGCTCGTTCTCTAAAGTGTTCCCATCCTGCGTATTCAAAGAACAAAATAAAGAGATATAGCGATAAGTCAATCATCCTCTGATCCAGTTACAAGGCATGAGAAGAAAAGTAAGCTTACAGCAACTGTGATAACCCCTTCCTTTCCAACTTTCTCCATGGCTCTTGCAATCAGTTCCCCAATCTCACGCTCTCCGTTTGCAGATATAGTAGCAACCTATCAAAATTCCATATGCCAGAGCAGTAAGGGATCAACTTCTGGCACAGAGAGTTGTGACTTAATGAATCTGTTTCTAAAATCACCTGAGTGATCTCTTCTGGGGTGCTAATCATAACGGCCCTGCTTTTCAAATCAGATACAACTGCAGCAATTGCCATATTAATGCCACTACGCAAATCCATCACATTTACACCAGCAGCTACTGACTTGCAGCCTTCGATGAGTATCGCCTGAGTCAAAACAGTCGCACAAGTGGTACCTATGTAACAAAAGGAAGCATACATGAGAATTTCTCCTATTATTATCAAAAACTCATTCAATATTTATAACTCAAAAGAGGGAATTTAGTCATTTTACCATCTCCAGCAACCTTGTTAGTGGCACTTGCAACCTGTTTCACGAGCTCTGCACCCATATGCTTAGCTTTACCGTCAAATGATATGCTTTTTGCCACGGTGACACCGTCCTTTGTGATCTTTGGTGCGCCAAAACTGCTCTCAATTATCACATTTCTTCCCTAAAATCACCCAATTATATAAAGATATTGAATTTGAACGAAGAGCAACCTCCATTTCATTGATTTAAACCTTCTGAGAACAACAACAAAGAAAGAAAAAAATTACCTTTGGTCCCATAGTGACTTTCACAGCTTCTGCAACTTCAGATACACCTTGCAACATAGCTGCTCGAGCTCCAACCCCGAAATTGATATCCTTAGCCACATAGTTTCTGCTGCTTATAATCCGCCCAGAAACCTTTATGGTAACAGAACAACAAAACAAAATCAAAACCGTAAATTTATAACTTTATATAGGTTCGGCCAATTGAAGCTAATCGTTCTGGAGCTAGAAGATCCTGTACAGTATTTGGAACCGATCAAAACCAGGAACTTCGGCAAATTCAGACTCAAAGGTAGAAACTTTTTGATGCAAAGACCTAAATTTTTGTTTCCTTGCATCACTGATGCAACTATCTGGACTTGTAGTTTGATTTGTAATTCGGCACATTTCTAACTTTTTTTCTCGATTACCAACCAACACGAATGCTCAATAAACCAAAAATGCAATCAAACTCGTAAGAAGACCCATAGAAGTTCACGAGACTCACCAGTTTCCTGGAAGCAGACGAGCTGGAAGACCATCAAAACCCAGAAACAGAAAGAAGAAGAAAAAGCTCATCAGTGCAAATTGATGGAGAATATTATAAGTTTTAAGTAAGCTCACTGAATGAAAGAACGAAAGCGTACCCAATTGAAGAAGATAACTTTGACAGCACTCGGTACATTTTCGCTTGCAAAGGAGTTTAGAAAGAGAGGCTTCAAGGGTTTAGGGTTTTAGTATGACGATCAGTGGAATCTGCTAAGGAATTCAAGTTTTTTTTTTTTTCTCTTTAGAGAAAAGAAAAGCAAAAAGTCTGGAACTTTCTGTGTTCTTTTGGTTAAACTCTGTTTCTGCAACTCCATGGTTAGGTTTTAACTTCATCCATTTCAAAAATTAGGCCCACAATTACTTTTCCAATGGCCCAAAACTCTCATTTTTCAAATGATTTGCGACGTTAGAAAATATTTTTAGCTGAAACTTCAATCAACTTCAATCAACAAACCAATCTGAATTTCACATATAACCAAAAACCGGTTTTTTCTTCAAGTAACATTCTTTCATCAGATACAATAAAACCACATCACTACAGAACTCGCAAACAAATCATGAGTATATTTTTGTCTGCATCAGAATCTTTGTCTAGGAACATACAAGAACACTTTGGCACATGCAAGAGGAACCAATGCCTTCGGAGACATGCAAGATATGGCTCTCGGTGAATCCCTCTCTGATCAACACCAAAAATGAGAGCTACCCTCTTTATAGGTAACGAATTTTAAGTTTCTAGGTTCGTGGGGCTAGCACAACAGCTTGAGCTTGTCTAGTTCTTCGTACTATGCACTCGTATCAATGGGAACGTTTTTTGCTGGAGACGAACCAGAGCTGCTGCTACTGCTGCTTTCCCCATTGGTTGTAACATCAGATTGAGCTGAGGAGTGCATCGAAGTCTGATTGCTGTTTGTGGATGGCGCTTGTCCTTCTTCCGCCAGCTTTCGTAGGAGGTTCATGACTGTTGGAAGGAATTTGGTTGATAAGGAAAGAAGTCCAGGTAGCTGTTGTTTGATCACAGATGAAACATTGCCATTTTCAGAGAGATTCTAATTGAAATCAAATGAATAACAGGTGAGAAAGTGGAAACAGTGATGTTGAAAAACTTGCTCATACCGCTCCATTGCGGAATTCTCCTGAAATGTTTAATTGCACCCACAAGGCTTTGGAAACAAGGTATCCGACGAAAAGAACACCGAGCCATAGAGGATTTCTGCCACAAGAGATGCAGGCAAGAAAAGCCAGGTAAGTAGAGAATCTTATTTATATGAAAAAGCTGATAGATTTTAAGGGTAAGAGTACCTTAAGAGAGTCATAAATTCGTTGAACCCAAGAACAACCAGGGCAAGGATTGCCCAAGGAGGTGGCAACCAGTTGTTATTCCGTCGGTTAGCTTCCTGAAATTCAATGCGACTTTGTTCAGATCTAAACCTCTAAATGAGCAAGGAGATAAGAAGCTAGAACAACATGACCATTTTATAACTTTTTATAGCACTGCCAAATTTTACCATCAGCACAGTAAATGAAATGGCCTGAAGTTTATTATTTACCTGTGCAGAAATGGCCTGTGTAACGGTATATTCTGTCTCGTTCTTGAATTGCCTCCACAGTGATTTACACTGTACAGGCGTGATTAACGTCTTTTCTGCTGGAACCTGATAATACGGATGTAAGAGTAAGAATCTTTTATATCTCAAAGGCGTGAGCAATAAATGTGGGACATTTGTGAGGTGTTACTGTAGTCACCTGCTCCCAAGTGCTTGAGGCGAGTGAATCAATGGTGCTGATGCTCTTGCTTGTAGCATTGTTGCCAGTAGAATTAAACAGAGCTAGAGTCAATGTCTTCTCAATATTGTCGAGTTCATCATCCAAGCGGATAACAGCCATAACAGAAAGCAGCTTCAAGGACTAGCAAAATAGATAACGAGGGTAACATCAAAATCTCAAGAATTTTGCAATCGAGTCATAGAGTAGGTGATGGGATATTGCTATATCAGGGTAGGGTTCATACTGCAGAACGAGCCATTTTGGTGATTGCTCTGATGTCCTCCTTTCCAGTCCAAACACGTGGCATTGAATCAGAATCATGGCTGAAGATTGTAGCAAATCTGAATGGAAGTTTATATAAATAAGAAAGCTGTTTAAGAGATGGAAGTTATTGGATAAAGAAATTACGAAAGACTAGTAAAATGGCTGTCACCTATCCTTCATGCGCATCAACGCTCTTCCAGCCTCTTCCTTTGCCTTCGTTTCAACAATACCTCGTGCATAGTTCTCAAGGTCAGCGAGCATTTTATTCCGTAGATCTTCATCCATTTCGAAACCAGATAGTGCGTCGGAGAGACCATAGACAGCCAATTCTCCTTCCCGTCTTAGTAGCTTTCTTATTGCTGGCCATGTTTCATCATTAGCTCCATCGAGGAGAGCTTCCACCGGTCCGGATAATGCTACATTTAGTTTTGACTGCAATGAAAATTCTTTATTAGAAAGGTCCAGATAAGAGTTTAAGCCTGTTTGGTGCTAGATTATCCAGCCAAATATATGTATGGCTTCCGCTTGAGAATTTTATTTACCTGGTACAGAGTCGTCAGTTCAGACAACTTGGCTGTACGGACAGACGAGATATGGGCTTCAATATCACGCTGAAGCTTTTCCCGAGTTTTCAATGTATCCCAATTTGCTTGTTCAATAACAGCCTCTGCAACAAAACATTTCGTTTATGATTCGCATTGATGTCGGATATTTTTTCATGCTTCTTTCGTATAATAATCTTCAGGTATATCACAATATTTTCAGCCGTAACATCAACAATAAGCTATACCTTCACATCCTTTATCAAACATAGACAAGCATGACCGAGCGCAGGAGTCCTCTGAGGATGAAAACCCTTCTCCAGCATTCAAGGCCTTCTCAAAAGCATCCTTGAAGTTTTCAAGTGCTCCAGATCTCAAATGTCCAAGCAAGTCTTGGAAAGTTGGTTGAACAAGCTGGATAGGACAACAAGAAAATAAATGACTAGTACCAGGTATCTGCTTTTACAACGATGCATCTGAATGTTTCCAGGCCACGCATGATTGCGACAAAACACAAATATAATAGTCATAAGTTAAGAGTATATGCATTACTTGCAGTAACTTTTCTTGCAACTGTTGTCTCTTGGATGATCTTACACTTTCCTCAAAGTATGTCGCTTCTGTGTCATACCTATGAAACAAATATCAAAAAATCAGGAAACGCATGACAAGGAAATTCCTACCCTCCTAGAATCAAATATTTGCACACAGGAAAAATTTTGTACGGAAAATTCAGCACGAGATTCTTACTCTGATAAGGAAGACTGGAGAATTGAGCTCAGCTTTCTTCCAAATCCGGAAACAGGACCAGACTGTACAGCTTCTTCCAACTCACGCCAATTCTGTACAAAAGTTTAGATGTGAATATTAAGGAAAGAGCCACTGAAAAGGATAAAACGTAAATCAGAATTAAGAAATTCACCTCATTCTCGATAAAACTAGAGAATTTTTCATTAGCAATTTCCTCACATCGCACAGTTGCTACCATGACCTGCGTGTAAGCAGCGCGTAAATAACAAGACCGTAAACAACAATGACATAAGGGTGATGTGGAGACAGCCTTAAGCAAGCAAAATTACCTTGTGTGCTGGAAGATCCAAGTCTTTGTTTTCTTTGATGACTTCCCACATCTGCTTTGCACTAAAAGCAAACGCATTGGCAGGGACAACTCCTCGTCGATCACCAGCAAGTCCGCCAGGTGCGACAGAGTGGAAGAACCGTTGTCTCAAATTATAGACCTTTTGTTTACAGAAACAAATTATTGGAAAAGCATTAATATAACCAACAAGCCATTTGTTGAGCAATAAGTCACGTAAGGTGACCCTGGATTTTCTCCAAAATGTAAAGCTAATTGTGAAAGAACCTGCTCTTTGAATAGCTCTTCCTTTTCTTCATAACTAGAGAGAGCAACTACTTCAACCTGTTACACAATAAAAGACTCCATTCATTGCTCCAAGCAAAAGAAGTATGATAAAGTTCTTATCCAATGATCAAGTAGTCGTACATTGAAGAAATCACTGAGTGGAGTTTCTTTGTGTGCTTGAGGCTTGGGAACTGAATCCCATATCTGCATCGAAGGACAAAATATAAGGGATTGCACTATTAGTTAAAGCACAAATAGCACATAAAAGCTTATAGTCTGTCTCTTCTTTTACCTTTTGAATGTCTTCCCTTAGAACTGGTTCTAAATTTTCCAGCGGCGTCTGCAAATATTCAGGAATTATAAACATACAAAACTTATATATCTAGAAAACAAAAATGATGAAGAAAAGGAAACACAAAACGCAAGTACATACCCGTGTTTTATCTCTGATGACAAACATCAAAGTTGTCTTCCTTGGACTAAACAACCGCATCATAACCTGATCTCACGCAGCAGGAATAGTAAATAGTGTTGAGACTTCCGATAAATGATGACCCATCCTGATAAGAAGATGAAGAAGCTTACCTGGAACACAGTCTTTAAAAGAGGTTTATTTGCTGCTTGTTCCCGACCAATATCATGACACCACCTGGATTATAAATCCGAAAAACATTATGATATCAGATAAAGACAGAAAAGATGTCCTTGTATCTATCGAAAATATTAGAGTACTGAAAACAACTTACATGTTTATGAGAACTATGTCTGAGACAGCAAGTGCAAAAAGAGCACTCTGTTTCTCGAAAGCCGTATCATCCTAACAGCCAAATCCAAAGAAAATGTACGTAAGTAAGCCATTCTACACAGACACATTCTTTAAGACAGAAACTTCTGTGTAGGATCCTTAAGATTTATACATCGCTTGAAACTAAGTTATGACTCTAATCAGTACAAGTCAAATTTCATCAAAGTCTCACAATCAGTGCAAAAGCTAAAATTAAGTTATACCAAAAAAGAAGTAAAAGAGCCAAATACCTCTCCACGCTCTCTTCCATCAGTTCCCTCTAAATCCATCACAACGGTGCAAGGCTCAATACCAGCGCATCTAGCAATCCAGATTCCCTTAGTCGTCTGGGACCTGAAAACAAGGAATTTCAGCGGTTAAAGAATCGTGACTTATACAAGCTAAGTACACTTCCTGCAAAAGTTTACAAAGAGCAGAACATGCCTTCCTCTAAATGCATCCATTTCTCTGAATTTAGTTCCAAACAAATGATTCAAGAGCGTACTCTTCCCTGCCAATTCAACCAGAATGTCGTCAAAAATCAGTCAATACACAAAAAACCAGCTATTACATACAAGGATTTGATACATACCACTACTTTGTGGACCCATAATGGAGACAACCGCATATGAAAGACCACATTCTTCCAATTTAACCTCCTTGATAAAATGATCAACCCCAGAAACATTAAAGGTACCATCTCCATCGATAAGCTGGGTAGAGCAAGCGGCATCTGCATTCACAATACAATAAACAAGCAATGAATCAAGCAACTATGTACAACAAAGCCCAAAGTGTCTCTCAACGAAGCAACTAAATCTGAAATTTAGTCTTGCTATTCAATAACAGCTTCAATGCTTAAGACTTTTATTGCTTCCGCAATCCTCACATTAGTGTTTCCCCAAAACCCAGAATCCTTAGTTCTGATGAAGAATTTTCGATTATTTCTATCGATTTCTCCCATTTTGTAAGCAATCAACAAAAACCTTTCAGATTTTTTAAAAACCCCCAAATTTCCAAGTAGTTCTTGCAAATCGAACCTCAAAATTAGCATTGACACTCACAGAAGGATCAATCAGTGATGACTTATGAGCAAAGAGACTAACAAAATTTCAACATACAGATCACAAACTAAAGCACAATACTCACAAAGAAACTGAAATCGAAATCGGATAACGTTTGGTCAGAGAAAAACGAAAACTGATCAGATCAAAGGAGGGGAAAAAGAAAACGGATCCACGAGATCAGGAACATTTATGAGCAGAGACGGAATAAAGCTATGTATATTTAAAATTACCCATTTTCGCCCAACGATGATTCGCAGATGGAGTGGTGAATGAAGAAGAGAATGGTGAAAAATTAAGAGACAGAGATCTCAAAGCGAAGTCGAGCTTGTGATGCACCGGTGCTTAGACGACTGGTTCTGGTAAGGTCATTGGAGCTTCCTTCTATTTGACAAAAGAAAAATAATGCCAAAATGCGATTATTATTATTTTTTCCCAACGAATATCTACTTTTTACGATTTTCCTATTTTTGTTTTCTCGGTCATACTTCAAAATTAATTTTTTTACCCAAACCTTTAAGGATTAAATTGTTCGGGTCGGGTTACCTCCTTTTTTAACCATAAGATTAATCACCTCAAAATACACGCTCCTGCTTATAGAAATGTTAACAAGAAAACTAATTTGAAGAAAAATCAATTTCAGATAAATCTAAGGAATATTAATTTTTAACCAGACAAAACAAAATAATTTTCTGGTAAAAATTCACTGAAACTGGATCTAAAGTATTTAACCAATGAAATTATGGTATACTGATATACTCATCGCATTGGTTGACGCCTTGACGGTAAAGAGATATTGGGTCCCACGTGGGCATTTAACATTGATTTGCATGGCTGGACAATACTGGGCCCCACATAAAAGCCCAAATTTTAGTTGGGATCCACCTCGCCGCCTCTTCACCTTTGCTAAAGTTTGGACGGTGTGATCGGCTCCGACATACCGACACGTGGAACTTCCACCGTCCGATTTCTCTCGTTGACCACACAATTTACAAGAAAATGGTGTTAGAATTTTCTTGATTGGAAATTTGGAAAGATTGTCAAATAAATTGTAGTGATTTCTTTATTCGACGTCCAAAGATTATAAAATGAAAATCCGATAAACGTTTGTAAGGGAAAAAGGCGCCTGTAGCTCAGTGGATAGAGCGTCTGTTTCCTAAGCAGAAGGCCGTAGGTTCGACCCCTACCTGGCGCGTTAAATTCACAATGAAGTTATTTTTTCACATTTGCACCCCAAAGAAGTTTGTTAATAGGCCCAAAGGTTATAAGGTACCGATTCGTGGAAAGAACCACAGAGTTTAAGCGCGAGGGGCTCGAGCGTCGTCTGAAAATTGGAGGGAAAGGACTTCAATTTCTCACTGATTTTGTCGGCAAACCGAAGAATTACAACCTGAGGCAGAGAACAGAGGATCTAAAGTAAAGACCGCTGTGTTGCAGACAAAAGCCGTTAGTTTAGTTTCGTTATGCGATGGGAGAACATGTTGCAGTTCCGAGCAAAGACTTTGTTCAACAACAGAGCTCGAGATTCTCTCTTCATCCCTATCACCAAACGAGTTCGATTGGGTTTCAGTTTCTTTTCCTCGTTATGCGAGCCAAAGAACATGGTTTTGGACTCCGAAGCTTACACGAAACTTGTTCAGACAGCCGCGAAATCAGGCTCCGCGATTCTGGGAAAGCTCGCTCATGGCCACATGATCAAGTCTGCCTTCAAGCCGTATCCATTCCTGCTCAACAATCTTATGAATATGTATTGCAAGTGCCAGGATTTGGGTTTCGCACGCAAGTTGTTCGAGAAAATGCCTGAACGAAACATTCGGTCTTTTAACTGTTTGATTTCTGGGTACACCCAGATGGGTTTTTACGAAGAGGCCATGGGATTGTTTCTTGACGCTAAAGATTATAATTTGAAGCTTGATGAGTTCACGTATGCAGGTGCTTTGGGGTTTTGTGGAGAAAGGTGTGATCTTGATTTAGGCAAGTTGTTGCACGGGTTGGTCGTTGTAAACGGCCTTGCTCAGCAAGTTTTTGTGGTCAATTTGTTGATCAACATGTATTGCAAGTGTGGAAAGGTTGACCTAGCAATGTCTTTATTTGACCGATCCGATGAGAAGGATCAAGCTTCATGGAACTCTCTGATTTCCGGTTATGTTCGGGTTGGTGCAGCGAGAGAAACGCTTGATCTGTTGGCTAGAATGCACAGAGCCGGTCTAAAGTTAACCACTTATGCTCTTGGAAGTGTGCTAAAAGCTTGCTGCATAAACCTGAACGAAGGATCGGTGGAAAATGGTATGGCAATTCACTGTTACGTGGCGAAATTAGGAATGGAGTTTGATATAGTTGTAGGTACTGCATTGCTTGACATGTACGCCAAAAACGGAAGCTTGAGAGAGTCGATGAAGCTTTTTAGTTTGATGCCTGGCAAGAACGTGGTTACGTATAACGCGATGATCTCAGGGTTTCTCCAGATGGATGACGTAACCGAGGAAGCGTCCAGTGAAGCCTTTAAGCTCTTCATGGATATGCAAAGACAGGGATTGGAACTCACGCCGTCGACGTTCTCAGCTGTGCTCAAAGCTTGTAGTGCCGCTAAAGCCTTAGAGTATGGGAAGCAGATCCACGCCCTTATATGTAAGAACAATTTCCAGTCTGATGAGTTCATTGGAAGCGCTCTGATCGAGCTCTATGCGTTGATGGGCTCGACTGAAGACGGAATGCGATGCTTTACGTCGACGTCGAAGCAAGACATCGCCTCGTGGACGTCGATGATCGATTGCCATGTCCAAAACGAGGAGCTTGAGAGCGCGTTTGATCTGTTTCGACAACTTTTTGCGTCCTGTATAAGACCGGAAGAGTATACAGTTTCGCTTATGATGAGTGCTTGTGCTGATTTCGCTGTGTTAAGCTCAGGAGAGCAGATTCAAGGTTATGCGATTAAGAGTGGAATCTATGGTTTCACCAGCGTTAAGACCTCAAGCATCTCAATGTACGCAAAATCAGGTAACATGCCGCTTGCGTCTCAAGTGTTTACCGAGGTCGAAACTCCAGATGTTGCAACATACTCAGCTATGATCTCGAGTCTTGCGCAACACGGTTTCGCTAGCGATGCGTTAAACCTATTTGAGTCGATGAAAAGCCATGGATTCAAACCTAACCAGCAAGCGTTTCTCGGCATTCTAATAGCTTGTTGCCACGGAGGATTGGTCACACAAGGACTCAACTATTTCCAAAGCATGAAGGAAGATTACGGGATTAACCCTAACGAGAAGCATTTCACTTGCCTCGTCGATCTTCTAGGTCGCACGGGGAGGTTATATGATGCTGAGAGTGTGATATTGAGGTCAGGGTTTGAAGACCATCCGGTGATGTGGAGAGCGTTGCTGAGCTCTTGCAGGGTTTACAAAGACAGTGTTTTGGGGAGACGCGTTGCGGAGAGAATTATGGAGCTCGAACCGGAGGCGTCTGGCTCGTACGTGTTGCTGCACAACATTTACAACGAGTCTGGTGTCAACTCTTCAGGTGAAGAGGTTAGAGCGCTGATGAAAGATCGTGGGGTTAAGAAAGAACCAGCCTTGAGCTGGATCGTGGTCCGTGACCAAGCTCATTCCTTTGGGGTCGCTGATGTGTCTCACCCGTCGAGCCAGATGATCTACGCAATGCTGCAGCAGCAGTTAGATACCATGAACACTGTAGAATTTCTAGATGAGACTCTTGTTTATGGTTCTTCTGTCACATGAAAAATAATTAATGTTTCTTTGCTCAAAAAAAAAAAAAAAAAAAAAAAAGTATCTTGATAAAATTACGAAAATGCCACTGTTTTATCCAGTTCTAAGATCTTGATAAATTACCGAAAATGCCATTGTTTTATCTATCTGTTTTGTAAATGAAAATGGGCCTAAGGCCCAAAGTCTATGTGGTGTCGTCTTTCTCGTACATTTTCGGAGACACAGAACTCTCTCGCAATCTCGGAGAACGGAGAAGAAATGGCGGCCAAAACCCTAATCAGGTCGGGAGCTTCGTTGATGAATCGGTTTCTGACGAAGCCGGCGACGAATCTTGTGCAGAACAATCTCAGATCGATTCAGCAGATTGCTCCTCCTCAGGGACAAGAAGTCCCGCCGTATTTTTTCCCGTCGTTATCGAATCTACAGAGCTCGCTCATTTCGCGCCCTAGCAACTCTGTTTCGCTCCAGGAGATCAACGAACGTGGGTTTCTTTACCCATCTGGTCTTCCTTCACTCGAATTCTTCTTACCAGAAGGTACTTCACTCCACTATCCTTTTCTACTGTATATGCCATCAGTAGCTAGATTAGTAATCTGTTCACACTCTCACTGGCTATACGATGATGATACTTAGTGAATACGATGTCAATTGCTGATCAGTGCTATGTTTCTTTAGAGTCTCTAAGGATTTGATCCTTTGAGGGAATCAGAAAACTTTCTTGCTTGTTCATGTGGTGATTTAGTCTTGGTATTGTCCATTTGCTGCTAGTGGAAAGTATTGGATCATAGAGAGTTATGAATTGCTTGTACCACATTGGTAAACTGGTTATGTTGAGCTTTGAGTTCCATATAGTGCAAGAATGTTATGTGTCCAGAATCTAAAGAATAGTCAAGACTTCAGTTTACTGTTTGTTGGGCTTTAGTTTCTGGAAAGTTGCAAACTTTGCTGCTCTATGGTGCCTGACTAAGATCTTTGTGCTTGGTGATGTAGTTGATCCTTCAAGTGAGCCATTGCTTTTGTTTCCTAAGAGGACATTCCAACCAAGCACTATCAGGCGCAAACGAAACCATGGATTCTTTGCTCGGTACGTCTCTTAGTTCTGTCCAAGAATAGTGTTTCACTTATAGTTGCTCGGATATTCTACGAACTCTTTAGCACCTCAAAATAATTGCTCTTTCTCTCATTCACATTAGAGGAATTCATTTGTTTAGCAATTATAGAAAGTAAGAAGAAACTTCTATTTTTATGCATTGGTTTTTGAGTGACCAAACTGTTTACTCATTCGACTAGTGAATGCTTTTGAATATGAACAGCAAAGCAACCAAAGGTGGACGGAGAGTCATAGCTCGGAGAATAGCAAAAGGGCGTCACAGAGTCACGGCCTAGAATCTCTTTAAATCTCTTTCTATGAATCCCCCGGTTATCGGATATGCCGGTTAAGTCTCTCTCCTTGTGTCCTTCAGTCTAGAATATCGGAATCATAAATAACTCGGATGTATGCATCATATCCATGTTTTGATGTGCTGTTGATCTCAGACTCGAAGTGAAAGTTATAATTTTTAAAGTTCTTAGCTTTTTGTCTCAACAATCTCAGCTTCTTTTTTAATAAATAGTTATAATTATATCAAGGAATCTTTTTTCTACAGTGATGTTGACAAAGTTACCATTGCTTAATAGCGAAACAAAAAATTTAAGTAAAAAAGGGGTGTTTCTCGCAAAAACATTTTGAAATGTTCTTCTAAAGAGAATCTCACAGTTGACCAATGGCATTGTACATGAAACTTGCATTGAATTATGACAGTCCACAGTTTGACCCCACAAAATATCATAGAGATAGAGAGAGAAGCAATAAGCGACAAAAACCAAGATGAAGACAATAATTTCCAATACAGAGGCAAAACAAACTGACCATATACAAACACATGTGTACGCAGATGACGAGAGAGAGAGATCGTACATCCTCCACATATATACGTACTTTACATACATATATGTGTTTGTATGTGCTCATTGATTAACTGTGTATAAGGACGTGCTTTATATGTAAGAGACACCTTTTTATGTTTTCCCTCCCCCATTGAACAAATTGAATGCAATATTTATTACAACAAGTATTTAATGTAACATATCACAAAAGCTTATACTATATGGTATAAATATAATATGGAAAAGACGCTTCAAGCCTTCAACACATGTGGGTGATTATTTATTTTCACTTCTCTCTTTCCTTCTCATATATTATATAAAAAACGTATATAGGTTCTATATAGGTATTTATTACGTACCCATGTCTAGGAATCCCATGTTGATGGAGTAGGACTAGGGTTTGCTTGAGTATTGACGTACTGTCCACAAGAGATTGGCGATGATGAGGATGATGATGATGGTATGACCATGTGATTGATGTATGATGAGTCCACTCGATGATCACCCGTTCCCAAGCTGTACGTAGTGGGAAGTATAAGGCCGTGATCTTGCGAAACTGGCGAGGGGGAGGTTACGACTTTGCCTTCAAGAACTTCTCCACATAATACCTTTGTGCCCACTAATGGAATCTTCCGAGGATCACCATTATCGTTGTATGGTGTTACGAACACGTTGAGTTTATCATAACCTTGAAGGGATTCTTGGAAAGTTGAAATGGAGGCTGGGAGATCTGGTAATTCTGGCCATTGAGGATCATTATCATGGTGATTGTTTATAGGTGTGGCAGGCAAAACATCGAGATTGGTGTAAAGGCTATTATTATCTTGATGAGATTCGTTTGTGTTGCTGGTGGTAAGGAACTTGAAATCTCCTTCTCTAGAGGTTGGGAACATCAGTGGGGTCATAACATGAGGAGAAGGAAGAGAGAAGTGGCTTGGAGTGATGAAATTAGGGTTAGTGTTTGTGATGATATTGGACATGAACCTTGAGCTTTCATCGTCGCTTGTAGTAGAGTTGAATCCATTGTGATAAGGAAGGTTGGTGAGCAAACTTGCCATGGAAGAGATATGATGATGAAGATGATGATGATGACCATGATGATGGTGATGGTGGTGAGACATGAGCTTCTTTTTGATGCTTGAATTCCAGAAATTCTTCACCTCATTATCCGTTCTTCCTGGTAGATGTTTAGCAATTTGAGCCCATCTGTCAAAAATAACATGACTTAAAACGTAAGTTAATGTTGTGTGTGGCGAAGTATTTAGTTTTATATTTCAGACAGAAATGTATGTAATGATAATTAACTGACAACCTGTTACCAAGAATGCTATGAAGCTCAATGATAAGAGCAGCTTCCTGAGGAGAGAAGCTTCCACGTTTAAGATCAGGTCTTAGGTAATTAATCCATCTTAATCTACAGCTTTTCCCACATCTCTGCAAACCTACTTAACACAAACACACACAAAACCCCAATAGATTATTAACAGCTTAAGGAAGAGACCTTTTATTAGTGTAGAACTCAAATAAACAAAACCTATGTAAATGTGTATATTTGCCTGCGTGTTTGGGAACAGAGCTCCAGCATCCATGGCCATATGTGTTGATGTAGTTGATGAGCTTTTCGTCTTCTTCAGGTGACCAAAGCCCTCTCTTCACCTTTTGCTTGTTGCAGCACGAGTGATGACCCATCTCTCTTTCTAGATCTCTCTCTCTCTCTCTCTCTAAGAATGTTTGTACGAAGTTGAGGGGTTATAAACTTATAAAATTGTAGAGAATTGGGGAGATTGATACACACAATTAAAATGAGAAAGAAATGACGGCTGCAGAAAATTTCCCATTAATTTAATACAACTGTAACAGATAATATACCACCTAATTATGTGGACCCAAATTTTTCTTTTATAAATTCCGATACAACATATACTAACTTTTTTTTCTGAACATCTTACAACATATATAAACAAAATTGGAAAAATAGATGTAACGAGTTGAAAAAGTACTATAGCAACTAGCAAGATAAAATATTGTTAAGTTAATTTTGGTGGGTTCTTTTTAGCACACTGAAGACGAGAGTGGTCAGTGTATTTTTTTAGGGTTTTGTGTTATAAAAGGTTAGAAGGCTAAAAGCTGAAGTTTCTTCTCAGCGAGAGCCTGTGTGTCTTATTTCAGAATCATGGCCATTGTCTTCTTCTAGACAGACACGTGTTGCTCATGCAGGAATTTATGGGTCCTACGCCTCAATTAAAATTTTTTAGTCTCTTGTTTAATTTTGTTTTTGTTAATTACTTGTTTCAAATATGTGTGTTGTTTTTTCTTCTTGACTGCAAATCTGTATAAGTCAGTTATGTCAATGAATAACATATCGAAAGATATTTTATACAATCGGATTATCGGAACGCCCCGCATATAAAAATAACTAGTATCTGCACGTTTGTGCGGTGTGACGTTGTTGTTTTGTGTAGAAAATTTAAACCCTAAATCCGAACCCGACAAAAAACCCTAATCAAAAAATTTAAAAACCCAAACTTTTTTAATAGGTCTAAACATGAAAATCCGAAATCAAAAAAATCCCGAAAACCCTGACTGAACAAAAAAAATCTGGAAACTTTTTCACCCGGAACCCGACCCCAATACCTAATCAAAATTTTAAAATACTCAATTTTTTTAATATATCTAAACCCGAAAACCAGAAATCTAAAAAATCCGGAAAACCCTAAACTGAAAAAAAAAATTGAACCTAACCCGAACAGAAATTTTCAAAGAAACCCGAACAATTTCTATATCTCTATAAAATTATGTCTCAGATTTTCACCCAAACCCGAACTTGTCTATAAAAACCCGAAAATCCAAAAAGCATATTCTATTGATTTGGAATTATCGTTAGATTATGTTAAGTTTTTTTTTTGCAGATTTTTAAGAGATGGAAAACGGAAGTTTTCTAAACCATCGGTTTATTTTAAGTTATTATTCTTGTATCCAAACAATTTTTTCCATTTATTCTTCTATCCAAATAGATTTTTCTCTTATTCTTATATCCAAACAACTTTTGTTTCCATTTATTCTTCTATCCAAATAGATGTTTCTCTAATTCTTGTATCCAAACATTAGAATGTACTTCTCAATTAATAATATAAAGATTACGATTGCCAAACCGACAAAAGAAAAAAATTAGCATTTGCCAACAAAGGAAGCAAAGTTTTATTTGACATAAAGAGCTCTGATTCAATTATACATCAGATTCTTATTTTCACTTATAGTAATGTCACTTCAACATGTAACAACTTCGATAGTATGTTTTGTAGCCAATAAAACGTGAATTTATTTCTTCTAACGTACGTCTTTATATTTTTGATTAATTTATTTAAGTGAAGTAAATATTCGTCACGCTGTCTATAGGTACATCTTGCTCCAAAATATTTTCTCCTTCAACTTATTAAATATTTATTATATTATTAATTGAGAAGTACATGAAAAATTTATGACCAAAAAACTAATCTAATTATGAAGAGAAAGTGTTTGGCAACAGATTTAATGAGGATCAATTTAGTACATTGTAATGTTTGGATACAAAAATAAGATAAAAATCTATTTGGATAGAAAAATAAATGGAAAAAATTGTTTGGATACAAGAATAATAACTTAAAACAAACCGATAGTTTAGAAAACTTCAGTTTTCCAGCTCTTAAAAATCTGCAAAAAAAGAAAATTTAACATAATCTAACTATAATTCCAAATAAATAAAATATGCTTTTTGGATTTCTGGTTTTCGGGTTTAGATATATTAAAAAAGTTTGAGTATTTTAAAATTTTGATTAGAGTATTTGGGTCGGGTTCCGGGTGAAAAAGTTTTCAGATTTTTTTTGTTCAGTTCAGGGTATTCGGGATTCTTTTGATTTCGGGTTTAGACATATTTAAAAATTTTGGGTTTTTAAAATTTTTTATTATGGTTTTTTGTCGGATTCAAATTTAAGGTTTAAATTTTCTACACAAAACCACAACGTCACACCGCACATCAGATACTCTGCTAGTTCATAAATATAGGACGAGAGCTTGTAGTGGGATGGTTGACCCTTTTAGCTGCCTAGCCAGAGATAGTGGGTTCGACCACATAGTGTGAGGTCTACAGTCATCACAAGGTCATGCACTCAAGCTTATACCTCTGCTTAACAATACACAATTTCTACAATCACACTGTTTATAATTCATAGAAAATGCATCTTATGATTATACCAATAGCCTAACAAAAGAGTTAACATTGTAACAATACCAAATTCCAAATTGACATTAACATTGTTCAGGATATAGAAATGATAAACAATTTCTTTGATAATTTTATTATTATTATTACTAGGGCTGAATTTAATGCTTGTGACCGAAGCAATAGGCCCAAACACAAGATTCTTTTGATCTTGCCTTCGATGCCACATGCAACTAATAAAGAGCTTTCACATTTGTATTTCTATTTTTGGTGAGCCATCAAAGGACACTAACTTTCTATACATTTTGGCATTTCTCTTCGAGAAAAACAAATACTCCTGTTATTGCCGTGAGGTTATCATATGTCCGTTGTTTTTCATTTTGGTGTTAATTCGTTTGTGCATGATAGTAATAGTAGAAAAGTGCTCCATATATTAGCAACTGTATTAGCGCATTTATCTCAGTAATAAACTGTTTTCGCGCATGATAGTAAAATGTGCAAGCTCCTCTTTCGCTTAATGTTGATGATTTGCATTAGTTCTATCTGGTAGACGAGACGAGTATTCAGTAAATTTCCTAGCGATCGATTTGAAGCCCAGGTATCAATTCATAATTAGATGATGTCTGATAGACAAAAACGCTTCTTATTAATATACATATAGGCTCTAGAATCTGAAAGAAAAAATGTTATTCCTTGCATTTTTGAAATTTTTTAAAATTTACTTCGTCTTATAAATCCAACTACATTTATCAAAAGGAATCTTATGTGATCTTTTTACAGCAGAAGATGCCAAATAATATACAGCTAAAATGCTATATAAAACGTCGCAAGCAGTGTCTTAAGTCTCAACAATAGCAATAAGGTCAAGTCAAAATGTTTATGATAATGTTTTTCTTATTTTCCTTGCATTTCCTGAGTTAGAAACTATAACTATTATTTTCATAAAGAAAAATTATTGTGTAGCTGTGTGCAACAACAAGAAAAAGTGAACAAAGAAAAAGAAAAGAGAGAAGGATCGATCCCCTTCGCTTCCTTCTCTCTTCGTGGCAAAATTCCCACGAATCAAAAGGAAAATTGGTTCATTCATTTTACTGTCATCAAATGTCTTGTATATATAAACAATTTCTTGTATGCATTCGAGTTGATTTTCTCTGTCAGTATATCACATTTTTCCTTAGATGTTTCGTTTTTTTATTGAGCTAGTTAAAAAGTTTCATAGGTTTCTAATTAATCAGTAGATAATAGTTAATAGATATATGGAGTTTAAATAACCATTACGCTTGTTTACGGATTTAATTGTTAAAATGATAGATGATCAAAAAAAATTTGTTAGTCAGTTCTTACGTAATATGATATGTGTAATTCAGTTTCATCGGTATAAAAAAGGGGAAAAAATGAAGCCCAAGACCCCAGTTGTTTTGGATTCGTTGTGAATTAGAGCAGCACACTAGAAGATAACGAAACACTTAAATTGCAATAAGTTTAACTCTTTTGAAGTTACATTTGGTTATATGCTTTTTAAAGAAGTCAAGACTCAACGGACTAGAGATTCTGTCGGAAACTTCCCTTATTTTCTTAATTTGACATATATCTTCTTGGTGGTTCTGAAATTGACCTCTTAACCATTTTCTGTGATCCCATCTTCTTTGCTCCATTGATGGACTCTTGACATTATCATATACGTATTTTTCATATTTAATTATCTCTGTTCTACTTCGATATATGTTTCAGAGATATGATTGCAATAAAGTAAAATGATTACTGTTTGTGCAAGATACTACTGAAAGGGTTTTGCATTAAACTACACATTCCAATCAAGACAGTATAAATATAATGGAGCATATATGCATGAATGTAAAATTTAATTACATGTTATCATCCGCTACTGATATGTATAGTAGTTAATAGGTTTCTTGAATTATAGTCACTAAACTATATATCATCATTTATCAATGAGCTAAGTATCAGTGAATCATTTTGGTTCGATCAATGGGTAGGTCCATTTATCATATATGTGTGCACACAGCACACGTGTATGCATTATGGGAAAATACAATGTATAAGAAGATGAAAGTTCTTTGGACATAATATAAAAGCTTCCACACGGACAAGAGGGAAGCTCTCGTCACATTTCCACCATAATTTGGTTCGTCGTTCACTTTCATAGTTCCCATGGGGATAGAGATAGCAACCGCATGATTCTCTCTAGAATATAAATGATCCTAAGTTCCTAACAGTATGATTCATTATTGCTTTAAGCCTTTAAGAGTTTAACTAGACAACCTTAAAATCAAGATAATTCGAGGAAACATGATTTTAGTGGGAATTGGTTCCTAGCAATTAAAACATATTTAAAGAAAGATATAGTTTTATCACAAAAAAAAAGACATAGCAGGCATCAAACACTGTTATTTTTTTTTGGAATATCAAACCATGAATCTAAGAGAATGAAATCAAACCAGAAAGAAAAGAAGAATCAAAGTAGGAAAATTCATTAATTTCCTTGCAATGACTAATCAAATCACAGTGACATTAACACAGCTATTTCCAGTACACTGGACAGTTCATAGCCAATCAGATTCTTTCATCGTACTTGTTAAATTAAAAAGAAAAAAGAGTGTATGATACCTAGTCAAACCGTTTGCTTTGTCAAAGTCAAATGTGAGTACTTTTATTTTTTCTAAACACTTTTCTTTGCCGATATTTAAATCTGGTAGATGCCTATTAAATTCATTTTTACGTTGGAAAACGAATTTGTAGAAAGTAGTAAAAAAAGGTAGGAGGAATAATTTATTTACTTTATGTAAAGTAATTGCTAAAACTGTGAAATGGAAATTTGACTGGTACGATTCCTTTTTAGACTCCGTGCAAGCTTGGCGTTAACTAAAACTAGAAACTAATTGATCAGTCAATTTGATGAAAAATTCTCGGACCATATTCTAAAAATAGAAACATGATCTGTCCATTTCCATTCATTTATTCGATCTGACACCATCAAGCCCCCTGCCTACGCGTAGTCGCTTGTAGTGCATGAAAATAACACTGTCACTGAACATGTAAAATATAAATAAGATAACACATTTATAAGTTATATAACGCACAGTAACACACTAACACTGCTATTCGTTAATCATGTTTACAGAAGTGATCAATTTGATTAGGGGAGAAAATAAAAATGACTGATGTAAAAAGTGGACGGTCCAGAATTTAAGTTGACTTTCTTCTAAAGTAAGTGTCATGAATCGATGCGGAACGAATCAGTATCAATCAAAAGAATAAACTTTCTCAATGCAGACGACATTCATATATGTACATATAAATGTATGTAATATTTACATATATGTAATTTATGAAGTATCTGTGGATATTTATCCAAAAATGTGTTTGTGGATAAAAGAAGGTGATTTTTTCATAAATGAGACCCGTCTACCAGTTTATTTCTTTTATTGCTCTTAGAGGAAATGAGGCCATTGAGCTGAAAAAGCTCTGCAGTCTATGCAAAAAGAGAAAATAAAGGGGTCAAAATATAAAGATAACAATCTAACTTTATTATCTGTTTATCTTTCGCTAATTTAAAAATTACAGTTTCGTAATAGCGTTCTGAATGATGATGAATGGACCATCTCGTACATAGATTCTTGAGACCTCTCTCTCTCTCTCTTATCTGTTTTCTTCTGACCTCTGATCGAATATTTACTTCCATGTACTGAGACATGTCAGAAAAGATATGCATTTAATGAGTTGTAAAATCCCAAAAATACAAAAGTTTGAAGGAAAGAAAAAAAAAGAGAGAAACTTGTAATTGTTCATAGGCTAATCGGTTTGCTTTTTTTATAATCAAAAGAGACGGCAAAACTTGATAGATTGGTAAGAAAATAATAACTTCACTTGTCCCATAAGCAACAACTTTCCTATGCTGTAGGCATTAGGCCTAAAAGTAAAACCCTCTAAAACCCACAAGCTTCTTCTCCCTCTCCTTGTTCCTCTTTCTCTTCTTCAAGCCTCCATATACAACATTATAGCCATCGTCAGTTTTTCATCATAATGGGAGTGAGAGAATTAAGAAAGTGTTATGTGGTTATAATGGTGATGATACAGATAGTGAGCTGGTTTTGTGCAACAAGCAGGCCTATTGCTTCCAATCACGTTTCGTTTCATCCAGGTTTATCTCATTTTTTTTATATTTCTTCTCCATCTAGTAATCAGACCACTTCTATCTATGTGTGTATGTATGAAGATAGACAGACATGTAGATAAGTGAGTATGAACAAAAGCCTTCTTTGTTTAGCAGTTTCTGTTTGCCAGCAAGGTTAGATTTTTACTTTTCTTGAGCCAATTAATGACTTGAATGCAGTGACTATTTTAGACTCTAATCCGTGGTCCCAATATGAACATACTAGATTAGTCAGTAAACATCTAGATGATAAATGTCTCTGTGACTCTGTGTTTCATTGGATTATGAGCAAAGGAAGAATCATAGATACTGGAGTATATGTTAATTTTGTTGTGAAGATAACAATTACTATTGGGTCTGCAGAGACAATAAGCCCACAAGCTGCAGAGTATAACAATAGATTGAAGCCCAAAGAGAATGAAGAGATAGAGAAAGGAAGAAGAATAGGATCAGAGCCACCAAGCTGTGAGAAGAAATGCTATGGATGTGAGCCATGTGAAGCCGTCCAGTTCCCTACCATTTCTTCAATTCCTCACCTCTCTCCTCATTATGCTAACTACCAGCCTGAGGGTTGGAGATGCCACTGTGCTCCTTAATTAGTTGATCTCTTTGTTTATTTCTTAGTTCCTTGATTAGACATACAATTTAACATATTATATATTCACATTGTCATGTCTCCCTTTGAGATTATAATATGCCTACTACAATTCTAGTAACTATTTGATATTTCATGCTGTTTTAAATTAAAATGTAATTTCTTAAATAAAAAATGAAGAACACCAATCAACTTATGAGATACTTTTTATGTTGTATGTAAAGTATATAAATCGAAAACTTAACAAACTAAACTAAACCCTGAATATACTTAGCATAATGAAACTCAAGTTCGTTTTCATCGTGAATACTGAATAGTTTCCTTATTGAACTTATTTTAGCCGCATGGCCCAATTACTGATGGTCACTTATTGGACGGTACTGTACGGAGGAGTATGTATATACTTTGTTGTTATTATTATTTTATTAAAACTGTCGTAATTATTGTATGCTCTTAGTAATAGCATTTTCGTATTTTTCGACCAAAAAAAAAATAGCATTTTCGTATTTTAAATTCATGACAAAAAAAAAACAAACTAAAATGAAACTATTTCCTTAAAAGGTAACAAGAAAGAAAAAAAGCATTTTGCCAGGTAATGCCTTTGTCATTTGGCAATGCAAAATCAGTACGCAGTAATTTTCATAAAGAGATAATTAATGGTTTAATTTTTGTTACGGTTTAACTAAAAAGGTTAATATAAGGAAAGAAATTCGCTAATTTTTCTTTAATTATATAAAAAAAAATTAAAAATAGGAAGCTCAATAGCAGAGAGAGAGAGAGAGAGAGGCAAACGGAAATTGCTGCGTTGGGTTCGAGTTGCAGTCGGAGAGAGTGTGAGAGCGATTATTTTCCCTTTTCGATCTTTCTTCCGCAAAAGAGAGAGCGAAACTGAGAAAGCGAGAAGAGCCTTTCCTTCTCCCTCCATTCTCTTCTGTTGAATTAGATCAGCTTTTTGTTTGTTTGTCTATCTCCGTCGGAATCGGTGTTCGCGTTTCACGAGTTTCTTCATGAACGAGCCTCCCGATTCAAGGTAATTCTCGCTCGAAACTCGATTTCATGCCCCCTTTGTTGCTCAATTTCTCCACGGATTTCGGAATTTAGGGTCACATTCACGGGATTTCCGTTGTCTTGTGTTGCAAGTTTTTTGGGTTTTCCGGTAAATGTCAGTGATTCGTTGCGGCTCGAGTTCAGATTCCCTTCACGGAGAGTATTTAAGCTTCCGATTTCACATTCTCTGTGATCGTCGATTGAATTTTTGATTCTTCGGAGCAACCGGAAAAGAACCTCAATGTGATGAATTTTGCGGTTTATATATCAGTCTTTCAAGGACTCAATTGCTTGTGGTGATGAACATTTAGGCTAAGTAAGCTAATAATTTTTCTTAATTTCTGTTTGATTTGACAGTGGCGAGGGCCTCTGAATCACGGGAGTCGATCTCACATCGTGTTTCTTGAACAAGCTAGTTCGCTCTCTTGCGTTGAGGTGAAACTTTGAGAAGATGGGGCGTCGCCGGATAAGGTCCAGGATCCGGAAAAGCCATTTTTACACCTTTAGATGCCTCAGGCCAAAAACCTTGGAAGATCAAGGACCACATATCATCAACGGACCTGGATACACGAGGATCGTTTACTGTAACCAGCCTCATATGCACCTGGCTAAAGTCCTTAGGTACACCTCAAACTACGTCTCCACCACTAGGTATAACCTGATCACCTTCTTGCCCAAATGCTTGTACGAGCAATTCCACCGCGTTGCCAATTTCTACTTCCTCGTGGCTGCAATCCTCTCCGTGTTTCCTCTTTCCCCATTCAACAAATGGAGTATGATAGCGCCGTTGATTTTCGTGGTCGGGCTTAGCATGGGCAAGGAGGCATTGGAGGATTGGCGGAGGTTTATGCAGGACGTGGCGGTTAACTCGAGGAAAGCCACTGTTCACAGAGGGGATGGTGATTTTGGCCGTAGGAAGTGGAAGAAGATCCGTGTAGGTGATGTAGTTAAGGTGGAGAAGGATCAGTTTTTCCCGGCTGATTTGCTCTTACTGTCATCGAGTTATGAGGATGGGATCTGTTATGTGGAGACGATGAACTTAGATGGCGAAACCAACTTAAAAGTAAAGAGATGTTTGGATGTAACCCTGCCTTTGGAACGGGATGAGGCTTTCCAGAGTTTCTCCGCAACTATCAAATGTGAAGATCCAAATCCCAACCTGTATACATTTGTTGGAAATCTTGAATATGACGGTCAGGTTAATCCGCTTGATCCTAGCCAGATTCTCTTGAGAGACTCAAAGCTCAGGAACACGTCTTATGTCTATGGGGTGGTGGTATTTACCGGCCATGACACAAAAGTCATGCAGAATTCAACAAAGTCCCCTTCGAAAAGAAGCAGAGTTGAGAAGAGAATGGATAAAATCATCTATACTCTCTTTGCCCTCCTTGTGCTCGTCTCCTTCATCAGCTCGCTGGGCTTTGCAGTGATGACAAAGATGCATATGGGAGACTGGTGGTACTTACGACCAGACAAGCCCGAGCGGTTAACAAATCCAAGGAATCCTTTCCACGCTTGGGTTGTCCATCTGATCACCGCTGTCTTGCTTTATGGGTATTTGATTCCCATCTCATTGTATGTTTCCATCGAGCTCGTAAAAGTTTTGCAGGCAACTTTCATAAACCAAGACTTGCAGATGTATGATAGCGAGAGCGGGACTCCAGCTCAAGCACGCACATCGAATTTGAATGAAGAGCTGGGACAAGTTGACACGATCCTTTCCGATAAAACAGGAACTTTGACATGTAACCAGATGGATTTTCTGAAATGCTCCATTGCGGGCACTTCTTATGGTGTTCGCGCCAGTGAAGTAGAGCTAGCTGCTGCAAAGCAGATGGCGATAGATCTTGACGAGGAGCATGGTGAAGAAATTACCGAAGTTCCAAGGACAAGAGGAAGGGTGCATGGGTATGCTAAAATGCCCAGCAAGACATCATCAGATATTGAGTTGGAGACTGTAATCACTGCTACTGACGAAAGGGATCAGACGCCGTCCACTGGTGTAAAGGGGTTTAGTTTTGAGGATAAACGTCTCATGGATGGAAACTGGTTACATGAACCCAATTCCAATGACATTTTGATGTTTATGCGAATACTGGCGGTTTGTCACACTGCTATTCCTGAGGTGGATGAAGATACTGGAAAGTGTACTTATGAAGCAGAGTCTCCTGACGAAGTCGCTTTCCTTGTTGCTGCTGGGGAGTTTGGTTTTGAGTTTAGTAAAAGAACACAGTCAAGTGTGTTTATCAGTGAACGACATTCAGGCCAACCAGTTGAAAGGTGAGACTGCAGCTGTAATCTTTCATTTCTTTCTATCGTCTCCAGTGAACAGGTACCTGACTAAGTGCCTGATATTTTACAGAGAATACAAAGTTTTAAATGTTTTGGACTTCACTAGCAAAAGAAAAAGAATGTCTGTTGTCGTCCGTGATGAGAAAGGGCAGATTCTTCTACTCTGTAAAGGTGCTGACAGGTTAGCCACATAACTTAAGCAGTTCCATATAGCTGTATCAGTTCTTCTGAAGTAAAAGTTTATTTGCTTTATCTTCAAATTTTGCAGCATAATTTTCGACCGGTTATCCAAGAATGGAAAAACTTATCTGGAAGCCACTTCCAAGCATTTAAATGGATACGGTGAAGCAGGTTTACGCACATTGGCGCTCAGTTACAGAAAGCTGGATGAGACTGAGTATTCTGTATGGAACAGTGAATTTCACAAAGCCAAAACCTCAGTCGGGGCTGACAGAGATGAAATGCTCGAAAAGGTAGCAGATATGATGGAGAAGGAGCTGATTCTTGTTGGTGCTACTGCAGTGGAAGACAAACTGCAGAAAGGGGTATGCATTTGGAAGCTTAATTCTGATTTTTACCAAGACGCTTAATTTTGAAAAAAAAATTCAGCTTAATGTTTATTGTTCGTCTCAGGTGCCTCAGTGCATAGATAAACTTGCCCAAGCTGGTCTCAAGATATGGGTTTTGACAGGAGATAAGATGGAGACAGCAATTAACATAGGGTGTGTTGTTCTTCTATGTTGCTTATAATACCATGCCTCGAAACTGTGGGAATTTCCAAAATAGATACCAAGTGGATAAAGTTTTTTTGTTTTCCAAATGCAGATATGCCTGCAGTTTACTGCGACAGGGTATGAAGCAGATATTCATAGCACTTAAAAATGAAGAGGAAATATCCCAAGACCCCGAAGCTGTATGTATTAGGCTGAGACTATATAAACCTACATTACTGTTTCGGTAAAAACTTGCATCTTGATGTGAGAACTGGTATGTTGTTGTTAATGGCCAGGCTGCGAGAGAGAGCATATTGATGCAGATCCTAAATGCTTCACAGATGATCAAACTAGAGAAGGATCCACATGCAGCGTTTGCTTTGATCATTGATGGGAAAACACTTTCATATGCTTTAAAGGATGATATTAAATATCAGTTTCTTGCCCTGGCAGTGGACTGTGCTTCAGTGATATGCTGTCGTGTCTCTCCCAAGCAAAAAGCACTCGTAAGATTTAATTCCACAAGTCCTAGTTATATATCTTCTTGTAAATGATGAAAACCACTTATTTTTGTTTATGTCGGTTTACTAGGTAACAAGACTAGCGAAAGAAGGTTCAGGAAAAACAACTTTGGCAATTGGTGATGGTGCAAATGATGTTGGGATGATTCAAGAAGCCGATATAGGTGTAGGAATCAGTGGTGTGGAAGGCATGCAGGTAATCAAACTTCCTTTTTTCTATACAACAAAGCACATCTTTTTTTGGGTCTGTTTCTGATTGCAAATCTATTGCTTTTTTTCTTTTGCTGCAGGCTGTAATGGCTAGCGACTTCTCCATAGCCCAGTTTCGGTTTCTAGAGAGACTACTTGTTGTCCACGGGCACTGGTGCTACAAAAGAATAGCCCAGATGGTAAGTATCTGTGATCCAAATAACTGATATACATACAGACGATCGCATTGTTGTTGATATTGAGTCATTCTCTTTTCTGGCAGATCTGTTACTTCTTCTACAAGAACATAACATTTGGTCTAACGCTCTTCTACTTTGAGGCTTTCACCGGGTTTTCTGGTCAAGCCATATACAATGACTCGTATTTGTTGCTGTTCAACGTTGTTCTCACTTCTCTTCCCGTCATCTCACTTGGAGTTTTCGAGCAAGACGTGTCCTCTGAAGTTTGCTTACAGGTTCACTCATCTCTCTATTCAGTTGAATCTCTCAAAAATAAAAACCCAAAACCTGTCTTCTGATCTCATCTCTCTGTTTCTCCCTCTCTATAGTTCCCTGCATTGTACCAGCAAGGCCCCAAGAACCTGTTCTTCGACTGGACTAGAATACTCGGGTGGATGGGAAATGGAGTGTACGCATCCGTAGTCATCTTCGGCCTCAACATTGGCATCTTCCATGTCCAATCTTTCTGTTCCAATGGCCAAACAGCAGACATGGACGCAATGGGAACCGCGATGTTCACTTGCATCATCTGGGCAGTGAACGTACAGATCGCTTTAACCATGAGCCATTTCACTTGGATCCAACACGCCTTGATCTGGGGAAGCATCTTCACCTGGTACATCTTCCTTGCCCTCTTTGGCATGCTACCTGTGAAATTCTCAGGCAACATCTTCCACATGCTCGTCGAAACCCTAGCACCCGCACCAATCTTCTGGCTAACCTCACTGCTGGTCATAGCCGCCACAACACTTCCTTACTTTGCTCACATATCGTTCCAGAGGTCGTTAAACCCTCTGGACCACCACATCATACAAGAGATCAAGCATTTCAGAATTGACGTCCAGGACGAGCGTATGTGGACGAGAGAGAGATCCAAAGCTAGAGAAAAGACCAAGATTGGATTCACGGCTCGTGTTGATGCCAAGATCCGCCAGCTGAGAGGGAGGCTTCAAAGAAAACACTCTATTTTGAGTGTTATGAGTGGTATGAGCGGTGTTAGCGCCTCATCAACAAGTGATACAACGTCCACAACACACCATAGTTGATCCAGTAAGTTTTTTTTCTTCTTATTTTCTCGAGAAACACCATTCATTTGGAGGAAGCAGAACAGAGACAGAATTGGGATTGAAGGTATAATAGGAAACAAAGAAAGGGACTAGAGAATGTTGTATTGTGAGTGTGCGTGTGTGTGTATACTAAAGAACATCGGAAAAAGAATATGATTAGAGAGATTCGTATAAATAGTTTCTTTTTTTGAAGAAAGTAGTGTTTTTTTGTATGGTCCAATTCATAGGTAGATAGGGAAACTGATTTCATTCATTATCTGTCTCATTCATGATATAACTGCAAGAGAAAGAAAATTCGATTTCTTTTTTTTGTTTCCTGTGTTTGTTACAGATATTTAACACTCAGCAAGAGGAGAGATTCATCGATTGGGTTTTACATATATATAGAGTCAGGGAGAAAATATATAAAATTCAAGAAATACCGATAATGTCTTTGAACCATTTGAAGCTCTTTCTAATGGATCCCTTCATCTTCTGTTCAACGGAATAAACCTTGTAGCCAGCGACTCTTCTCTTCCTCCGCGATTCCGGATCGCTGAAACTCCAGCTTCTGGACGCCGCACGATCCGCGTTTGGAACGCTTTTGCTTTTCTTTATCTTCATCTGGTAATCGTTCGTCTGATCGGCGGCTGAGTCGTCGAAACTCGCGCTGTAACCTTTCACAGAAGCTGCGTCTCGGCGGTTTCCAGACGCGATTGCAGCTGGTGGCTCCGTTTCTTTGTAATAGTTCTCCATAGACATGGTGGCGCTGGCTCCGTGATTTGAGTTTTGGTCTGACGAAGAAGAGTCGTCCTCCTCTCTGTGTTTTAAATGGATTGTCTTTAAAAAAAAAGTTTTTTTTGCCAGCAAAAAAAAAAAAAAAAAAAAAAGTTTATTAAAGGAAATCAACGAAATGATTGTTTCTTTTTCAAATAGTTAAAGGTATCTTTTTAATTAAAATAAATCAATTTACTGTACAATTTTTATGTGGAGTTGGTCAAGGACCCACTTATGTTTTTTCTTTCTCTTTTCTCTCTGTTCTTTTTTTTTTTCTTTTCTAGCTGACGCAAATTTAAATTTACAGGGGAAAACTTTAAACGAATACGTAAATTTGGTATAAATCATAAGACTTTTCATGTTCTATGCTTTGTCATGGTTAGGTTTGTGTGGACGTGATGCTTTCCCAACTATTTCTAATAGGCACGTGGATTTGTCCATACCCGTAATTTCTTTCTTACAGGAAATAGTGGAAGAAATATCTATTAAATTCAACAAAAAAATTAATTTCGAGTTTTCTTGAAGAAACTCGGCAGAAATTTCAGACCAATAATTCCATTTGAAATTATAAAAGCGGAAAACCTATGTCGGTGGTGGGCTTGACTCGGAAGTCGGAACAATGGTGAACATTAACCTCCAGAAAATTTGAATTTTTCTCAAAAAAATATGAATGAATATGTAATTTAATAAAATAAAGAAATACAATTTAATATTTTGTGCTGATGTGGACATCAGAAAACTCTGTAATTATAAAATGGATTTAAATATTATTCACCCCATTAATAAAAAAAATAAGTAAACATAATATTTGCCTCAATTAACTCGTTTTGCTAACTTCGAGATCTTCTTGTTTTTCTCTATAAATTCAGAAGAGACTAGGCTAATACCCGCATGCGCGCGGGTTTGTTTCCAATACAATTTTTTGTTTGATATTTTTTTGTATATAATTTTAGGTGATGTATAAATAAAGTATTTGGAATGGTTTCCAAAAATTAAAAATAAACAAGTGTTACATATATAGACTAAGTATAGCAGAACAAACTTACCTGAAAAATAATGAAAATGACAATAATCACTTTTAACTGGAATGAAGAGATATCGTAGTGGACTCATTTTCCATACAGTTGTTGTAAACAATCTATCTAGAGCCACATATTTACTTCTAGGGTATGGTAAATCAAAATTTTCTTCAGTTTTACTCTCAACCTTTGAGAATAGTTTTGCTGCCCCTAGTGAGTAGAATGCTAAAACAATAGGTTTGTGTAGTGCTACTAAAATTGCGCCTACTAAATTTACAATCATCTTATTACACTACCTTTTAAAATTAGTTCATATATACGAAAGTAGCATTAGATGATTCTCTATTTAATGGATTGTAGCAATAATTTGAGAAACAAACATGTTGAACAAATTGGTCAGGTCTGTAAAACAAAATCTCAAAACAATTACAAAGAACTTAAATTCTACAAGAAACTAAATTTAGATTTTAGAGTTGCCATGTTCATTAGATAAAGAAAAGAAAAACACATTGGACATAAGTGATGATTAATTTGTAATTGCTCAGCAAAATCGCTTGAACTTTGTCCTTCAGTTAAATGATGTCTTGTACTTTTCCGTTTCGAGAGTGAACTTTTTGGATAGGAAAAAAACTGAAATGGCCAGGAAAAAATTAAGCCATTAGCTATGGTTACATGCATAGTCTCAAATAAAACAAAGCCGAAGATCTACAAAAGAACTATTATTATTGTAATTTGTCAAAACAGGTTTTTACAAATAGGGAGTAATGAAAAGGGGATAAGAACCTTCAAAAGAATTTCCCCACCAACATGAGCTGCGTACATCAACATCGTCTGATCAAAATAATGTATGAACTAAATTTTATCACAATATTCCTCTTGTGTTTTGACAGATGGAAAACCTTTGCTTCTTCAAATAGTGGTCTTTACATTATCCTATTCAAAAATCTGCGAATACCTACAAAAAGTCACAAAGACATTTCTCTCAGTCAATAGAGAATCCATTTGTTATTCCTGAATTTTTTATCAAGAACCATATTGACGAATTTTGCACTCGGGTTGATTGAAAGGGGCAACGAAGAGAAGTAGTAGAGAAGCTCCAGTCTCGTACACACTTCACTATGCATGCGACTATTTAGCTACTATGAAAATCTACTATATCTAACCAGTGCTTTACTATTTAGCTAGACATACACATGTATTTGACTGGTATATGATTTGGAAGATGATCAGAGATCTCCATGTAAAAGAAAGTGGACACTGATCACATCAAATTTTCACTGAATCTGATAAAACAAGCATGAATGGAGACAAAGTTGGCGAAAATTGAGAGAATTATGAGTAATGAACAATAACTTACTACAAAGCTCACAGGTTGAATTGCGAAAGCCTAAATCATGAGTACTGGCCGCTGATTCCTGTGTAAAGGAAATGAGGACAAGGTGAAAGGAGATCAGCAGAATATGACTGAAATTTATCTGAGCAAACCGAGAGGTAAGCAATAACACCAAGTTTTGTGCTGAGTGAAGCAGCATGGGAATTTCCTTCTCAGAAATCGTAATTTAACAATGACCTTTCAGTTAACGTTTGCCAATCCACAAAGATCACAAGTCATCGTTTTGGGTAGAGAAGAAGGGATTGATGATTGTTTTGATGGGCTTTGTTTGCAAGGCCAGAATCGCCCAACCTGTGAAAGCAGAAGATGAAGAATCGTGATAAAGAGGAGTGGTGTAACAATGAATTGAGACTATCTTGATAAAAGAAAATCACCGGAGAAGGAAGTGCAACCGTGAGAGAGACTGAGAGAGACCATGATCGGTTAAAGAAGGGGAACAGTTTTTTTAAGTTAACAAGGCACATGTCATTATTTCCCCTGTCCAGGTGTCACAAATATGGAGAGGGGTGGCCCCTTTTCATATATATGATTACTTAGGCTGAAAGATACTCTTTAATTTAGGTCTAGGGTTTGTGTAACCAAAAACAAACAAGCAAAGACGAAGTACGACGCAGAAGAAACGATGGCAACCGTCGCATATGACATCCCTCTCGACTTGACGATCGAGATCCTGCTGAAGTTGCCTGGAAAATCTGTAGAGAGATTCATATCCGTATCGAAGACATGGTGTTCCATCATCGGTAGCTGACAATTCGCGAGCGCTTTCATGTCTCTGTCACTATCTCGACCTCGTATCCTCCTTGCTTTCAGTAATGATTATGACAATCAATTGCAGTTCTTCTCCTCGCCTGATCAAAATTCATCTCTTTCATTACCATCGTTAATGGTAGCCCTAAAAGACAGCACCTTGACTATTCCACAAGTCGGACGTGATAAAGTCCAGCGTAATTCAGTTCGTGGCTTCGTCTGTTGTTCCCTCTTGAATACGTTCGTGGTATATAATCCAACCACAAGACAAGTCATTAAAACGCACAGCACTCGTGGAATTATAAATCTATGATGACAGTGAGTAGTTTTGATGTTGGGTCTGAGCAGCTACGTCTCATTAAAACACCTGAGGATTTTTGTGGTGTCCTAACAAACTACCTAGGGAAGTTAGCTGCGTATGATTCCTGCAGTAACGATGGTTTTATTTGGTGGGTTCTTGATGATGTTAAGAATCAAGTTTGGTCGAAACGGGTTTTAATTCTTGATTCATTGTATTGGATACTGCGCATGAGCTTTGCGGGGGTTACTGCTGCTGGAGAGGTCATCTTTGTTCCAATGACGTATCGTGAACCTAACTTTGAGATTTTGTGTTACCATGTAGAGAAGAAGGTGGGAAGAGTAGTTAGAGTTGAAGGACTTGTTGGTAATATTTTTGATGGGGCCTGATTGGTTCTCCCGCTACCACCCGCAAACGCAGCGTTTGCGGTTCGTAGCGGTTTTCGGCGGTTTATAACAATCACGACAACCGCTTTGAATCGCTCTATACCACTCTGTACCGCTCTATATCGCTGAAAATCAAAAGCTCCTTTCCGCAAGCGTTTGCGGTTGCGGGCGGTTGCGGGTGGATAATTAAAAAAAAAAAAAACACAAACTTATATAAAATCCGAAAATAAATAATAATATTTATTAAAAAATAAGATTTGGATAATAAAATCACAATATAAATAAAAAATTAGTACTTTTAGTCAATATTCATTAAAATCATATAATACTTATATATTTATAAGTTCTACAAATCAAAATTCTCTTCATAAATATTCTTTTCATACTAATACATATATATCTAATAAATAAAATTGTAAAATAAATTTAATTTTCACATTAAATATATATTTTGAAAATAAAATCACATTTTTATTTAAATTATAGAAATTAAAAGATAGACGTAAGTATTATACACATATTATTCTTTATAAAAAAATTATTTTTAATTATGTTGAACCATAAATTTAAAATTTTCATTATAATATAGTTTTGATATTTTTATAATTATATAATGTGTTTATATTATTAATTTATTGTTTAACCGCTATTGCATCCGCAAGTGAACCAGTCATAAGTAACCCGCAAACGCATCCATTTTCAATTGTTATGCCAGTCGTACAAACCGCTTAATAACGCTACTAATCACAACCGCCCGCTTCCGCAAACTCCCGCACCCGCAACCGCAACCGCAGCGGTTAAACCAGTCAGGCCCTTATACTATTCACAATCGTTCTACCATCTCTGCCTCATGTTGCTATGTAGACAATATTATCTATTTGTAGTCTCATTTCAATGATTTTTTTCGGTTTCACTCTTCACTCTTCTTCCTTGTTTTTGCAATTGTTCAATATTTCTTTTATGGATTTATATATTTACATTGATGAGTGCCATAAGTTGATTGTTTTCGATAGTTAAATTCGCTAATCATGCCATTGATAATGTTATGGGCCAAAAGTAGTTTTGTCGATGGCATTATCAACGAATCACTCTAGAGAATAACATACATATCTAAGTAATGGCCACACCACAATTCATATGTATGTTACTTTCTTTTAAAGTAAACATAAAGCTTGACTTTTAAGTTGTTGACTCTTCGCTTTAGAAACTTGAGTTATTTAGCAATACTCATGTAGAATTATTCGTACCTTGACATAATATACAAAAATAAAACACAAACCACAGACAAAGCATCAAATTAAAAATAAATATGGTCAGAAGAGACATGTTTGTAGAGATGAAGAAATTTTAGAGAAAGGTAAAACGGAGACGATGGATCAAAATTAAATCAGATCAAAGAGTGTGCCTTACGAAAACCTTTCTTCTCCGGTGATAGTACGTCTTGAGTCTTTCTCTTTCACAGCAGATCGGCAACGTTCGGATACTTTTTCTTTAATAAGTTTTTCTCATGAAACACCAAACTCCCCCGTAATAGGAGAAACTAAAAACCTTGAGAAATTCTAAACTTAAAAATAAATCTAAAAAAGAAAAAAAGTATAATTTGTGAAAACCCAGCCCTAAAAAAAATCGCCTTTAAGAAATCCTCCGATAAATCATTATCCCTTCAATAAGTTAAACCCAAACTAATATGATAAGTAAAAACTTAATTTGAAAACCAGAAGCCACGTATTTATTCAAAACCAAATTGGAGAACTTATTAAATTTGAAACAAAAAGAAAAACTTATTAAAGAAAAAGTATAACGTGAGGGTGTTTCATGTCATCATCCGAATCATCTGGATCGTCTTCGTCGGACCTTTCTTCAATCATTATGCGGAAGCTTTAGTTTTGGTCACCAAGAACCGAAAGCTTGACAAATATTATAGAAGGGAATATATTATTGAGTTGTGTTATTGATACAAGAGAATAAGATCCATACTGTATATATATATATATATATATATGGTTAACATTAACATAATGATAACACCAAATAATGTAAATCTTCCTAATCCTTATCACAATAAGATTTCTCTAGAATATTCTTCGATTGGGCTTCACGGGTTTCACTTCATAGACGGGCTACAATGGCCCACAATACTTGGTTCGCCTTGCTCACCAAGATATCTCCAATACTCCCCCATACGACAAAGGTGGACGCGAAACGCAAAATTCCAACAACCACGTTATAGAACTTCTGAATATCAAACAGCATCCTCTGGTCATCAATAGTCACGAAGTTAATAGCCACACGCCCACACCTTACCTCCCGAACCTCCCACTAAGGTAGTTCTCCGGCTGGGTCGGGAGATCAAAGTTGATAAGTAGGAAAAAATACAATACTCCCTCCGTTTCTTTTTGATGAATTTTCTAGATATTATTTGTTGTTACATAAAGATAAAATTTCTAGATTTTTGATTCATTTTTTTTAGTTTTCAAGTATCTATTAGATTTTTATTGGTTTAAAATTATAGAAAGTTGTTTTATTGCAAAAATCTATACACTATTAATTGAAAATCAACTTGAAAAAACTAGAAAATTTATTTTTAAGGAACGGATGGAGTATATAATAAGTTATAACATTCATGGTTTAAATGTGTGTTTCTATCTTTTGTTTATACTTCTATCTCATTAGAAACTAAAAAATCATGTTTTCCAAAGTTCAAGAGCAATGAAGATTTTTATTTGACTTTAAATCAGTTGGATTGAAATTGAAAATATTTTATGTACATTAGTATGTATTTTTCAAAAAAAAAATAGAAATCCTATAGAAAATTATATACATATGGGAGTTAAACTTCTATTACTTAACAAAATACATTTACTATAAAATTATTACATGATTATTACTCTTTATTGTACAGCTGAAGTATATGATAATATTCAAACATTTCTTATTGGGTTTTCCATATTATCTTGCTTACATTTAAAGTAATCATATTTTATTTTATATTTTCATAAATTATTTCAAAAAAATTAAGTTAAACTCCCTTATGGAGTATATAAAATGGATTTAAAGATTTGTAAATATTATTCACTCCATTAATTTTTAAAAAAATAGTAAACAGTATTTGCCTCAATTAACTCGTTTTGCTAACTTTGAGATTATTGTTTTTCTCTCTAAATTCAGAAAAGATTACTTAAGCTGAAAGATACTCTTTAGGTCTAGGGCTTGTGTAAAAAAAAAAAAAAAAAAAAACAAGCAAAACGAAGGACGACGAAGAAGAAACGATGGCAACCGTCGCATAAGACATTCCTCTCGACTTGACGATCGAGATCCTGCTGAGGTTGCCAGTGAAGTCTGTAAAGAGATTCAGATCCGTATCGAAGACATGGTGTTCCATCATCGGTAGCCGACAATTCGCCGACGCTTTCATGTCTCTGTCACTGTCTCGACCTCGTATCCTCCTTGCTTTCAGTAATGATTATGACAATAAATTGCAGTTCTTCTCCTCGCCTGATCACAATTCATCTCTTCCATTACCATCTTCAATGGTAGCCCTAAAAGACAGCACTTTGACTATGCCACAAGTCGGACGTGATATCGTCCAGCGTAATTCAGTTCGTGGCTTCGTCTGTTGTTCCCTCTCGGGTACGTTCGTTGTATATAATCCAACCACAAGACAAGTCATAAGCTTACCGGAACATCCCGAGACTTTTTTTAACTTTATTCATGAATTTCATCAATGTCACGTGTTCTTGGGATACGACCCAAGCAAAGATCAATACAAGGTATTGCGCCTGGATATGTTTATGCGCTTTACTGAACACAGTGTATGCACGTTGGGAGGTCGATTGTCGTGTAACTCATGGAGGAGCATCCAAAGCAATATACGTGATTGTGGTCGTAGTAAGTATAACGGAATCTGCATTGATGGGGTTGTTTATTTCGAGGCACCAAGGAATTACAACTCTAGGATGACAGTGAGTAGTTTTGATGTTGGGTCCGAGCAGCTACGTCTCATCAAAACACCTGAGGATTGTTGTGGTGTCCTAACAAACTACCTAGGGAAGTTAGCTGCGTACGATAATTCATCCGAGAATAGTGGTTGTTTTAATTTGTGGGTTCTTGATGATGTTAAGAATCAAGTTTGGTCGAAACGGGTTTTGGTTCTTGATTCTTGGATATTGCGCATGAGCTTTGCGGGGGTTACTGCTGCTGGAGAGGTCATCTATGTTCCATGCACGTATCGTGGTGAACCTAATTTCGAGATTTACTGTTACAATGTAGAGAAGAAGGTGGGAAGAAGTGTTAGAGTTGAAGGACTTGTTGGTAATATTTTTAATTGGGTTGTTAATTTTTTTAATTGGGTTGGTCTTATTCACAGTCGTTCTACTTCTACCATATCTGCCTCATGTTGCTATGTGGACAATATTACCTATTTGTAGTTTCATTTCAATGATTTTCCGGTTTCACTCTTCTTCGTTTTTTTTGCAATTGTTCAATATTTCTTTTATTAAATTATATACTTACATTGATAAGCAACTGAAGCTTACTGGCCATCGGGAAGCTTGTACATGATTTGCCTGCACATGAAAGCATCACGTTTACGTCTCTGTGTATTTGTCATGGGACCAGAACCAATGCTATAGATTAATTAATGCTAATCATGCCATTGATAGTGTTATGTGGCCAAAAGTAGTTTTACTTTTATCAATGGCATTATCAACGTATCACTTTAGACAATAACATACATATCTAAAGTAATGGCCACACCACAATTCATATGTATGTTACTTTCTTTTAAAAGTCCAACATTAATGTTCGGATACATAAAGCTTGACTTTTAAGTTGTTGACTCTTCGCTTTAGAAACTTTAGTTATTTAGCTATACGCATGTAGAAATATTCGTCCCTCGACATAATAAGAGGTTTTAAAGCCAAAAGATTTGATGGATACAAGGTAAGAAAAAAAGGGAAACACAAACAACAAACCATAAAATGAAAAATACTCCATATGATTTAAAAATAAAAATAAATATGGTCGGAAGAGACATGTTCGTAGAGAGAAGGGAGAGAGATGAAGAAATTATAAAGAAAGGTAAAACGGAGACGACGACGGATCAAAATCAGATCAAAGAGTGTGCCTTACGAATCAAGAAAAAAACCTTTCTTCTCCGGTGATAGTACGTCTTGAGTCTTTCCCCTTCACAGCAGATCGGCAACGTTCGAAGGCAGCTCCTCAACAACCACGTTATAGAACTTCTGAATATCAAACAGCATCCTCTGATCATCACTAGTCACGAAGTTAATCGCCACACCTTTCCTCCCGAACCTCCCACTTCTTCCGATACGGTGGAGGTAGTTCTCCGGCTGAGTCGGGAGATCAAAGTTGATAACCAGAGACACTTGCTGCACATCGATACCACGAGCCAAGAGGTCAGTGGTGATGAGCACACGAGAGGAGCCAGACCTGAACTCCCTCATGATGATGTCTCTCGTGTTCTGGTCCATGTCACCGTGAGTCGCGGAGACAGTGTGGTCACGTCCTCTCATCTTGTCGGTGAGCCAGTCCACCTTCCGCCTGGTGTTGACGAAGATGACACTCTGAGTGATGGCGAGAGTCTCGTAGAGATCGCAGAGCGTCTCGAGCTTCCACTCTTCCTTCTCAACGTTGACGTAAAACTGCTTGATACCTTCAAGGGTAAGCTCGTCACGCTTCACCAGGATTCTCACTGGCTTGCTCATGAACTTCCTCGTGATCTCAAGAGCTTCAGGAGGCATTGTCGCTGAGAACACACCGACTTGGATCTTCGGTGGGAGAAGCTGGAAGATGTCATAGATCTGAAACCAAAACATAGACAAAACCAGTTTAGGTAAGAGAATCCCAAAACGAACAAAAACTTAAAGAGGAATCAGACCGAACCTGGTCCTTGAAACCACGGGAAAGCATCTCATCAGCTTCATCAAGAACAAACATCTTGATGTGGTCAGCACGGAGAGACTGCCTCTTCAACATGTCGTAGACACGCCCTGGAGTTCCGACAACGACGTGGACACCAGCTTGGAGGATGCGCTGGTCCTCACGGACGCTGGTTCCACCGACACAGGCGTGGACCTTGACACCGAGGTAGTCACCGAGGGCCCTCATGACCTTCTCAATCTGCTGAGCGAGCTCTCTGGTTGGAGCAAGGGTCAAGGCCTGGCACTGGACAAGGGTGAAGTCCAGCTGCTGCAAGACACCAGAGCAGAAAGTTGCAGTCTTTCCGGTACCGGACTGAGCCTGTTGGATCACGTCGAGACCTTTGCAAAAGGGCACGATCCCTCTTTGCTGAATCGCAGATGGCTTCTCAAAACCTAACAAGTACAAACAAGGATGAGATGAGATGAGATTTAAGACGTGAAACACAAAAGAAAGCTTTTTTATCAAGTTCGCCTTAACGTACCGTAAGCATAGATACCCCTGAGGAGGTTCTCTTGAAGACCCATTGCGTCGAAGCTCTCGTGGACCTCATCGTAGGAGGTGAAGAACTCATCTTGTCCCTCAAGTCTGTATAACCATACAATACAATCAATCAGCAACTAGAGATAATACACGAGAGAGTAATGATGAAATAGAAATGAAAAAAAAAACTCACACTTCGTTCAACTTCTGGTCGAACTGACGAGCATCAAACTGTGTGCCTTCTGGTGCAGATCCTGCCATGACTGCACATACACAGAACAGCAGAGCAATTAGCGATATAATTAAATCATATGAACAAACAAACAAAAGCGAGACGACAGCTTTCTGATTTATCATGGAATAATGTGACAGAATAGCCAAACTCGCAGTCCATAAAGAGAGGAAGACAAGCATTAATATCCGTCTTTGAGAGAGAATGTTTTTAAAGGAACATATGGTTATCCAATTTTATAGACACACCACTCAACCTATTTCTCCGGATTCCACACTCAGACCTCAGACACACTATGATTTTTGGGATTATAAACAGTCTAATGTCAAACAACATCTGAGCTTCAGTAAGATCCCTATCTATTGGACTATTGGGTCATAAAAGGAAAAATCGTCCCAAATGAAATTCGCAAATGATTCATGAGATGGGTATAGATCCAAGCATAAATAATCGTCATCATCATAATATAATAGATACTTCCATCGGTAAAAATCCGGCAAAGATAAAGCGATTCAATCGATTAATATATCAATAACAAGTCACAAAAAGTTCGAAACAGGTTCTACGAAACAGAGGATAAATACGCAAGCACTAATCGGAAGAAAAAATAAACATGAAAAGTCAAATCGAAAAAATCACAGGAGACGATGAAGCGATGCAAACCTGGAGAAAGGAGATTTGGTAGCTGAAGAAGCGAGAGTAGTTTTTGATTTGATAACTTAGGGAGCCTGAATCTCCCAAAGTTGGATCTGAACCGCGAAGGGAGAGAGAAACAAACGCGAGAGAGCGAAGATTGAGGCTTTGAAGAGAGACTGAAAGTAATCGGAAAGAGGCAGAGAGACAACGCCTTATTTATCTTTATATACTCCTTTTTCTTTTTTTTTTTCCTTTCACATCACGAGTCGTGTTAGGGTTTTCTTCTCCATGAGAAAATCCTCTCCTATTCTATTTGGGAATGACGATTTTACCCCTATACAATCTTTCTTTTTACTCGTTTGGATCGGACAAGGACTTCCTTCCACACACGACTAGTGTGTTCGTGTCTTAAACTCATGTTTATTTAACAAGTTTTAGCAAAATTAAAAAGACGGATGAAAACAACTTTTATCTAAATTGATTGATAAAGAATAATCTAGTGGAAACTTAGGAACATATTTATTTTCTTCAGCTTAAAATAAAGCTTTCTTTTCATTATTCTTTCCAGTTATTTATTTTATTGAAACGGGTAATGGAAAAATTTAGAAAGGGAACAAGATGAAAACGGGTACTCTAGTTACCCATTTAAAATTTTAAAAATTGAAAATTATATAATTTTTAACAAAATGTCCCAAAAAAATTCGAAATTCGGCGTATTTTCCATGTTTTCTCAAATTATCTCGTCATTTTCCGAAAATTCTTTACTTTTTCCCAAATAAAACTTTTATATCTTATTGGATTAGGTTTTTAGTTTCAAATTTCTCGATTTCATTACATCCTGTTATTTCTCATCTCACTATCTTAAAGAAATACTTCATATGATATATATATATATTTTCTCAAATTTCTTATTCCAATTAATTCCTATCACAGAATCTGAAAAACACATGGCTGATTAGGAGAATACAGAAATAAAATTATTTTTATATATCAACCATTTGTATAACTCTCTCACTCAAATTGTTGATTAGTCAACAGTTCGACAAATCGACTAATCAACGGCATTTACAAGAATCATTGAATGCAATAATCTTGGATGGTAAAACTAGCTCTAGAATCGTGTGTAAAATTGGAAACCATATCTTATATACCTCACTGAGAGAAGCACCATCTGAAAACCACTGAAATAAGTAAAGTTGAAGGACCAAATAAATGTCACCACGAGCTTTTTTAGGTTATGCGTCAAACTTAAAGAGTGAAGCTGAAATCAGAGAGTTCTATGATGTTTGGAGGATCTCTCCATAAACATTAGAGAAAACTAATCGCTAAGAACTTGACACTTAGAGCAAGAACAACAGAGAGATTATGAGGAGCTTTTTAGCAAAAAAAAAAAAAAAAAAAATCTACATGGCGAAACCGAAATTGAGAGACGTCTCTTCCCGAAGAGGTTTTGGAGACATTCGTTAAGAGACGTGTAGAGATTGGATTTTCGTTTTTTTTTTGTTACGAAAATCACTTTAAAAAAAATTAAAGAAACATTTAACGGTGCTCTCAGGACTAGACTTAGCAAATGGAAGTAAATTTGAATGTATTCAGTGTCTTCGTTTCTTTCTAGATTTTTCTTCACAACCAAGACTCAAATTGTCCGGTAATAATACAACATCATCATGCATAGTTCATAGTTGCATACAGTGACGGAACAATCATCCATTATAATAAAAAGAAAAGTCAGTTTTGGTCCATGGAAAATGGATTTCAAAAGTTCTAAGTATTTGCTATATGAACCTATCAAAGTAAAATCCCCTAACTAAAAGGCAAATCTAATGTTCTCGGGTGATTGAGAAGCAGATATCATCATTTCACAATCTCAATCACTCTGAACTGACTGAAATTCCAAATGGTGCTCCAATTTGTTTCTCTGCATATTAGACAGAAACTTGTGTACGCGTACACAACAATTCATTTTTCGTCAGTCTCACTCTCATCTCATCACATTGATTCGTTTCTTTCCACCAATTCTGCTTTGCAAATCCACGGATTTATGGATTCTGAAGATCATTTACTTTGAACGGGCCTAAGATTAGGCCCATTAATAGAGTTGACATTAAAATCGGCCATAGTTTGAGTAATCCCTGCCGTTGATTAGATGCTGAGTAAACACACGCACCTGATGATCGATGTCTTTTGGTAAGCCGCAAAAGCTCTGAGAATAAAAGACAGAGCAGTCGAAAAGAACAAAAAAAATGAAATTTCAGTTAAAACTATACAACAAGTCAAATATCGAAATAATCATTCTCGATCTGTGATATTTTTCTGACTCTCAAAAAGGAAGGAAGAAACCCTATACAAACCCAAATACCATTTCTCTTTTTCCCTTCTCGTTTCCATCTAAACATACACAGTTGCAAATTCGGATCGGCTGACGCAGTTCCGATTGCTCAACAATGGCTTACGCATCTCGTATCATCAGTCATTCCAAGAAGGTTTCTGTTTCTCGATTTTCATTTTCTATGATTATTACTTCCGTTTTGATCGTTTGGCGTTGATCATGTTTCGTGTTCTTGTGAATTGGTGTTTTATCCATTTTTGCTGCTAATAGTTATCTGAATTGAATCTGAATTTTACCCTTTTTCGTGTCAGTCGAATTCTGTGGTTTTATCCTAATCTAATAGATTGTTCATTTTGATTTCCTTTTAACGAAATTTGGCATTTCTGCATTCGCTGTTTAGAGCTTTTTTTCAGTGAGCTCCTTGTAATGTTAGTAGCTTCGCTTTGTGATTGGAAATTCCGGTATAGACTGTTGTGTGCCCTCTTCCGTGCTTTGTGAGAGATGAAAAGTCTCTACTTTTACAGCAGAGTAATTGTCAGCTGCTCAGATTTATGTGTTAACTAACACAACTTTGATGGGTTGTGTGATTTGACAGTTGAAACATGTTTCCACTTTACTGAGGCGTGAGCATGCTGTGGCAGTCCGTGGCTTCACCAACAGTACGCAGCCCTCTCTCACTGGAAGAGAAGGTAAATGAGTGACCTTTTTCATTGCTGTTCCTTAGCTCATGTGATGAAGAAATGAATCCATTTCTAGATTGTATGCTTGTTGCTTCAGCATTTTCTGCTTTTGGCCTGCAGATATCTTCAAGGTCCGCCTGAATTATTCCCCGGTAGAGAGAATTTCGAAATGTAGTTCCAGCAATGTAAGCCCCTACTGTTCAGCTTCTGTTCTCATTATGTCTAATAGCATAATCTTTTGTGTCTTAATTTCATTAACTACATTATATAGGTACCAATGCGTAGTGGTATTTCAGCAATGAACACAAAACTAAGCAGCAGAATGACAGGACCAAGTTTTTTTAAAGAATACATAAGGTACATAATATTTTCCCAAGTGTATTCTTCTTGATCTCTGCCTGTATAGATAATTCTATCATAACTGTGAGCTTCTTTTCCTGTGTATCAGCTCCCAGATGCGCTCAGCAAGAGGATTTTCATCCAGTTCAGGTAGTTAGCTCATCATCACGAGTTTATTGTTCACTGCTGTATGTCATCTTCTTTGACCTGAATGAAACTTGTGTTGAGAAAACCACTTTGCTGATTTTGTTTGTGCCAGATCATATTGTATACCATTCCTAGAAAAAGGCCGTGTCTTGTATATTCTAGCTACAACAGTTTTGTGTACTGCATAACAAGATTGTGCAACTGTGTGGAATTTATTGGTATTTGGAATAAATAGCATTTGACTTGGTTCATGTGTCTTTTGCGGCCATCATATTTCTGTTACTGCGGTTTGCATTCCTGCATGATTTGTTTTACCAAAAACTTCAAAAATTATGTTTCAGATCTTCCTCCTCATCAAGAGATTGGAATGCCTTCTCTTTCGCCAACAATGACTGAGGCATGGACCTCTGAGTACCTCCTTACTTATTTTATGTGGTTTATTATTTTATCTTTCTGCTAAAGCTATCTGTTTCAAACTTCAGGGTAACATTGCCAAGTGGCTGAAGAAAGAAGGTGATAAAGTTGCTCCTGGTGAAGTGCTTTGTGAAGTTGAAACTGTAATGTTAATCTAGCTTTAATTGTTTTTTTTTGCTTTTAATAATTTCTCGTGTGCCAGGACTAGACTTCTAATCTTAAGCTGTATATTTTAGGACAAAGCAACTGTTGAAATGGAATGCATGGAAGAGGGTTTTCTGGCCAAGATAGTACAGAAGGAAGGAGCAAAAGAAATTCAAGTTGGAGAGGTATGAGAGATTCTGGTTTTCATCAAATATTGATTGTGATCCCTGAGCTCCCTTTCCTCTTCATCTGTAGAATCATTTATGAATCGTCTTTTTTTTTGTCCAACTAGGTGATTGCTATCACAGTTGAAGATGAAGATGATATTCAAAAGTTTAAAGATTACACCCCTTCATCTAATGCTGCTCCCGCTGCTCCTGAAGAAAAACCAGCCCCTTCTCCACCTAAGGAAGAGAAGGTAGAGAAAGTCGAGAAGCCTGCCAGTGCTCCTGAAGCCAAGAGTTCTAAGCCAAGCTCGGCTTCTTCAGGAGATCGTGTTTTTGCTAGTCCTCTTGCAAGAAAGCTGGCTGAGGATAACAGTGTTAGTTTCCAATAAAACCCCATAATGTTCTTGTGCTGAATCGTCATCTTATTAATTATCTCCTTTGCCCTTAAAACATCAGGTACCTCTCTCAAGCATCGAAGGTACAGGACCTGAAGGACGCGTAGTGAAGGCTGATGTCGAAGAGTTCTTAGGTATCATAGCTCCTTGGCACTTCCTTCCCTTACATTTTGTTCCCCGTCTCTCTTGCCTCAGCTTACACCTGCCCTCTCTCCTAATACATCTTCCTATGGTACAGCTTCACGCGGTAAAGAAACTACTACCAAGCCTTCCAAGGCCACTGATTCAAAGGTTCCAGCTATGGATTATGTTGACATCCCTCACTCTCAGATACGAAAGGTATATCTATATGACCTTTACTGTCGATCGCTTGATGGAATTCTATGATTTATGCCAAATTTTCCCCTGTCCGTGGATTTTCAAATCTGTGTATTCTATGACCTTGACAGATTACAGCCTCACGTTTGGCATTCTCAAAAGAAACTATTCCTCACTACTACTTGACCGTGGATACATGTGTTGACAAAATGATGGGGTAAGTATTGAGTTTCAGATGATGTATTTTGTTTCGCCCAATGGATGTTAGACATGGCTACTTTTATTTGCAGTCTAAGGAGTCAACTCAATTCATTTCAAGAGGCTTCCGGTGGGAAACGTATATCTGTAAATGATCTTGTTATTAAGGTATGTCGTACTTTTGTTTTTGCAAGTAAGACCAAGAAAATCTCCTTCTCTTTCTTTCTCCATTGTGAAATATTGTCTTATTTGAAATCATAGGCTGCTGCATTGGCTCTACGTAAAGTTCCTCAGTGCAACAGTTCATGGACAGACGAATATATCCGCCAGTAAGTGTATTTGTTGCTTCAGAGGTTCATGGCAACTTTGCAAACCATCTAATTCGTTGGTTCTTTTTTTTCCCTCTCTTTGTGTACAGATTCAGCAATGTGAACATCAACGTCGCAGTGCAAACAGAAAACGGGCTGTACGTTCCTGTTGTCAAGGTGCTGGAGCGGAGCACTCAATACAGTTATTAAACCTTTCTTTGCATAAACTTGAGATTTCTTCAAAACTAAACTTCATTAAATTTCTTAATCCCAGGACGCAGACAAGAAAGGATTGTCCACAATTGGAGAAGAGGTTCGATTCTTGGCCCAGAAAGCAAAAGAAAACAGCTTGAAGCCTGAAGATTATGAGGTAAGATTAGAATTCTATCACTGCACACTAAATATGATGCTCCGAAAGCAAATAAGCTCAAACAATTTATTTTGACAGGGAGGAACATTCACAGTCTCCAACTTGGGAGGACCTTTTGGCATCAAACAGTTCTGTGCTGTCATCAATCCACCTCAAGCCGCTATTCTAGCAATCGGATCCGGTAAAGCCTTACACACACAAATACACCATCCATTTTTAGTTTCTTCCCCGTGACTGATTGTATTGTCGTGTTTGAATCTCAAAACAGCTGAAAAGAGAGTTGTTCCCGGTATTGGTCCTGACCAATTCAACGTTGCTTCTTACATGGCTGTAACACTAAGCTGTGACCACCGCGTAATTGATGGTACAAAACTCCCTCCGTTCCTATGCTATGACCATCATTATCTCATGGAAAACGTTCTGATACTAAGTTGTCGTCCTTGTGCAGGTGCGATTGGAGCTGAATGGTTGAAAGCATTCAAGGGTTACATTGAGACCCCAGAATCCATGTTACTCTAAAATCCACACATTCACACACACATACACATCAAAGCTAAAAAAGCTCATGAGAGTCTGACCTCAAATTTCTCTGGTTCTACGGTTCCTACCAGATTTGATCTCTATTAGCCCTGGGCATGCCCTTTAAAGTTGGTTGTTTTGTTATTCATTTACATTGAGATCTCGAGTTAGACAGATTTTTTGTCTCAAAATAAAATCAGGAATCCAACAATTTTACAGTTGATTAGATACGTGGCTTCATCATTGGTTGGCAACTTGGCATAATAAAACCATTTCCTTTTTTGTTATTCATATTTGATATTTCTTTTGTGTTAACAAACTACCTGTTAGTCACAATTAAAAATGTGAATCTTTGAAACAAACAACGAAAAACAAAAGAGAGCTAATGATCACATAAAATGCCTTAAACTTTCGTTTATGGTGAAACCTAGACCAACAAAAGTCATCACTGAGATGAAGTATTTGCGTCATTAAACCAAAGGAACATAATAGAAATCAACATGTCGACAGCAAAAATGGGTAAAAGTTAAACAAATCTTCTGCAAGATCCTCCTCCCTTGTGTGTCTCTCCATCTATCGTTTCCTTTTCCGCATAATCTGAGGGAACTTGAGAGGGACAGGCAAGTTGAAAACAACATTAGACTTCTTACTATGAGAGTATTTGCAGCCAAGGTTCTCAAAATGCTTCCTGAGTTCAACTTGGCTAATCCTCAGATCCTTGGCAATGTCTTCCGGGTCGGTCTTGAAGTCGTCCACGTGGAGAGCGAGCACAAGAACGTAGCTTATCAGAAGGTTGATCTTGTCATGAGGCATCCTCCCTTCGTCAGAATCCTTGAACAACCTCTTACATTTCTGACGGATGATTCCTGGAAACTTGTGGTTCTTAGCCGAGCTGAAACCATCCATTGAATTCAAGTCCTTGAACTTCACCAGATGGGTTAGGAGCGATAACACAACAGCAACAGTATCCTTCTCGGTCTTGTTCTGCAAATTAACCAAAATGAAACCAATGCTATAACGAACCTGAGCTGTAAATTAAACTACCTACAAGTTCATAGTCTCTTGGCTTAGAGTAACGGTGCAAGCCAACATGATATTTCAAGTCAATATACGCATACTTCCAAGAAAAAAGATCAGAGAGTGTTACCTTGATACCTCGCAGCTTGTCCAATCTGTTGCGGACAAAGAGAGGGTATTCATCCGTTGCTGTTCGAATCACGTCCTCCACAGGGTCGTAAATATCTTGAAGGAATTTCCATTCTCCAGTGTCGATGATCTTTTCAATAGGGTAAGCTTTTTCTGGAGCCGTAGCAGAGACATCATGAGGAGGAATGTTGCGTGAAACATTCGCATCGGTGCTTTCAAGAGCACTTGTGTTTAAATCTGCTTCGGTGAGTTTACGTTCATCGGAATCCAGAGCATCAGGATCAGCTCCAAGAGTTAAGGCCTTCTTCCTCTTGTCCTGCATAGAGCAACACATCATTCTCATCAATCCTCTAATACAGTGAGATGCATACAAGAGACTAAAAACTAAATGCTAATGAATATTGCAGCTTTACCCGATTAATAGCTGACTTAGTACCAAACTTGCTGTTAAGTTTCTCTCTTCCTTTCATAGCACGTTCCTTCTCGCTAAGCTCCGTCGTGACTGCACTTTCTGCAGCTTCTGAATCGACTGCTTCTTTGATTTTAACTCTTGGCTCCAATCTGAATACCTGCAATTGAAGCCAGATTCAACTCTACATTCTAAAAATGACACAGAATCCAAATTCGACTCTCAAGTTCCATCTTTTTCGAATCAATAGTTGAAGCAAAATCAAAACCCAGGTCGTAGAGATGATTAGGGATTGAAACCTTATTGTGAGCAATCGGAAGGATTCTCAAAGTCTGAGCTTCTTTATCGAGAACGCCGAGTGTGTACACGCAAGTCTGTCTAGCAGCTTGCTCGCCGGTGTAATTGGAGCCGACGAACTCCACGTTTGAGCCAGGAGGGCTTACGACGACCTGAAGCCTCTTCTTAGCCTCTGACTTGTGCCTGTAAACAGTGACGTTCGGGGATTCTCTGTCGTCGGATTGCGAAGAAGGATCGTATGGCGAAGCGAAATAAGCGACGATCGGAGGGATTCTATCTGGCTTCTCGGAGATTTGTTTGACAGTGATGTCGATAGTCGCGGCGTCGTCTTCTTCGTCGTGATTCTCTGTTTCGCTTGTTGACTTGTTCTTCCTCTTTTTGCTCTTTTTCACGAGCTGTGGCGTTTTGAACGCATCTTCCTCTTCCATATAGTCATTCTCGTGTTCGTCCGCCATTGTCGAAGAGCAGGATTGATACTCTCGGTCTCGGTCGATCTAACGAAACTTGAACGGTGTAGAGAAGAAGATACTGAAACTGCTAAACCCTAATTTTGCTCGGGTTACTTTTAAAAATTGCAAAGCAGACCCTTTCATTTGTCTCTAATAGAAGAATCCTCGCCTAGTTTTGTTTTTCACCCTAAAACATTAAGCCGTCTAAATTAGACTCACGCCGTTATAATGGTCTAATGTAGTTTAGCCTGGATACACTTTAATAATCAACATGCGCATTAATTAAATTAATTTGAGTTTGATAAATAGGGGGTTTGACAACTAGTTGGTAGGATTTTGTTACTTTTCATAAACTAGAAAATTAGTAAGTGTTTTGACAAAGAAAATAAGAGCTGCATTAATCAGTCCCCATTGTTCCACAACTAACGTTCGTTCTACGTTTTGTTCGTTAGATGGTTTGCACACGAGTGCTCTTCGTTATCAAAGTACCTCGATCTGTTAGAGGAGAAATTAGCACATTTCCCTGAGCCCGTCATCATTAGTAAAGTACAAAGCCCAATCCGATTTTAGGCCTAACATCTTCAAGAAAAAGGCAAGACTTGAAGAGAAAGGCACAATCCATGGAGAAATGTAAATAAATCTTCATGCCGACTTAAAGAATGGAGAAAGATCCAAAAACAAGAGGGAATTTTCCATATCGCAAAAGAGGAAGTTTTCCATCTCGCCTGAAGGAGAATATTCATCATTCGGCCGACTTATCAACCATATATATTGAAGACCCCCCCATTGGAGAGAGGGATCCGAAATCATCTAGAATCACTAGGCTTTCACATTAGCTTTTACTCTATCCTCTTGTTCATCACCATAATCTCGCTAGGCTTGTTAGCGAGATTGCTCTCTTGTAATCTTCTTGATAATCTAAGAGTCGAATTAAGCGTTCCAGTTTCCTAAACTCACATCTTAGATAGCCCGTCTTGACGAGTGCTATCTCGGATTCAACAATTGGCGCCCACCGTGGGGCTGGAAACGCTTCTCGCTATTCATCTCGAAGATATCTAGATTTTCACGAACTAGCAACGATGGCGAACTCGAAAGAGAACACTCCCACCGGGAGCCCGTCTCCCTCAGAAGAAAACTTAAGCGACAGTCTACCAGGCACGATAGACAAGTCGCTACCCGCTGAAGGTAGGGACAAGCCTGTCCCTACAAGAAACCCATCTTTCTCGCCACAGAGATCCGTCTCGCCGCGAAGATCGACTTCGCCGCAACGATCTCCTCCGCCAAGAAAGGACGAGAGCCCTCCTCCGTCCGCACCACGCCGCTCGAGAAAATCTTCCTCGAGCGACAAACCCCGCAGCTCGAAGAAATCCTCCTCGAGCGAGAAGATCCTCAAACTCATGGAGAATCTCGTCAAGCCACTCGCCGACGGTTTCGAGTCAATGCGAGCACAGCAGAAAAAGACTCAGGAACAGGTGGAAGCCCTAGCACGAGAAGACGATGAAAATCCGTCAAGTCCCACCGACGGAACAACCCCCCGTCCTGCGCACTTCAGGCGACTTACCACTCAAGAGCTTGAACGGGTGAATCGCCGCCTCGACGAGGTCGATTCGAAAGTTCATCGCGCCACCAGCTCAGCTCCGGAATTGACGAAAGCACTCGCCGACACCCGAAGAAGCCCGCTCACCCGCAGGCTCCGCCAGATTGAGCTACACGAAAGAGTTCGACTCAAAATCGACTCTTACACCGGCGAAGAAGACCCCAAGAAGTGGCTAACCGCGTTCAACCTCGCCATGAGGAGGGAGAAATACAAATCTTACGATGAAAGGGAGGCCAACTACTGTCAAGTATTCGTCGAGCACATGGCGAAAGATGCCTTGACCTGGTTCTCTAACCTCCCCGCCGAGTCGATCGATAACTTCGACGACCTAACCAATGCTTTTCTGAAGCATTACTCCATGCACATGACCCGAATCACTCGGAACATGTTCACCACAACGCAAACCCAAGGCGAACCATTGCGCAGCTTTATGGAAAGGTTCAAACAAGCAGCTCGCGACACTGGCGACATGCCCGATAGCGTCCCGCTGGAAGCACTCCGCAACGGCCTCTGGTACGACTCCAAGTTCAAGGAGGATTTGTCACTAAAACCCCCTGCGACTCTGGAGGACGCGTTCCACCGCTCTCGGAACTACATCTTCCTCGAGGAAGACCAGCGCTTCTACGCCGAGAAACATGGAGATAGGAGGGCAACCTCGACGAAACCCAGAGAGGAACCCATGGAGGCGCGAAGAAGACACGATCCAAAGAGGTCTCTCCTCACAGCGTTCGCAGCAGCCGACGACGAGTTCGAGCAAGAACACGCAGCGGCCGTTTCGATGCCACAAGACATCAACTCGCTCGGAGATGACAACGATACCAAAGCTTTCTGCAAGTTCCACGGGAGGACTGGCCACGCCACTGAAAACTGCAAACACCTAATGAGCAACCTCATGCGCATGTACCATCGAGGAGAAATCCCGCCAATGGACGGTGATAGGTCCCAAGGAAAAAGCTTCCCGCCGAAACCACCAAAATCTGGGCAGCAGGAGAAGCGCGGACGACAACCCCGTCCGAGGAAGGATGCAGAAAAGGCGGAAGCCCGCTTGGGAAAAGGAATCGTGATGACCACGACGACCTACCTCCGCCACCGAAGCGACAAGTCAGCATGATCATGGGAGGCTTCCTGGATAACGACGATTCCATATCGGCGATCAAGGAATACGAACGAAAGGCCGTCGCGGCACAACGCTACCCGTATATCCATAAAGGGATCCCTACCATCTCCTTCACGGATAAGGATGCGAGCGGGCTGGACATCCCTCACCTTGACCCACTCGTAATCACTCTACAGATCCACGATTGTGACGTCGCGAAGGTCCTGGTTGATACCGGGAGTACGGTGAACCTCATCTTTCTGGAAACACTGAACCGCATGGGGTGGAGGAAGGATCTATCAAACCTACATCCCGTCCCCTCACCGGTTTCACCGCCGAGCATGTTTACAGCTGTGGCACAGTCCGGCTCCCCGTTTATGTCGGCGGAATTTCAAAGCTCTTGAAGTTCATCGTCATGGACAAACCGGCCATCTATAACGCTATCCTCGGCACCCCATGGCTCCATGAAATGAAAGCTGTCATCTCGACGTTCCACCAATGCGTGAAGTTTCCGATACCCTCTGGAATTTTCACCTTACGTGGAGATCAAAGATGACGAGATCATGTTTCCTCCGCGAGCGCAAGCTCCGCACCGCGTCGTCCTGTATGATAACCGAGCCAGTATCGGACGACGAAACCGACGAGTCCAACGCAATAAAACGAGCCGTCGCAACGCAGAATGCAGATCCCCCGATCCATCGGCAAAGGAACTCCGAGCCCGCCTGGAAATCCGACTTAAGGTCCAGCTTTGGCACTAAACACAAGGATCTCTCCGATCTATTCGAGATGGAGCAACTCGAGGACGAACCGCTACGAAGCTACCTGAACAGATTCAAGAGCGCGCTGCTCGACCTCAGGGACATTCCGGGAGCACCCCCAATCGCGGAACCGGTACTCGTCCAAGCCCTCGGAAACGGACTTCGATACGAATCCGGATTCTGGGAAGATATCCGCATCCGCCCCTCCCCAACTTTGAAGGACGCCTTCCTCCGCGCTGAGAATTACATCCGCCTCGAGCAAGACATCCCGCAGCTACGGTTCGACCCCGAAGATCCTCGGTTCCGGCTAAGAAACAAGAGAAAGTCATCATCCTCTCGCCCGGAGAAGTCCACGCATAAAGCACCAAGGTGCCATCACGAATCTCTCCCTCGCCGAGACGACGCCCCTGTCTACGAAGGCGAGACCAGGAGAAACATGGAGAATCGCGCGAAGACTGATCGCCATGCACCCCCGCAATGCTCGTTCTCCGATCAGGAGATATTCGAGATCATTGCCGATATTCGAAGAACTCCCCTGACAAGCCGCCTATCCGAGGTACCACTGAAGAAGCGCGCTTCACTACACCTAAACTTCTATGATGGCCGAGAAGATCCCAAGCAGTGGATCACATCCTTCATGACGGCCATGAGAAGACAGAAATATACATCGCCGGAAGAACAAAGCGCGCACTTCTGCCAAGCCCTCGCCGAACACTTGCGCGGCGACGCCCTAACATGGTTCAGCAACCTCCGTGCCGACTCCATCGACAGTTTCGACGATCTAGCAGCCGCTTTCCTAAAGCAACACCTCCGTTTCGCATTAGACGACCTCGTCTTTTGCAAAACCGATGACGATACGATCTATGGTCTCGGCAAATTCGGTTCCGACTGGGAAGGACCATTCCGCATCGCGAAAGTCGTCAAACCAGGTATCTATCAGCTAGAAGACAACCTCGGCACCACGTCCGATCGCCTCTGGAGCTCGTCGGATCTGCGCAAGTTCCATGACTAGACGCGAAGCACCGCGCTAGCCAAAAAAAAAAGACATGTCCACGGCATGAACATTTGTAACGAACTACGATGGCTTGATCCCGGCACGGGTACGTAGGCAGCCTTTCTCACCAAGGGCGCAGCTATAATACTTAATAAAATTTTAATTTTATTAAAACCTTTTCTCTCGACAAGCGCGCCTCATTCTGGCATAAGCTGAAACTTGTCGACACCCAGCACGCACCCGTTTGACGTCAAACCAAGTTATTGAGGCAAACTCAATAAGCACTTGCACTTTGCACCCTAAAAACATGGACTGATCACCCATTCATTAAGCCGAGAGCACGCACCTCGCACGGCTCTCAGTTCGTCGGACGAGCGAAAAACCGCTACCTCGTCACCCGCACGAAGCTTTGAAGTCGGAAGCATAAATCGAGTTTCTAGAGCTCGTCGCTGAAAGTAGGTTTAACATCCTAAGCACACAGACCTAATACGCGCCGGTCGGTGTCTCGAATGAGAAGTCATGACGAAACCCGAAAGCATCGCGTCCAGTCATGACGCACTAGCACCATCACGCGCACCATGTCGTGATACACTTAAAGGTAACGAGTCATCCCGATAATCGAATTTCCTACTCGGTGACGACCAAGTACTTAATTCATTTTATACGGTTGACGACACCATCGTCCTTTATTAAAAGACATAACCAAAAGCCGGATTACTTTCGTCGCGCTGCGAACTAATCAATTATGTCTAAAAGCCGTGACCGCATCACCACGCAAGCACACAAAAAAAAAGAGAAAAAATCAATACTTAAACATCTTGAGTATCTGATATAAATCTGAAGCATAAATCCTAAAGCATACGGATAAAAACCTTCCCAGGCAATGTTATTACAACAAAAAGGCCGCAGCCAGAAAAGTCTTAAAACAAATAAAAATGGGGCCTAAGCAGACTTGGCCCCAGAAGTAGAGGGTCCCGCACCCGGATCCGCACCACCACCATCTCGACGAGAAGGAGATCCCGGCAGCACCAGCCGTTTAAGGCTACAAAAGCAGAGCAAAACATAAGCAAACATTACGCAAAGCGCAACATAACGAGTAGAGAAGCAAAAATCTCACCTGTTAGGCGGAGCGAAGTCATCATCATCGATAACGACTTCGTCAATCGCATCCCCATCCGCGATGCTCTTCGCCAGCTTAGCCGCGAGCTTCTCCTCCACCGCGTCGAAGTTCAGATCCACTCCCCGAATCTTCTTCACAAAGTTGAGGAGAGCCTCGTCGACTTGCCTCCTCCCCACAGCGGCTTCAACCATGTCCCGCTGCGCGACGAACTCCGACAAGCGATGGAGGCGAGGAGCATACCAGTCATTCACCGAGTCGAAGACCTGAGTCACAGCCGCCTCGACCGATCTCGACGAGACCGTCGGAGACGCTCCATCTCAGCAGCAGAAGCCTCTGCATCCCGACGCCTTCTCCTCCAGATCGCCCACTGAGCCCTTAGCTTATCCGCCCTATCCTGAAGACCGATAGTTTCATTATCTCCTTGTTCACGCCGCGATCTTTCCCTCAAGCGCGAGTTTGTCCAGCTTCAAATCGGCCACCATCGCATCGACATCTTTGGCTTTCTCCTGGTCCCGCTGCAACCTAAAAACCTCTTCCTTGGCCGCCGAGAGCGTCTCGTACTTCTGGATCAGCGCAGTAAATTTCCCACCGGACATAACGTGATGCTGAGCCGCCTCGTCGAAATACCACTAAACTCCAAACTTTCGCGCGGAACGCCCCAAGTAGGATGAACTTTGGAAGACCAAGTCTTCCCTCCACAAGCGTCCCGGTTCTCCATGAGAGGGCAAACACTACGCCACCGCATCTCAAACGCATGAGGATTGTTCATCAGGTTCGATCTTCGGTAACACGCCAACTCCGTCGGCACCTGGATTTGGATCAGGAGTAGGACCACGTGCCTCCGAATGGCGAGAAACCGCTTCGTCATCAGTGTGCCGGGACGACTCAGGATCACTGCCCCGGATAAATGAAGGACCGTCGTCGCGAGAAGTAAGGAACTCTTCCTCCCAAAACAGGTGAAGTACCGCACGTTGGAGTCTTCAGAACATCATCGTGACGAGAAGCACTCTCGTCCTGACGAGGTACACTGCCGTTATGATCTGAAGGAGAGGACTCGAGCTCGACCACCCCTCTGGAACCTTTTCCGGAGCCGAAGATGATGTCCTCCTCGCCGAAGCCCTATGAAAAACATCAAAACTCAGCATCAAAAATAATCATCTGATGAACAGATAACTCACCTCGTACGCGACGCGATAGAAGAACTCCGGAGAGAAGGAGAAGGGGAGTCCCTCGGCCTTGGGGATTCGACCCTCTTCTTCTTACACGCCGGCTCGGAAGCAACGACAACATCGTCAATCGGCACGGCGGTCCTCTTTCTAAGACCCATCGGTTTCTTCTTGACTCGAGGCGACCTCGCTGAAATAAAGCAAAATAATAACGCTAAGCGATTCATGACAGAGTCGAGTATGAGGGAAGGATGAGATACTTACTAGATATTGGAGTAGCGGGGACAGCAGGCTTGCTTCTCCCTTCTTTCCTCTCCTTCCTCTCTCTCTTCTCTCTCTCAAGCTTCTCCACGACCTCGGGCCAGATCCGATGACTAAGGTCCCTCAAAGCATTGAATTTATTTTTAAGGGCGGTGCTCGGCCTGGCTCGTCTTAGTGGATCTGCCAAGAAAAGGACGCAAAGATTAGTAAAAAGCATCTCAACAAAAGCAACAAGCTGAACAATTCCATCAATGTTCTACCCGGCGAAGAAACCCAATCGGTTTTGATCTGCTCGGATTTGAAATTCCCAACCGACGCCTTGCTAATTTTCACAAAGAAGAAATAGCGCTTCCAGTCGGGAATCCTATCCCGATAATTGCCGAAGACGATTCCATGACGCATCGCGGTGTGGAAACGTTTGAAGTTCCCCTCCCATTTGGACCCGGCGCGAAGATCCGTGACGTTTTCAAAAAGATAGCGGTCGAACGTGATATTCGCGGCCTTCGCTAAAGCATCCGTGAAGACCATGTGACGGAAGACGCCGTGAGTCAGTTGACTAACGGCGACGCCTCGTTCAGAGGCGAATTTCAACAGCAGGAAAGGCAACGGAAATTTCATTCCGTACTCGGTAAAAAAGCATTCGTAAACGCAAATCCATCCCGGCGGAGCATCATAAGGCCTCTCGTGCTCCTTCGGAATCCGGAACTCAATACAACCCGAAAAGCCAACTCTCTTGGTCAGCGCTGTAAGAATTTCGGGAGTCATCCACGTTCTGCCATTTGTTATGCGCAGCAGTTTAGATTCGGAGTGCTCCGGCATCTTAATAATCTCAGGGATGCCTGTCAAGCGAGGACGGTCCGGAACCTCTTCGTCATCACGTTCCGAGTCGGCATCGGAATCGTCCGATGGGATTTTGTCACGGTATCCCTCCTCAGAGTCATAATCATCACAGGGGTCACACTCTACCCTCGCTTTCATCCTTCTTTCCGCCGCCTCTCGACGCTCGGCCTCGGCGGCAACTCTTATCACCTCTTCCATCTCGGCTCTCTCGACCACTCTTTCGGCCTCCGCTTCAGCAGCCTTCCTCCGGCGCGCCTCGGCCGTATCAGCACGGATGGCCTCGCCAAGGAGTCTGTCGGGGTTGCCGGATGACGGGCCCGACGTTTGGTCTTGTCGTCATCATCCATGGCGATACCCTTCCCCTTTCTATCTTGCGAATCCATCCCGATTACGCGGAAAATTCGGAAATTCGAAGATTGGAGCAACCAAACTCGACGGAGCAGAACCCTAGGATCAGAAGACAAAATCGAAGCACAGCCTAACTAGATCCAAGCAATTCGCGATTCCCTAGTCCTAAATCCCGGAGAATCGATTCGAGAAATCAATCGAGGCAAGATTTGAAGTCGAGTAGCGGAAGTTACCTTTGATTCGTCGGGACGGTTGAGTGAGAAGAAGAAAGGAAGCAAAAATGAATAAAGGAAATTCGAACGGTCTCTTAATAGAGATCGCGCGACTTCCAAGGGACACAACTGCCCTTATGAATTTTTTATTCATTTCTTTCCCGCTCGACGGAAAAGCATTAATGGGCTTGGGCCTCCGCGCGATTTAATCAATTATCAGGCCCGACCCGCGCAATTTCGCAAAAAATAGATCTACCCGGGCAATGACGTGGCAGTATCGCCCAAATACGAACATAAGGGCGGATCCGTCACAGCATTCAAACCAAGAACGCATTTTTGGTCTCGGCAAAAATCATTCAAAGCACATCATTATGGATTAGATGACGTCAACGTACTCTTTTTCCTTTTTATGGTTTTTGTCCCAATTGGGTTTTTCCGTACCAAGGTTTTAATGAGGCGGCACGAGTCTACATTCAGCATGCACCTAGGCACTAAGATCCGATTGAAGTGATGTATTTTTACTAATGATTCTCAAGCTCGTCCTCTATTCATGAAGCTCGCCGAGATCAAACTACATTTGACCTGCCGAGCTGGCGGGGGGACTTATTGTTAGAGGAGAAATTAGCACATTTCCCTGAGCCCGTCATCATTAGTAAAGTAACAAAGCCCAATCCGATTTTAGGCCTAACATCTTCAAGAAAAAGGCAAGACTTGAAGAGAAAGGCAAATCCATGGAGAAATGTAAATAAATCTTCATGCCGACTAAAGAATGGAGAAAGATCCAAAAACAAGAGGGAATTTTCCATATCGCAAAAGAGGAAGTTTTCCATCTCGCCTGAAGGAGAATACTCGCCATTCGGCCGACTTATCAACCATATATATTGAAGACCCCCCTTTGGGAGAGGGATCCGAAATCATCTAGAATCACTAGGACTCTCACATTAGCTTTACTCTATCCTCTTGTTCATCACCATAATCTCGCTAGGCTTGTTAGCGAGATTGCTCTCTTGTAATCTTCTTGATAATCTAAGAGTTGAATTAAGCGTTCCAGTTTCCTAAACTCACATCTTAGATAGCCCGTCTTGACGAGTGCTATCTCGGTACGCTCTAAAATCGAACCTATATACAAAGCATTCGTTTTCGATTTACCGCGATGAATCATTCGACAAGTACATGTAATAATACGAAAGTAAAGACCTTGACATAAACAAAAATATCCAAAGTCAAATTTGATGTTGTGTACAATTAGTATTCTAAACGTGAAAACCTAGAACTCTGTTTATAAACATCAACAACAACAACAACAACAACAACAAAAATTCCAACGACTCTTCTTCCCTAATGTTAATATCATTGACTAGACAGTAAGATTGTCAACTACTAGTTTTTTTAATTACCGTGATCAACAAACCAGAACTTTCTATCTCCCTTCCTAAAAACACAATTCTCTCATTCTCTTTTCCTTTATAATCTCGACGAAACGAGAAGCTACATATACGCAAAACTAAGAAACAAACTAAACCTACACGTGAGAGTGAGACACTTCAAATCATGGAAATCAACGGTGGGGAAGATCATCAATACGAAGAATCATCGGAATGGTTCGTAAAGTACTTAAACCGTCAAGGCGATTTGTTAGAGAAAACCAGAGGATATCTGATGGTTGTAGCGACGGTTATAGCTGGTATGAGTTTTCAAGTTATGGTTAATCCTCCGGGTGGCGTTTGGCAGAGTGACAATTGTTCCTCCGGAGATCAAAATTGTAAGGCGAAAGCCGGAACTTCGGTACTGGAGCATGAAAGTGAAAGTTGGAAGCGTGAACTCTATCTTGGGATGGTTATTAGTAGTACTATATCGTTTTCTGCTTCCATGAGTCTTATTCTCCTCTTCATCAGCGGTTTACGACTTAGGTACTAATCATTAATTAATGTGCAACTCATATATACGACGTATAACTTCACGGTAGATAATTGATGATAACTTGTTTATAGTTATTATTTTTGAATAATTAGGTATATCTATATATGTGGTTTGATAATTGATAGTTGTTACTGAAAAGGGAGAGAAAAGTTATGTATTTTGTTTACTTTTCATGTAAACTGAGATTAAGCTGTTGACTTTGGTTAAGTAAGTATACTAGGTTGACTTAGTTAATTCAACAAAGCCGGTCTGATTGGTAAAACGAAATATTTCGAGTCGTCGCTATTTGATTGGACTAAAGGACAATGACAATTTGATTTCATAGACCATAGTTATCTACAGGTTTTTGGGAAACTCGTATTTAATAATTAGTGAGAATCGACTGGTTTTAATATATAAAAATAAAAAAATAATAATGCAGGAACCGGATGACAATGGCGATCTTGGTAACGTTTACGGTGGCGGCGGTTTTTTGTATATCGGCTGCGTTTTTCTTCGCCGTCGCGTTGGTTCAATCCGACGATAAAATAATTAGATATATACTAGTACTTTATTTAGGATTTTGGATTGTGTTTCCTGTGTTGATACTTGTAATCCAGCTGGTTCGGTTTTTAGGTTGGCTTATTTGTTTCATATGTTGTTGTCGTCCACGTCGACGACGATCTCCTCCACGGTTGCTGCCAGTAGTTCCATTTCCTGCCATATAACGAAGAAGGGGAACCGGTGGCTCGAGCCACGCGCGTATGAAATGAATAACGGTGTCAGCAGTGTGATCATATAGAACAGAAGTTTCTCATTTTCATTGTTATATAAAGTTTAAGTGCCGTTCAAAAAACATATATATATATATATATATATAAAGTTTAAGCCTGGTTGTGTATGGGGTTTGCTTAATTAATAAATTCGTTTCGATAATAATATTCTATGCGAATATCATGACAAAGCACCTTGTGATTAGACTAGTAGATAGTAGTGGTCTAGTTAACAAATTTTTAGTTTTACCACTGCAGCGTAAAAGACTAAAAGTGTTTACTGATCTGATCTTACAGCAGTCTAAACTCTATAGGACAAATTCAGTTATTAATAAAAAAAGTGAATGCATGTGGATGGAAATGAAAATATAACAACTTTATTGACATTCTTTCACAAATAATAAGAAGGTTTACAAAAGACATGATACGTATATATTTCTTCATGAGAGAGATTACTATCCCTGAACAATTAGTATTTTCGAAACATAAAAACCTATAACTCTGTTTATAAACAAACAAACAAATTTCCAACGACAATTCTTCCTTAATGTCAATATCATTGACTAGTTCATGAAATTGTTAACTACTAATTCTTTTCCCCGCGAGCAACAAACCAATAGTTTAAAATAAATACTTTTCTTAATCAAACCTGAAGGTTCTATGTCCCTTCCTGAAAACACTTAAATCTCATTATTTTTTTCCTTTATAATCTCGAGCAAACGAGAAGTTACATATACACATCGTTTCGAATCATGGAAGTCAACAGTGGGGAAGATCATCAGTACGCAGAATCATCGGAATGGTTCGTAAAGTACTTAAACCGTCAAGGAGATTGGTTAGAGAAAACCAGAGGGAACCTGATGGTTGCAGCAACGGTTATAGCTGGTATGAGTTTTCAAGTTATGGTTAGTCCTCCGGGTGGCGTTTGGCAGAGTGACAATTGTTCATCCGGGGATCAATCCGGAACTTCATCGGTTTGTAAGGCCAAAGCCGGAACTTCGGTACTGGAGCACGATAGTTCAAAGCGTAGACTCTATCTTGGAATGGTTATTAGCAGTACAGTGTCGTTTTCTGCTTCCATGAGCCTTATCCTCCTCGTCATCAGCGGTTTACGACTTAGGTACTAAATCATATAAGCAACTTTATCATACTCATGGGTTAATTGATAGTAGATCATTTGTGATAGCGTGTTTATACCTATTACTTTGTAAACTTTTATGTAAATATGTGGTTTGATAGATATTAGTGAAAAGTGTGAGAATTCAATTGATTCTTTTGTTTAATAGTCATGTAAATTGAGATTAAGATATACTGCCTTTGGTTTGTTTAATTATCCAACTAGGTAGGTTCTACAGTTCACTTAGATTAATTCAACAAAACCGGTCTGATTGCTAAAAGAAATAGACTTGTCGCTAATTGATATGGACTAAAGGACTATGGCACTGATTTTATAAAAGTTAGTTTAATGATTTGACGTTAACAATTAGTGAAAATTAATTGGGTTTAAGATGAATTAGTTATTGGATGTTAAATTATATACAGGAACCGGATGATAATGGCGATCTTGGTCACGTTTATGGTGCTTGCGGTTCTTTGTATGTCTGCTGCATTCTTTTTTGCCGTCGCGTTGGTTCAATCCGACGATCAAATAATACTTTACATACTAATAATCTATTTGGGATTTTGGATTGTGTTTCCTGTTTTAATACTCGTAAGCCAACTAGTTCGGTTTTTAGGTTGGCTTATTTGTTTCATATTTTGTTGTTGTTGTCCACGTCAACGACGGTCTCCTCGACGGCTGCTACCATTAGCTCCATCTCCTGCCCATTAGAGCATGTGCAACGCACATATTGCATGGGTTTCTTTAGCCCAAAAATAAAGAACAATTGCAAAACATTACACATGTGGCAAGCCCAACTTAAAGAATCGTCTCTCCGGGAAGCAGCCCACAACCGGTTGTAGCGGCCACGTGTCAACTGTAGAAGGAGCCGCGAAACAAATTTCGTCGTTGTTCTGATAATTTTTCGAGGAGAAGAAGATCGATGGATTACGGAGACGATCGGTATTTTCTCTTTTATTTTGCTGCTTGTTCATCTCGATTTGGTCATTTTGATTGCTTTGTGTATCTGGGTTTTTTTTTCCGTTTCGATTTGTGTGTTTTTTTGTAGGGCTATGATTTGGTTTTGTGGGAGTGTGTTGGTTCTGTGATGATTGATTTGATTAGTCTGTTCGCATTCTTCGATTTTGAGGTTTCTGATCTTCGTTTTTGTGAAATAGAGTCACACTAGTCTGATTCGCGAGGTCTTTTGACTGGGTTTGACTGAAATCGTCATTTTCCGCTTAGAATTGGGGGTGATTTCTGGCTCAATGCCGGTTTTGGGCTTGACTGATTTCTGGGTTTTAATGCGAGGAGAAAATGTTGGATTTGCTGTAACTGTGAGTTAAGAATATGTTCTTAATGAAATGGCGAGTCATTTAATGTTGCATCAATCCTTGTTTTACTCGTTTGGTTTAGCTCGTTAATGCTCAAGATCATCATTTATACTAAACTCTTAAGTTTCATAAGTCCCCTTTTGTCGAAATAGTGCTCTTTGTGGTTAAGATCCAGGTTGGAATGTTGTGACTGAGTTTGAAGTTAGTAAGAAGAAAAATTAATGTTCTGTTTTTAATTTTTCTATTACAGGAAATGGTATTGAATCTGTAACAACACCAACTACTGCAACAACTGGTCAGGATCTTTTGAATGATGAAATTGTTTCTGAACATTTAACCAGGTAATAATTTATTTGAATTATCTTTAGCTGATGCTAAAGAGACAGAAAGCTATGATCTTTATGAAAAAGTCTTTGTTTTTAGCATTGTTAAAATCAACTTTATGGTGTGATGTGTGAATCTTCTTGTATACTTGAAGCTGTATTGAATCTAAAATGGTTTATGTTTCTCTAGGAATATCCAGTTTTTCAATCTTGAATCTCAGCGTAAAGTAACAGAATCATATGTTGTTGTGATTGGACTTGGAGGTGTAGGGAGTCATGCTGCATCTATGCTCTTACGGTCAGGTGTTGGAAAGCTCCTCCTCGTCGACTTTGATCAGGTCTTTTACGCTGTTACATTCACCTTTCATTATATGGATATACATACAGTCTGTTTTCAACTCAATTTTTTGCATTACAACCTTCCTATGTTGTCACTTTCATCATTGAATCGATACGCTGTTGCAACAAGAGAAGATGTTGGTATCCCGAAAGCTACTTGTCTCAAGAACCATTTCTCTTTGATCTTTCCTGAATGCTGTGTTGAAGCCAAGGTGATGCTGTATGACTCATCTTCCGAAGAAGAGATTCTTTCAGGCAATCTTGATTTCGTTTTGGACTGCATTGACAACAGTGATACAAAGGTAAGGTGTCAATCTTTTCATCTTGGAGTTTAGTTGATGATCTGTTCGATTTCCATACTGATTTCATATGATTGAAACAATGGTTAGGTGGCACTTTTGGCTGCGTGCGTTAAGAGAGGTTTGAAGTTCTGTCTGCAACTGTTGCAGGTGCTACAGCTGATCCAACAAGAATCAGAGTGGCAGTCTAAGTAGTATTCTTCTAAGCTTTGTCAAACAACGTAAACCAAGAATGTTTTATACATATACCAATTGTGTTTAGTCATGTTTCTCTTTTTAAGGTTTGTTTGCTTAATGGAATGATAAATGAATGGCTAATTAGTTATTATGAATAATTTTATTTTCTTTTATTTTCTTTTATTTTATAAAATTTTAAAAAAAATCAGAAAAAAAAAAAAAAATTAAAGAAACCCATATGAGTATGTGCAATGTTGTGGCATAATTATCAAGTTTCTTTCTAAATCTTTTTAACTAAAATAATAATTTTTTTAATATACTAAATGTGAGAAGAAACCTATATGGGTATGTGCAATGTACATGCTCTTAATGAAGACGAGGCACCGGTGACTCTGGCCACGCGCGTATGAAATGAAAAACGGTGTCAGCAATGTGATCATATATAGCATAAAAGTTCCTCATCATTTTCATTATTATATAAAGTTTAAGGTTGGTTGTGTATGGGGTTTGTTTAATTAATAGATTCATTTGGATAATAAGATTCTGTGTGAATCATGACACTAGCACCTCGTGATTAGACTAGTAGTGGTCTAGTTAACAAAGTACAGTAATTAGTTATACGTAAAAGCGTTTACTAATTTGATTATAAAATCGGAATAAAAAGGACAACTTCGGTTGATAAAGAAAGTAAATGCATGCGGATTGAAATGAAAATATAACAACTTTATCGACATTCTTTCCCGGTTTCACGGTTTCACCAATAAGAAGGGTTACAAAAGACACGATACGTTTATATTTCGTCATGAGAGAGATTACTATCCCTGAATAAATAAACGTAGCCATCTATTCACTCGTAAATCGTTGATATTAATGTGATTGGATAGCTCAAAAGTACATTATATTCCGGGGCTGAATGGTAACACAGATCACAGATCAGATATAGAATAAATGCAGATATAGATCAAATACAGATGATCTGTATTTAATAAACAATCACACTTTTTAATTACAGATCAAAAAATGCAGGAGAAAAAAACTGATCTGCATACAGATGAAAAAACAGTAAAAAAATCAAAGTTTGCAGAAAATGTGCTTAAAGGCACCGAACAGGTACAGATCATGCTTTTTTTTTTCTTTTTTCTCTTATTTACTTGTTAAAAATAAATTATAATTATATTCTTACAGATAAATTTAGAAAAAATTACACTATTTCTATATCTGTATAATTAACTGAGAAATTTTATATTAATATTACAAATTTAAAATATTTTGAATACTAACCTATGCTTTCAAGATTTTGAAACTTGAAAACTAACTTTTTTCATCCAAAATATTATGAATAAAAAAATATAAATTATTTGACAATCCAAATATATTATTTTAAAATAATTTAAAAAACATAAGAAAAATATTATTTTAATATAATGAACTATATTAAGAACTAATGATTCACTAGACATTAATTATAAACAATATTCTTCATATTTGATATAATATGTATAAATAAAATTAAAATCTAAATCATTATATATTGTACTATATATTTTATTTTACTTTATTTCTATAATCTTGATTGATTTTTTTTTTTGTATATAATGATGTAAGCATTATATAACAAAAAACATCAAAAAAAAGTTTAGTATGACACTATTATTCCTAAAATATTATTTTGAAAATTTAAATTTAACTAATAAATAAAACATGAGTTCTACTTTCTTAATGTAAATTTCATTTTTACATAAAATGATGCATAAGAACAAATTTGTATATATATGATAAATGTCACTCGAACTCTAATATCCAAACCAAAACTGACATATTTTTGTTCGGACATATTTTCAAGATTTGATAATTATATTTTTGGATAATTTCTTGTGTTTTCGGATAAAATTTCGGAATCGGTAGAATCAGAATTGTTTGAATATTTATTGATTTTCAAAAATTAACAACTAAACCGACTCAAATTATATTACTAGCCCTGAACCAAAAATATAAAATTTATCTAACCGAAATATTTCAAACCAAAAGAAATCAATCTAAATGCGATCCAAAAATCCGAATATCCATACTAATTTTCGCGATCCAAAAATCCGAATGTCCAAACTAATTTTCTCATTTTTGTTTGATCTGTATTTGATCTGCATGATCCGCATAATCTGTATTTATTCTGTCTGATCTGGATTTACTGTTGACCTGCATATTTTGATCTGTGTCACCATTCAAAGCCTCCGTTTAATTAAGCAAACTTGTAAAGAACCCTAGTGGTCTGAAAAGAAAGCTACGGTATAGTATTTTACATGTCAATATGTCATGAAACTGAAAATAAAAAAGAAAAAAAAAAAGAAGAAGGAAAAAGTGAGTCAAAGGGAGAGATGGAGGTAGGTCTCCTGCCCTATAATATCTTACCCACCCCTCATCTCCTATATGTATCACATATCTATATAGCAACCCTCCATTTTCATTTTTCATTTGTTAGAAAACAAAACATAATAAAAACAAAGTGAGAAGGAAAAAAGAAGAAGAAAAGACGATGATGATGATGCATATGAGTGACTAAAATGGAAACTTATGCTCTAAAATGGAAATATCCCTTAGTCCAAAGGTCTTTCCACCTTCGTGGCTTCTTCATCCTCCAGTCCTCCTAAGAGTCCTATCTTATATTCACCATCATCACTTCGACCAAACACCAATAAGAGCTCTATAGGTTTACATCTCTATCTAAATTACGCGTGCATGTTAAATTTAGAGAGTAATTTACAATAATACATATTATTAGTTTTCTTAAAAGCACTTATGGGTTATGGCAATTGATTGAACGCTTATTTGGTCACGGTAAAATAATTAGGTAACCATCTGAAGAAAAGGTAATGATCGTAAATTTGTTGGTGGATCTCGCTGACTATATTAATCACATATGTTTTGTACTAAAAGAAGACATAATTGGTAACCCAGGCCATCGTACTATATAACTGTTACATGAATGCATTATAATTACAATTTCTATGCATTATCGCGATATATATGCTCAATAACCTTTTAAAAATATGTCAAACCTCTCATAAATGTTTTAGAGCACTAAATGTATATATATGTACATGCGTGCATTATGTATGTGTATGTATAGGATAGTAGATTTGTAGGTGTGTAAGGAGAAAGATCTAGGGGGCTTCAAAGAAAAGGACAGAGCATGTGATAAGAGACAGAGAAACAAACAGAGGAGTGAACAGTCTTACTCTTTTTTTTCCTTTTTTTTTTCTCTGCACTTAATGAACCCAACCCTCTCTGTATATTTCTGATTCTTCACATGCCTTCTCTACTTTCTTATTCCTATATATTTTTTTTTCAGCTTTCTACAAAACTAGTGCCGAGAAAAAATATTTAATAAAAACGAGAAAATATTTAACATTTTTTCAAAAATGACAAAAGTACTTTCACTTCACTTGCAACCAAACAAACCTAGTCCCTTCTTTATCCAATGGTCTTTCTCCTGCTCTCTACTTCTCTTCTAAACACCCTTCTCTTTCTTCCTTATTTACCATTTTACCACCATATATAAAACTAAACTCCATTTTCTATGTATTATCAGTATGGGTAAAAACTAGAACGTTGACAAGAAAATGTGAAATTGTAGAATATAATTTTACATTTTTTTGGCGTAAGTCAAGTCAGCAAAGAGTAAATATTTAATCTTTAGTTTAAAAAGTTTGGTTCTTTCTTCCCGAGTCAGAGATTTTGTGCAGTGATACAAGAAGCTCATTCCGAATTCTATTAATAAATAAATACTCAGTACGCTTCAATTCTTTATTTTGTACATCTATCAGTTTTATTTTCATCTATCTGATTTTCCCCTGCGTTAGACTGTCTTAGACAGTAATATCAGGCTCACTAAATGTAAGAAAAAAAAGAAGAAAGCTCAATGAAAAGGAAATGGCACTCATTTTTAGGCCATGAAGTGCTGGGATACAGCTGAGATTAAAAAGGTATCTGCTCAAAGAAAGAAAAATAAAGATTCCCAAAAATCAATGCACATTTTTTTGTTTATAATTTCAAATTGGGGTGATAATAATATTGAAGAAGATTGAGAAGAGGAGAAAAGAGTAGTCAGAGAGACAGGAGCATCAAGTGCTGCAGAAGAAGCAACAGGAACACTGGGCCTGAGTCCCTTCAGATTTGCCAGTCTTTATAGGACCACATCTCTTCATCCCTTACATACATTTTATAATCTTTTCTTTTAACATTTACAATATTGGATATTTTAATGTTGTTTTGATTTTACACAACATGGCAAAACTCCTTAAAAGCTCTTGTCCTCTTCTGATTTTTTTGATTTTTCTTATGACACAGTTTATCTCTCTGTCTCTCTCTCTCTTACATAGTTTTATGAATGTTTGTGATAACTCTTTTATTTAATTAGTGACATATAAAATCGTGTTAAGTTTTTGATTAATGTTCCCCAAATAAGCCTACTCTTTTGTTTTTTTTACTACTCATAGTGTGACTACCTCTATTCCGTGATAACTCTATTCCCTAATAGCATTATCTTTCTTCCCTTAACAAAAAATGAGTGTATATATATAAAAGAGGGACTGGCCTCGTGAAGAGGAAGAAGCTAGCTAGTGTTCATGCAAATTGCATCTGAGGAATATATGCTTAGAGAGAGAGAGAAAGATCAAACCAGAGAAAAAAGTGACAGAAAAAGTGGTCTTCTTTGTCTGTCTCTGTCCGAAACTCAGAAACCCTAGTCTCTGAATCTATCAAGAAAGCTCTTATCTTCTTCTCCTTTTTATGCTTTTGATTTTGCTATAACCCTTTGAGGAAAGCTAGAGAAGACAGATAGACAGAGAAAGATGATGAGTCTAAGTGGAAGTAGTGGGAGAACAATAGAGAGGCCTCCATTTACACAAACACAATGGCAAGAATTGGAGCATCAAGCCCTAATTTACAAGTACATGGTCTCTGGTGTTCCTGTCCCACCTGAGCTCATCTTCTCCATTAGAAGAAGCTTGGACACTTCCTTGGTCTCTAGACTCCTCCCTCACCAATCCCGTAAGCCCTAAACTCAAATCATAATTATTTTTATTCTTCGAAATCTTTAGTTGATACTCATGTTTTATTCTTGCATAAAGTTTCGGTCTTTTGTTGATTCTCATGCCTCTAAAGTTTGCAGCTTTATGTGCTTTTCTATCCAAAGTCTTCAACTTTTTCTTCCTAAGACCACTTTAGCAAATCTTCTGATGATTTTAGATCATTTAAGGTCTTAACTAATTAGGGTTTTACAGCAAACAATAATGATTAATTAAAGGGTTTTGTTGTAATTACATGATGCAGTTGGGTGGGGATGTTACCAGATGGGATTTGGAAGAAAACCAGATCCAGAGCCAGGGAGGTGCAGAAGAACAGATGGCAAGAAATGGAGATGCTCAAGAGAAGCATACCCGGATTCAAAGTACTGTGAGAAACACATGCACAGAGGAAGAAACCGTGCCAGAAAATCTGTTGATCAGAACCAGACAACTCCTACACTAACATCACCATCTCTCTCTTTCCCCAACAACAACAACTCAAGCCCCACCTTGTCTTCTTCTTCCTCTACTTATTCTGCTTCTTCTTCCTCTCCTTCAGTGGATGCTTACGGTAACACCAGTAGGTTTGGTGTTGGTAGCAGTACCAGTAGAGGTTACTTCAACAACCATTCTCTTGATTATCCTTATCCTTCTACATCCCCTAAACAACAACAACAACAACAACAACAACCTCTGCATCATGCTTCTGCTTTGTCACTCCATCAAAACACTTCTACTTCTCAGTTCAATGTCTTTGCCTCTCCAACTGACAACAAAGACTTCAGGTTCTGTCTTAACTCTTAACATAATTTCCCTTGTTTCATGCTTAGGATTATTAATTAGTTCTTTAAATCTTTGTAGTTCTTTAAATAAATATTTTATGGAGTATTTTCTTTTAATTGTGATCTCAGATATTTTCAAGGGATTGGGGAGAGAATTGGAGTTGGGGAGAGAACGTTCTTTCCGGAAGCTTCTAGAAGCTTTCAAGATTCTCCATACCATCACCAACAACCTTTGGCAACAGTTATGAATGATCCGTACCACCACTGTAGTACCACTGATCACAAGGTTGATCAACATCATCACACATACTCATCCTCGTCATCATCTCAACATCATCATGATCAGGATCATCATAGTCGACAACAGCAGCAACAACAATGTTTCGTTTTGGGAGCCGACATGTTTAACAAACCCACAAGAACTGTCCTGGCAAACACGTCATCAAGACAAGATCGAAACCAAGAAGATCAGGAGGAGAAAGATTCATCGGAATCGAAGAAGTCTCTTCATCATTTCTTTGGTGAGGACTGGGCACAGAACAAGAACAGTTCCGATTCTTGGCTTGACCTTTCTTCCCACTCAAGACTTGACACAGGTAAAATTAATCTGCTGATCTATATGCTAAATAGATAACACTTTTAATTAGTCACAGTTTCAAAGTTATTTAAATTGAATATCTCAGGTAGCTGAAGTAAGGCCAGATAGCGTCAATGATGGATCTGTACCAACACTCACAAGTTTGAAATGTTCAAGGGTCACCTTTCACATCTATTTCCGTGGAACATTGAGACAAGACACTGTTTGCAGAAACCTATATGTATGCATTTGTGTATCTCTCTCTCTCTTTCTTTCTCTGTCTATGTGTGTGTTAGGTCCAACAAGAAAAGTGATCCGACATCTATATATAACTGTCTCTGTGTTTTCTCTAGCAACTATTTTTCTTCCAATATATATCGTTTTTTATTTACTGTAGCTGAAAGCAACAAAAGAACACATGACTTTTGTGAGGGGGTATGTTATGGCTATTTATATATCCACTTGTTTCTTAGGATGCAAGCATCTTTCTTTAGTTGCATACTAGTACTAATCTCTTCACATACTAATACTAATCTCTTTTTTTTTTTTTTTACTTCTCACATGCTACTAATCTTATACGGATCTATTTATTTGAATTACATTTACTTGATAAAATGTTAGAAAAATGTAAAACGCATGGTCAAATTTTGAGGCTTTTTTTGCGGTAATATATCGTCTAATGTTGAAGCTTGTTCCAATTTAGAACGAAGCAAAGAATAGGATTATCCGCAAGTCATGAAATGACGTTTATATACTTAGAATGGACATAAAAACCATTATAGATTTTGTCGTTTGTTAAAAAAAACGACAAATAATCAAATAACCGCAAGTGTATGCTTCCTTGCAAGCATGTGCTTCTTTAGCCTAAGGAAAAAGGGAAAGAGAGATAAAAGACTAACATCATGAGTCTTGATCCATTAAGTAAGTGTGAGTATATATACATCTTTTACGTGCGTATGATTACTTGGAATCTTTTTACCAACGTTTTATATTATATAAAAACAGTGTGATGAGCATTTAAAAAAGCATGTTGCCAACGAAGATTCTGTGAATGGATTCAGTTCCAGATCAAAACAGCTCATATTTGTTCTTTGTTCATACAAAGCAGAAACGCGTCTTAAACACTTTCAAAGTAGGGAGGGAACAAGAACAGTAAGATCATTCTTCTACCATGCGAACCAGTCCGGTTTGAGAATACCGAATCTGGTCATGAAACTTTCAGAACACCAGCCATTTACTAAATCATATTGACTACTGATGATGATCGGTGTAGATAATCCACAGCTTTTCAATTACGCAATATCACCAGTTCAAAGCAAACCAGAGGGCGGTTATCAATTCCCATCATCATACGACTATTTCATAAGATATGCGCTTTTGCAACATTACATAAGAAGATGTAACTACAGATCCTAAATAGCCACAATCTTGCAGATAAAACACGAAAGATTCAACATTTTCTGATTCCAAGAGCTATCAAACACGAAAGATTCAACAGTGTCTGATTCCAAGAGCGATCAAACACGAAAGATTCAACATTTTCTGCTTCCAAGAGCTATCAGTTATAGTCTAAGCGGTTACTATCTAAGAATGTCTCAACTCTCGAGCGTCAAAATCATACCTGAGAGAATTGACAAAGAATCTACTGTGTCAAAGAAAAGCAAAACATGAGAAAGAAACTTGATCTTCCTGTCATACTCTGCTTTAATACTCACTATAACTTCACACAAACAGGGGATCTGTGCACAACCTTGAATCGTATGTAACAAGAATATTTCAAAGCACAAACACATTTGCGAACTCACAAAATGAAATTAGATATCGGTTTCTTCTTCTCTTTTTTGGAACATCTCACAGAATCCCTAAAACAATTTTACATGACTTGAGCCATTCTTTTCACTCTTTGTTTTTTCCCACCTCTCTGTTCCACTCTCTAGTTAGCAATCGTTAGGCATGTAAATGAAAAAAAGAAAACTACACGACCTCAAAAGAACAAAAAAATTCAGACAGAAAGATGAATTACAAATTAAAGAAAAGAGGAAATTGTCAAATCCAGAGTTTACCCATTTACAGAGGAAAAGGCTCTTCTTGATCTCGATAGAGGAAGCACATCATTGCAATCTGTAATCAATTGAATTCCTTCTGATGCTTTTAAATACTCTCTTTTGCTTCTTCCTCGTCTCAAAAGTGTTTCCCGGTGATCCAAATCAGTAAGTGTGTGTCATCCTCAGAAGCTGCTTTCTCTTGAAAACCAAGAAGGCAACAACGCAAATCTGCAACATCGCTGCAAACCCAGCAAATACCAGACCCACCGTTTTCCCAGTGTTTAATCCACTTTTCTCCGTCTGCTTGAAGGTCCGCGCCGGCGGAGGAGGAGGTGGAGGAGGAGATGGCGGCCGAAGCCTTCTATTAGATTGTGGAGGCGAAGCGTGACGCCGAGGGGGTGGGGGTTTTGAAATCGGTGGAGGTGGCGGAGGTGGAGAAGGAGCAGGCGGTGGAGGAGGAGGTGGAGGTGATGGTGATGGTGGCGGAGGCGGAGTCAGGGGAGGAGGAAGAGGCGGACTGAGCTGTGGAATCGGTGGCGTATTGCCAGATTGAGGAGTTGGCGGCAAGGTATTCTCAGCCGGAGACGGAGGAGGAGGTGGTGATTGAGGTTGCCGTAACTCTTGTGATTGGACAAAGAGGAAGCAATGGATGCTGAGAAGCAGGCCGAGAACTAAAACATTCAATGATGAATATCTGAAAACGAAATTCAAAAAACCCATTGATCACCAGATTGACCAAGAGACTCGATCCAGATGACACAAACGGCTTTTTTCCTTTTCCGTCAGCTCATAGTGGAATTCGCGTCGACCGAGAATTCGGTATCAATAGAAACTATCTGGTCAACGAAGGATGACGAAAACGATCGGCGTTGTTGATCAGGAGAGAAATCGAGGGAATAAGTCTCCGTTCCTCCTCCCCTATTTCCAGATTTCCGATTATCGCCCCAAAAACCTCGTCTAAAAACTTGAGAAACCAATAAACAGATGGAGTCGAGAAGAAGCAAGAATCAAGGAATCCGGAATCTGACGAAACGAAGCAACTAGGTGATTGTTGTTGTTCCGTATCTAATTTTCCCCCAAAATTGATTCGGAGGGGTTAGAGACTTTGCAGAGACGAAGAGAGAAAAAGTCGATTAAGAACATTGACCATAGAGAATGGGGTAAATTTTCCGGGAAAATGCAGAGAGAAAGAGAGAGAAGTAACGGCTTAGGGCTAAATCTGGGGGAAGAGATTAAGGAGAAATTTGAGGGAATGTTGATATAGATTTTCGATTTTACAAGCTGTAATAACTCCCTTTTTTCTCTTCAAGGGATACAGATAAAACCACGTAACATTTCTTATTAGTTTTTTTCTTTTTGGAGGTGACGGAGAGCAATATAGTTGCTGTTCCGTTTTGGATCCAATGTCAATCGCCATCATCCATCGTGGCATACATCAATCCTTTGACCTCGTACGCCCATAAACAGTAAATGGGCCTAAGCCCATCTAATAAATATTCATTATAGCCCACTTGTTTTCTTGCGCTGCTCCTTTTAAATTATCTGATTTCGGTTTTCAGCTTTCCCAATTTTTTGGTTTAGAGATTAGTTCGATAAACCGTCACGGTTAAGTATACAGTAGTTTTTTTTTTTTTTTTTTTTTTTTTTTTTCTTCTTTTGAACATCATTTTCATTTCATTAAAAGAAACTCAACCGATACAAACAGAGAAAGGGAAGATTTTGCGATCGAATCCGCCTGATGATTTTGTTTTTGTTTAATTTCGATTTCTTTTCTCTTTAAAACTTCACTACATCTTGACTTCCAGTCTAGAAAAAGTCACTAGTTTCTTTTCAATTTTGGATTCATTTCGACTTCAGTTTTAGATATAAACTAACGCTTATAAATACGGTTGATATTGGTTGGATTTGTCTAAATTCCAAAATTAGCAAAGTAGCTCAATAAAATTCAGAGAAAATGAACAATGATGAATACTTCAATTGAATAAATCTATTAAGATTGGACTTGACTATGCCCAGTTAGATTGTATGAAAGAATCACACACAAAAATTGCTGCATATGATCCATTTTGTTGTGTAATCAGGTAAAAAAGATGATGATCCATTCCTATGAATGTACAACAAGTTTCATCTACACTAACGATTCTCCTAGCAATTGGAATGATTTGGACCAAGACAACAGAAGATGCAACTTGATACTCACAGCTTGGTAACGATCAAAATCGTTGGTTTTACTTTTAGCCCCATGCCATGGAACAAGCATAGTTGACCACCAATTTACCATCAATCCCAAAGTTCTGCAATTACCAAAAACCAGCATAATCTTAAGCCATGTTTATATTATAATGGTAAGCATAAAACGTTTCAGAAGATAACAGATTACTTTCGAACAAAAAAAAAGATAACAGATTACTACTTTAGTACTTTCAGAAGCATAGTACCAAATACAAAATGTTGAGTGAGTGCAGAGAGAGCCAATTTAGAAAATGAAAGACTCACATTGTATAGATCGATTACTGATTCATCAGGGTTTGGCGAGAAAGCACTGTTTACATAGACAAACTTACAAAGAGAAGAGATATCAGTTAAAAAAAATCCAATGCTCCAAAAGGTAAGACAAAATATGTTGATTGATGATTTACCAATGAGTCAGAATGAAGCTGCCGTCTTAGAAAGTCAATCACTTTAGCAAACTTGTCCGTCCCTGAAATCTGAAGACACAAAGAGCAGATAAAAAAATATGACTCTGATAAGTATCAGAGAACACATTCTCCACAAGAAAGATCAAAAACTAATACAAAGCTAATGAGGTGAGCATTAGAGATTATATGATGTCGAGGCAATGCAAACAAATTTCTTATCAAACAACAAAAGCTAATGAAGAAGAAGCTGGTGAGTTTCTCCTAAACTGAATCTCATGGACTCATGATCAAACACACACACACACACACACACGCACGCATACATTTAAGGTATCAACTGAAAATTTCAGCATCAGTCAAATTTGATGAAAGATGACCAACACAAATTGTACAACCTAAGATTTACAATCGCCAGTAGAAGGTTTGGATAAACATAACAGCCCTAATTTCAACTCAGATTGAATTTGGTGATTCGCAAAGGAAGGATTGAGTGATTCTGAGAGAAGCTACCTTGAACTTAGATTGTTTCAGTATTGGAGCACCTCCGGTAGCTCTTAGATGAACGACAACTGCAACGAAAATAAGAAGAAAGAGAGAAAAAAACTAAATACGATCAAATCGGAGCCGTCAAAGAGAAATCATCAGATTTGAAAACCATATTTAGCGAACATGTTGGTGGATTGAGTATATCGACTTGTAATCAAATTCAACAGATTCAATGGGAAAATCAGCGGCGAGGCTCACTTTTCTGTACGGAATTCGGAGACTCGGTCGCCATTGTTGAGATTTTGTTCGACAGAGATGTATGATGAAGTTTGAGAATGATGGACATTTGCTGCGTTTTTAATATCTTCTTTTTCAAAACTAAGATTTGTTTGGATATTTAAAGCCCAACTTAGTTTGAGGCCCATATTATATCGTATTTTTAAAAGGGTGAAAAATTGATGGAGAAAAAAATAAATCCATGGCACTGAAAGGTAGAAACATCATTTACTGTTAACTATCAATTTCGGATTGGGGTATAGTTTTGTTTTCTTCATAAAATCTAAATATCGAGAACTATTGGTAACAGGGAATAAAGGGAATTGCAGAATCAATATAAACTCTGGTTATGTTTATAAATAGATAATCCTATATTTGATTTAAGTTCTTACACTTCAAAAATGATGAAAGTGGATAACATAAGCTTAATATGGAAACCAAAATGTTAGCAACTTTTACTTCGATATAAAACAATTGAATAGACCCCAAAAAAAAACTACAAAATAAATGTTAGTATTAAATTCATAGAATGGCCAAATATATGAGATTTTATAAAATTACGAAATCATGATACAACTAAATGTATGCAAAATCAATATTGTGATATATATGTTAGACCTGGATTTCCCTCCAGAAATCCGGCCCATAAGGCCCATCACCTAAGTCCTAAGGTCAAGATAAGTCCACTCAGGCCCAGTAAAATGACCTCGAGCCCACCAAAGTATCCTTGTCCAAAATCCAGCTGTTTACTGTCCGAGCTACTTGTGAAGACGAAGTCGAGCTCTAGCTCGACGGAGTCAAGTCCGCAAGCTGAGTTTGAACGGGTCAAACGAGAATCTCGCTTTGATCGTTCAGATCCGGAAATAGCGGGATCGGTAGTTGCACGTGGACGAGATACGCGGAGGAGGTTGCGATCTACTTCGGAGCTATAAAAGGAGGACGATTCTTGATCACAAGGCATAAGTTTAATCCTTCTCATTTCTGAGAGATCAATTCCTGAATGAAAAGTTCCTTTCCTAGAAAACATCTTTCTCACTTCTTTGTCTTGAGATATTCTCATCCTTTTCTCTTCGATCTTATCCTTGGTCTTTGAGATAATCCCAGAAAGCCCTGATCTTTCTAGCCGGAAATCACTTCCGGCAGAAGTTTGACATAATCTTTAACCTTCGGATCACTCCGATAACCTGAGATTTATCGTCATCTTCACACCCCTTTAGCTCTTTTCGTGGTCATTTCTCTTCAGAAAACGACTCGAAATAGAGAACAACTTACAATCGAACTACGTTCTGGCTTGATCCCTAAAACAGGGTACGTAGGCAGCTCGTTACACGAGCGCAGCCACCACCTCATTTCCATCTCTTTTGCTTAGTCGAATCCTAGTGTTTTACATGGTCTTTTAGGCCGGTTTTGTAACCACTTTATTCGATTAGCCTAAGTCCGATTTCGTCAAATATTTGTCTACGAATCATTCGACTTACATCAGAATCTAACCTCTGATTCCACAGGCAATTTCTCCCTACAAAATACACATAAATTTTGAGTGTGGTTTTCCGAACCCATAATATACGTTATCGCTAGTTACAAACAAATTAAAATCCTAGTGTTTTATTTCATTTGGATATTCGCATGGTGACTGGTGAGAGAGACTAGACATATATGGAAAACAAGACGATGGCATTGACCCATTTGAGATAGATCAATCGTTATCCTTATAAAGTACTGTCGCTTAATTGATTGTGCTTATAGGGATGGTCCATTAGTGGGAAGAAGACAAGCTTATGCATCGTGCATGGGCACTGGAAATTAATGATTTGGAGTTGGGGGTTTATGACAAATCCAAAGGCACATATATATAGTGATATGTTGATCTTTTCTACAGTTATTTTTCTTGGTCTCCATCCATGTGATTGTGCTCGTGGAGCTCGATGCTCGTTGACTTGTCATTAACTTGTTGCAGTTGGAAAAAAGTGAATCAAGTATATAACAATATTAATATTAATACGTGACAACGTCTCTACCAATATTTGAAAATTGTAACGAAAATTTCATACACAAATATGATAATTAGGCTCGTGGAGGTTAAACTATTCATATTCAATTTAACATTAAAACAAAAAAAAAACTATTCATATTCATAAGTGGTTGAAGGACTGGCTCTAAAAGTTGAGAAAGAGCTCGCTTCTTTTTTTGGGATAAAAGAGCTTTAAGTTTTTATGCTGTGATTTCAACCACAGTTAACTAAGTCTCAACTCTCATTAAGTGATATAATTATCTAAGATTTCACAAATTACAGTAGATATATACATTAGACTCCGAGTTAGTGTAAGATTCGCACGCGTTTACAGAAACATAATAAAAATGAGTAACCTGAGGATGAACTTCGGGAAAATTGAACGTAAGAGAAAGTTATATATAACTGTATAACTTAAAATCTCTCATTTCATCGATGTTCAGAAAAAAAGAAGCAAGCACGAGGATAATCTTTTTGGAATCAAACAAAAACATTTTCATTTCACTTTATTTTGTTGTAGCTTCCAACATTCTTCTTTTGCTATCCTTCAAAATGAAATTAGCCTAAAACCAGAATATAAATGTATCGTTGCTCAGTCAAATATATTTACAGTTTTTTTTTTTTTTTGAACATCATATTTTTAGCTTAACTTCTAAAATTCTCAAAGTCTATATACTATATAGCGTACTTGGTATTAAATAAACAACAAAAGTTAATTATTAAATCTCAAAAACAGAACTGATTGTTTTCTTCTTATTTTTAAAGGGTGTATTTATATATTGTTATTAATTTTGTTGGCATCGTAACTTATAAAAATAAAATAAAGGAGCACACAGTGTTTTTCTACTTTTTGCTATTCCAGTGTGGTCCACACTGATGTTGGAGTTGAAGATCTTAATTTCATAGGGATCAGAAAAACTAGCACGTGAGAGAGTTACAACACTTGAAGCGGCCACCCGTCACGTGCGGGCTAGATTTTTGTATCTGATCGTTTCCGGTTCAAACCTATCTTTCTACGCTTGCCCGCCACGCCATCTGATTGAATCTCTTTATTTATTTTTTATCAAGAAAAAAAAAAATTACCCTTTTTTTCCTTAATATAACGAGCATCTACAGTATGTAAATGTAACTATACACTTGGCAGAGAATTTGACGAAAATTTATCATAACTAGTACACATAATGAAGTTGATAACAAATTAACACATCAGATAATAGTGTTGAGAGAGTGTCCCACCACCGTTGAACATGTACCGTTTTACGACGACATGTACACCTCCGTGCACACTCACGAATAGAGAGATGAGTACTATCGAATTAAATATGCATATGGTGGATTGAATATGTGTCCTAATTAACTTGTGTGATTTGAAATAGAGTAAGCCCTAGCTAGTAATTAATTAATACATAGAAATAGCTGGTATTGCATGCGAATGACGAGTTGTGCATGGTTGATATGGGACATGGTATGCCCCTTAATTATTTATTATCTCTACAAATTATAACATACATACATATCAATTTATGGTATATCTATATATGATATATAGGCATAGCTGTCCAAATGCTTTTATTGATTTGTACGATCATCACCACGAAACGTCTTCGTTCAATAATGTATACAGAACGAATGTTGTGTACGTAAATTTTAAAATGACATGAAGTAAAATTAAAATTTGAATTGTAATCTATAAGATAATGCTTTTAAAATACAACCGCTTATCTAACTATTGTGGTATGTCCTACAATAAACGTTTTCTTGCAACGTGGTTATATATTTTTTTTATTTTACTTTTGATAGGACTAAAGAAAAAAAGATTGTCAAATTCGTGTTTACCGCCATTTTGGTTTATATAGAAAAGTAATTACTTGTTTGATTGGTTGTTGGAGTCAAACTTTGGAAATTAATTGGCTAAATCAGCACGTTACTCTCATGATTATATTTTCACTTTTCATAACTCCCCCACTTCACCCACCACGAATAAGGACAATGCACATATATATTGTACTTACCGACGTAATAAGTATCCGTTTATACATTGACTCATGAACATTTTCTATTAATAAGAGTGTTTGATTCTTCTATATTATTTGATGAATAACTTTCCTATATACATTATTAAGGTTATACAAGTTATTGATACAAAATAAGTACACCCAAAAGTCTCAACGCACACATGCATCGTCATCATATATCAATATGTGTATATATATATGAACATCACTTTCTTCCATGATTCCATGGATAAAGCTTCTTCTCAGGCTTGTAGAAAACCCCATCTTTTCGAATCGAGTAACCACATACGTTGTTAGGTTGACAATAAGCAGATGTATCCGGATGAATACCAACCGGAAAATTCACAAACCCGAAATTAGATCGGAGATGACAATGCACGAAAGTGTGCCTCCTCATACCATCGTATTTGAACTGAACCACAACATACCGATCTCCTGGTTTGCTTTTCCTCCATACTTTATCACCGTTTGTGCATACAAAACCTGTGTTTCCATTATTCTTCAGACCAAACAGATCGTTTGAGATGACGATTCGTACAACTGTGTCTGGCCGTATTTTAAACTCTGATTTGTAGTCTATTTTATGGTACGCTTGTAAAGAGTTTACGGCTAATGATGATAAGATTTGCACAAGGAAAAATATGAGAAAATTCATAAATAGGGTTTTGGGATTCATCCTCTGATTATGGTGTTTTTGAGTTATTGTGTCTCAATTCTTGTTTGTGTTTTTCTCTTATATAACTTAATTCTTGCAACTTCTTGGTTTTGTAAGTACAAATTTTTTAATCAGTTTTATAATCGTTAATAAGTTTTTGTTGGTTTGTTGTTGCAATAAACTGAGGAAAAACAACTAAAATGGGAGGGGTGCTCGTTTGCTCACATATATGTCACCTCTTCATTTGTTTTTTTTTTAATCGTTTGTTAAACTCCTTCCACATTTGGGACCAAATAAGTATAGCAAAGCTAGCAATCGACTAAAAATAGTAATAATAAGTTTGTGTCATTAGTTTCTATTTTGTAACCATTTATTTTTATTTTTTGCGAATGTATGTTTATAGAAATTTCAGTTTTCGGTTCGTATTTGTGTGAGATATATTCTTTTTTAACTATAACAAAATTTTCCGGTTGCCGGATTCAGTTTAGGTGAGTGATTTACTGTCCTGCCAACTATATCACAAAATAAATATAGTACTAGGATAATACCTTTGTTAATGCACGGGTTCAATGTTAATACTTAGATTATTTTAATAAGTATTTTAGTATATTTGCAAGTGTATATGTTGAACTGAAGATTGTTTTATATCTGTTATTATTCGATTTTAGATAATTTAATAATTTTTTTAAACAGATTATTTATTTCTTAATTTAATAACAAATAAATCATCCTATTTCTTAAACCTATTGTTAAAATATATTTTGAATGATAATTTTACATGGTCACGAGTTTTAATAATAAAAATGAAAAGTTTATTTTGTAGAATTCTATTTATTTTTAAGTTTAATTGTAAGATTTTTTATATTGTATTTTTGAAATAATTATTTTTGGTAAATTTATAAATATTCAAAAGTGTTTGGCAATAAGAATTACAGCAATCGAATTAGGTAATAATGAAAATAGCTACATTTGGTAATAGGAATAGAGAATTAAGTGAATGAAAAATAAAATAATTCAAAAAAAATCATAGAGTTGACACATCAAAATGATCATTTAAAGTTCTTCTTTTAATATATATAGATATTCTCTTTTTTAATTACTGTTATTTCTTATCAAGGTTGTTAAAGGATTGGATTCTTGATTATGCGGGGTTTGCAAGCTATAAATAATAAAACAACATTTATTAAAGTTAACTAAAACAAACGAAAAGAAGATAAAAGTGGGAATATGGGTCCGTACTAATGTATGTGATCTTTCCTTTGTATCGGAATTTTTTTCATGGCTACGCAACTTTTGACTACATAGCCATATATTAGCCTTATTTTTTAGTTTTGTTTAGGCAATAATCTAATTGTTTTTATACTTTACTATACATAGATTTCAAACTAGTTAGCATGTTCGAGTTAGCTTTAGTAGCTTATCATAATGCTATGATTTGGTGGTCCAGTTTTGTTACTTTGAATCGTATTTCATTTTTGTCATTCTTTTTTTATTGTGTGCCAAGAATCATTTTTATCATGTTAATAGTGTAAGTATACGAAATATTAAAATATTAATATGACTTATACGTTAGATGTGTGGATTCTTTCTCGTTCCATCAACGCAATCAAATCGAAGGTTGACAAACTGACACATCATGTACGTAGAATATCAATAAATACGTGCTTAATTTAAAATAGTGATTTGAACTGAAACTTTTACTATTCTCGAAAAAAAATAGAATGTGTTTGCATGTCGATTTCGTGTACAGTATATTAAGAAAGAGTTACTCACAGACCAACAGCGTTATAACAACATAACAAACTTTTATTTTCCATCAAATTAACAGAATCCTGTATGATATATGAAGAATACTACGTTGATCATCATCTTGTGGTTTAATAATCATCGATGATATGACAAAGTGGAGAGGGGAAGCCAGCGTGTACTACCATTAGAGATCAAGACTTATAATGCATAATCCAACATTATAAGCTTAAGCCATGCTTAGAGCAAGACAATCCAATCCAATCAAATTCGGACAAAAAAAAGTACTCGAAAAGAATCAAATATTGGATACTATTGTCCATGACATTTGAGACCAAGTCTCTTTCACTTTTTTTCGCCCATCTCATTGATCATTATTAGTAGCATCAAATCAAATCTTTTACTTTTTAATTTTTAATTTTTTTTTTTACTAAAATCTCTTGTCATAGTTTCAAGTTTACAAATAAAAAGGAAAAACAAAACACAGAGCAAGAGATGAATAAAAGGCAACGACTCTTTGCTGTTCTAATTGGCGACACATACGATAAAACTTGGCTTCGTGTTTATTCTTTTGTCAAAGATCTAAGATTTTGGAAATTTTAAAGTAACTAGAAATAGCTATGACCAAATTATTCCAAAGTCTAGGATGAACAACAAAGATGTTTTTTATACACAAGTTACATAACATAGGAGAATTCAAGAAAGAAAAAACCGTTTTTTGAAAACGGTAAAAACATAATAATAACCTCAAGAGGAAAAAAAAACCGTATTAAATTTCTCTACAACTAATCACACCCCCAACCACTTAAACTAATAATTATACAATTAAACTAGTAGCAATGGCTCGATTCGTATTATCCAGACGAGTGGTCTCGTACACTGGTAGCTCTTCTTGATACCTCTCGATCCCAATCGCCGAAAGATTCTCCAACTCGAATAGATCGGAGCTCGCGTAACTCGCCGCATCATCATCGTCGTCGTCAACGTCTTCTACGTTAATGACATCATCGCACTTGGTCTTCGTTGTGTTAATGGCCAAGTGATGATCCTTGTTCTTATGGTAAGTCCTGAGAAGATCTTTGGCTGCTTCGATAACGCGGCGGTTATTCTCCTCCTCCATGACGTGGCGGTCGCGTTTGGCGTCGTTGTAGAGTCTGTTGTTGTAACCGTAAGGGATGTGAATGGATGAGTCTTCGTCGAGGATCACATTCACTGGGCAGAACCGTACTGACCTTTTCGATTTCCCGCCGGAGGACGGAGTTTTGTTGCTCAGGCAAGACCTTGAGAAAGACGACGCGGAGGAGCAGGTTGTGGTGGTGGAGGAGGACATAGCCGACGACGACTGTGGCTCTGCCGCGGAAGTTTTCTTGTGCTTCTTAGGGTTACCGGCGGCGTTGGTGAAAAGGGAGTTGAGGAAAGTAGCGAGTCGACCGCCGGGAGAGATGGGTTGTTTCACTTTCTTAAGATCGGTGTAGATCTTCAACGCCTTTGACTTGGTTCTCAGGAAGCCGCCGAGGTCTTGTTTGCTGTTAGGTTTCTGGACGCCGGAGTGGTCGACGGAAGTACGAATCGGCTTCGGTTGCGGAGGAGAGGCAGAGGATTTGGAGCGTCCGTAGTCTGACTCGGAAGAGGAGAGTCCGCTTGAATCGGAGGAGCAGGAGTTGGAGTATCTGAGGAAAACAGAGTCGGCGGCGGCGGTGGTGGTGGTTCTCCTGGATCTATCGAAATCAGCGGCGATGGAGCGGCGGTGGAAGACGAGTATGTCTGACGAATCATCGTGGAGATATGCGTTACGGTGTTGCTGCTGCTTCTTCCTGGTGGGTGGGGAATCGTCGATGGAGCGATAGATTTGGTCGAGGAGAGTGGAGGAGAAGGAAGGGTGGCGGCAGTGACCTGTAGATGATGAAACTGGCTTCTCCCAAGTAGTCTCCATGAGAGAAAATGTTTTGAAGAAAAGCTTTTTGAGAGGAAATGGAGGAGATGTGTGTGTGTGTGAGAGAGAGAGAGAGAGAAGAAGAAGAAGGAAGAGTGTGTTTAAAAGGGAGGGAAGGAAGAAGGAGGCAGACAACTGGTAATCATTGCCACGTGTCTTTCTCGACAGCTTATGGATTCTGCCTCTGTCTACAAACACGAACACCAATCATCTTTTTATTTACCTCTTCTTTTTCAAATAAAAATATTGTGTGTAACATACAGTATGGTGAATATATTTTACGTTCATTTTCGTTTTCAACTTTTAATTCTTTTTTATTTCCAACAGATTCGTGTTTTATTTGAAGGAAAAGAATGATTAAGGCTTTGAATGATTCAATTTAATGTACGTGGGTCCGAATTCGCAAATAAATGAATACAAAATACTGTAGTTTTTTTGGTAAGCAGATTAATCAGTCTGTTCCGTTTAGGTGAATGTTAAAACATCATATTAATTGAATGATCAAATAGTAGAAACACTTTTAATTAGCTGATTATAATTTATAATGACCATCAAAAGTCTTAATACGGACAAACTGTCTCAATTGCTATGTTTTGCTTTCTTCTTTACCATGGTGACAGTGTTATAGATCTTATGAAAACTAAAATATGTATATATGTATATTATTTTTTGTCATGAATGATAACGGTCAATTAGGTTTAAAAAATTTGTCTTGAACCAAAAGAATTATGGGATATCACTGCTGGGTTAGAGCAACCGCATTGGATATATTCTTGGGGGTTCTGGAGCCCAAAAATAAATAAAAAAGAAATTAATTTCACATCTGTCAATACCCAAGCCCAGAGTCGTCTCTTGCCGCAGAGCTTTTGAAACCGGCTCTACTCTACACGTGTCAGCAGGAGAGCGCACTGCGCGTTTTAATTTTCTCAGGGTTTGTTTTTTTTTTTTTTTTTTTTTTTTTTTTTTTTCTGACTCTCTCTCGTTTTCTCTTTTCTTCTTCTCTCTTCGTCTTCTTCTGCTTCGATCAATCCGTCTTTCGGCTTCTTCTCTTGTAAATCGGAGACAATCAATTCGACCAGGCGACGCAGTATCTCCGATCCGGCGAGAGAGAAACCAAAATTGAAATCGAATGAACATAATCTTCTCTGGTTCTGTTAGAGTAAACAGAAAAACCAGAATCTCCTCTGGTTCCATGGCCGAATTGTGATGTTTAATTTGTGATATGTGTTTGATTATTTGATTAGGAGAATGATGTTTGACTTGTGATATTTGTGTTTGGATCCGATCTGCCATTTGGTTGATTTGTCTTGCTTTTTACCAGTTTGTAAGACTATAATCTCTAAGAGCTGGCTTTCATTTCGGATGAATGTTTCTTTTCTCACAGTCTCTGCTTCCAGATTCTTGTGATTGATGCTCGCCAATTTGTTGTTTATATCTTTGAAGAAATTATTGTTTACATTCCGCTAGCCAGATGAAGAAATTGAATTTTGATGAAAGTCGAGTTGTGATGTTGAAATTAGGTACAAGTTAGCTTTCTTTGTTGAAATGAACCTACCTTTTGGTTCAGAAGAGAACATGTTCTGTGCTTACAAGCAGCAAGAATCTCAACCTTCATCAGCAGCCATTTCGCCTGATGAGCTCTACAAGTTTGTGTTTGCTTCTGTGGAGGAAATGAAGGTTGAGGAACCTGAGTACCTAGATGCAATCATCACCGACTTCCTTCGCAGGTAAAGATTAAGTATTTATCATGTTTGTTTCTGCTTACCGACTAAAGAAACTTGGTTTAACGTTAGACATAGTTTCGATACATTCAGTCCAATTCTATAACTCACTTATACTCTATCACTTCATATATTTTTGATGATGGACTCTCCTGATGCTATGGATGTTTGTAAAAATTATATACATGTTGTGGTTTCTTGTACAATCTTATTGAAACATCAGCTATTTTGGTTAAACTAAGCCTTCTTTGTTGAAACTTTGCAGGTTGGTTGATCAAGCTTTAATGAATGGAGTTAAAGTCGCCGTGTAGCACTTCAAATGAGAAGGCGGTATGATCATTCAGGTTCTACTACTTCAGTTTCCATAGCCATAACAAATATAAATCAGTATCATATCCTGATGAGTTATTCGGAGTTTCGGACTAGCAGCTGCAAAATCTGCAGGCATGACTTGTATAGTTTGTTATGTTTAGTTTTTTTGTGCTTCTTGTCTGTGAACATAGTACCAAACGATTTTGTTCCTCTTTCCAGGGTGTCTGCAACTTGATTCAAATCCATAATCGAATTGGGATAATTGCTTGATAATCATCAACTTACTGATTTCGTTTCTTTTCCTTTAATGATTTGGTTAGTTTATGCAACTTCTGTTTTGATGTAATTTTGTTTTGGAAGTTATGTTTTTTTAAAGAACCTCAAATTGGGTTCTCCAATGGGGTGTTAAAATTTCTCAAAACCTTACAAAAACTCTAATTTTAAAATATTGTTATTTTTAATATAAAAAATGTTTAAAGAGCCCCATTTGAGTATCACCAATGTGGATGCTCTTACAGAGCAACTTAGCCTTTATTCACATGACACGACCCAAAGATTCACTTATGTGTTCCCTACTTATAAAGTAAAAGATTAAAGTTGTTCCTTCCTCATCATAAGTCTTACTTATTTGTTATTTATTTCCTTTGTTTTTCTTTTAGTACTATAAAAAAAAATATCTGTGATTTATTACAGCAAACCCAATACTGATACTTGGGTCCATTACACCTTTTTCAAATTTTTTTTTATAAACTTAGAATTACCTATTGAAAAATGCAAAACTACAACGTTCAAATATATCCCAACACATTTTTTTGCATTAATTAAGTACACAAGTACACATTATTATATAGAATTGATTAACCCTTGTGGAGATTGTCAGCAGGTACAGAAAACTACTTGAGAAATACATTGTTGTATTTTTGTTCGAAAATACTTTTTATTTTGCTCGATCGAATTCAGAAAAAACACTCTAGTTATTAGAGTTTGAATAAAACGAAAAGAAGTTTGAGAGTTACACTAATCATAGAAGTGGCTTTGAGAGACCATTTCTGATGCCAGAGTCGGAGAGAACCTCGAGTTTATAATTCAAAGATAATCCCATAAAAAAAATTTATCAACAAAAAAGAAAAGATAATCCCATGAACAAAGATTTGGTGCTTCCTTTTTTTTTTTTGAACATTTTTTTTTTCATTTAATGAGCAAACCGGGTTTAACCAAAGGTTGGTACAGAGTTAATGTGGCTGTTCGCTGCCTTACCAAGAGAATCAGCCTTAGAGTTTTGAGATCGTAGAATGAAAGTGAAAGCGATCAAAGTGAAGAGAGATGCGAGAGCGTGTATATCGAAAAGAAGACCATAGATCTCTTTGATGGGCTCCTGCTTTGTTAAGGCTAGGACAAGGTCCTGAGCATCGGATTTGAGAATCAAATCGTTGAATCCTTTCTCCAGTGCATTGTTGAGGGCAGATCTGATCGAGATTGCTTCAGCCATGAGGGAGGAAGAGACAAATCTTTCAGCCGATTGCCCTTCTCCTATTTCTGTTCCTGTGCTATCAAGGAAGATCCAACCGGATCCGGCGGTTCTAGAGTCGAGGTTCCAAGATCCATCGGTGAAGCAGGTTACAGTGGCGCTCCCGTTCCTGTAAGTTTTCTGTGTCTGCATGTGTGGTTTGGTGGTTTCGATCTTGGATTGGGCGAGTTGCCATTCTCTGGCTTCAACTAGGGCTTTTAGGATAGTGGCCTCTGGTGTGAAGATTCTTTCTTCGAAGATCAGATAGTTACGGGTGGTCCATATAGCCCAAACGAGCCACAGGAAGATCGGGCCCTGGTTGATTCCGGTAGGCGGGAGGCAAATCATGGTTTTTGAGTTTGCGAGGGCAGGATTTGGTGCTTCCTAAATTCGTGATCCAAAGTAGAAAGGAGACACCCTTGGAAATCAAGCTTAACCTATGACTATGTGTCTCTATTTTGGTATCAAAGGACATGCATCAATTTAATCAATCATTAAAAGGACATGTATGATGATGTATCTAGCTAGTTCGGCTAAGGTGGCAGAACGAGTGGGAATGAAACTTACTTTAAAGTCTACAACCTAACCACAATACCCATATTCATTTTTCAATTTTCACACTGGATGAAGAGAATAAATTTATTTACCGAGCGATCACTGAATTAGTCAAACAATTAAAATCGAATTTAGGAAAAAAGTTGACATAGAGTCGATAATATATCCATATGTATAGTAGAATATATATGAAATATATACAAATAATAAACTCGAAGGACATTAGTAAAATTTTGAAGAAATAAGATATGATAATTTTTTATTTTTATATTTTGGGGTGCAAATAAGAGATAGTAGGCTTAGCTTTAGATATGATACGAAAACGAAAGCGATGGAAAATTTTGAAAACAGTACAAAACTATAGGCTCGGCTTTAGAAATCAGAAACAAACATAAGAGCAATGTTGGGTAAATGGTAAGGAATGGTTAACGAAAGGACTTTTGGATTCTGACTAAACTGCTAAGAAGGAGGGCAAAACAGCAGGCGGAAACAGTATAATGGAAATGATTAGACATAGACAGCGGGATTAAGACAAGATCATCTATCTAATTAACAAAATCAGGCTTTATTAGCAAGTAGAGAGGATTTTTAATTATGAAGAATTACTATAAACGTTGCTTTCTTTTACCATGTAAAAGTGACCCAGCACTATTGTAATATCGATTATCATCATTTTATTCTAACTGAGGATCCGTTATTTGTTTAAATGTTTTAGAAAGGATCTTTTTTTTACTGCTTCAATTTACTTTGAACCATTGACTGTGATACATTTCTCTCATACTTTTGAAAAGCTTTTATTATATCCAATCTCCTCCTAGTTACTGCATAACGGCTTACCTTATTTGGGCTAAATTAGGTTTGCATTAGTATTGGATGATTACAAGGAGTTCTAAGCCTAAATCAATCAATTTTCTAGCTTTCATAAAAGTATGTTTTATAGATGAAATCAGAAGTCGATAATTTCTGTTATAGATACGTTTGGTGCTAATAATTTGTGGAAATGTTTTACAGAGTGAATAAATCTCGATAGATAAAAGCATGGTTAGGATAGTATATCTGTTTTAAATAAAAAGGAAGAGAATAGTATCAAGATGTAATGTGCTTTGTAGGATACAGGGAACGTAGAGAAAAGTGTATAGTTTAATTTAATTAGTCGCCCACATGTGTAATGACATGTAAAGTTAATTACTTATACGGTTAGCTAACGGAAAGCACTTTTGGTGATATAAATATAAATATTAATGACTTTTTAGCCGCAAAATCTTTTTAGTTATCTCATATTTTAACTTATATATTTTCAAGAGAAGAATCCTTTTAAAATACAAATATTAATATGATGCCAATAATACATAAGCATGCGGCACGTATAGTTTTTTTTAATAACGCATTTCATAAGCTAGGAAAAAGAAGAAGAGATGAAAATAAATAGAAAATGAATTCGTACAGGAAACAACAGTTGCAGGGATTCCACTTCCACGCATGTGTGGATATGATAGACAAAAGATTCCGATCACATCACAATTTTGAGTTGGTGCATGCAATACCAAAAGCAGATTCCTTTTCAATCAAATAGCTAGAGAGCACACACACGGTCCAACTCGTCGAGAGATACGTTTCGTCGATATTAGTATTTTTGCTCCAACAGCCCAACCAAAGAAGGAAAAATATACTTACCTTACGTGTTGGTTGGTATATGGATGTCTATAAATCACTCCACTATATATCTGTGATTTGACATGTCACGTTGACAATCACAAACAACGTTTCCAACCTTTTCTTGTAGGAAGAAACAATTTGTAACATTACAATTACGTCTCGACAAAATATTGATGTTTGATGGGAGAAATTGGTAGGAGTTAGGGGTGATGCTTATGAATCCCCAAAGCTAATCATGGGGCCTTTTGACTTATTAGATAAAACAAATATATGGTTTAAATTTAAATTGCCAATTCTTCTCAATTTCTTATAAGTTTCTATGAGACATATAGAATAGGGTCAAGATTGATCAAAATACCCCATCATTCTCCCTCTTACATGCGGATTATCTAACTGATGAGCCACTAAGCCTCTACTCTAGCCAGTCTTAATCAATTAAGATTAACTTTAGTTAAAAATTGTCCTCAAACATTCTCAGTAAGATTTCATTTTCATAGAAACTATTAACAAAAGTTTAACTTTTAAGGAACCTCAAGCTAATCCTTGCTTTATTCTGTAGCAGCTATTATTAATATTGAGTGAACCCAGCAGTGACAACCACGTAGGACTTGAGAGATAAAAAAAACAAAGCCTTGGCCGTAGAAATTAGGCTCTAAGCAAACAAGTTCTTGGCCCCTTGATTTAGACCCACCTCCTCCCCAACGTAAGTATTTTAGCTCTCTAAATATGTCAACAAAACCATCAATTAGATTCTGTTGTTATGATGACACCTAAAAAACAAAAGTAATCAAGGAGCTAATCAAAACCTATAGGCTTAGCTTCAACAAGTTCTCTGATTACGAATATTTGTTTTATATTCCAAAGGCTAGAGGAAAGTTAGGTCAAGCTCAACAACTAATGATTCTCTTCCAAGAATTTAATAAGGAAAATGAAGAAATGTAGAGGGAAGATACATAATCTCAAAGAAGAAGAACATTCAACAGCCAAACAAAGAATATACCTTAGGATATTGTGTTAACTGTTAACTACTTACATTTTTACTAATAACGTTCCAGAAATTAGACGTTCTTAATGGGCTAAGATAAGTTTTCCAATTAACCCAATTTGAGCCCATAACGTTTGTTGGGCCAATAGTCATCTAAAATCTAAACACAGGAAGAGACCTTATTAGCTTACCCTGCACTCGTCCGTAGCTGATCAAGCCGTATACAACGATCTGTTTCTTGTAGCTGTTCTTTCTTTTCCATCATTTTGCTTCTCGCGAGAATCAAAGTGTTGCTCAGCTCCGATCATTGTCGCCGATTATCTTTTGCTTCTCTAAGATTCATGGTGAATCGCTTGCCGTCACTCTCTCTGCGTAAATTCTAGCTCTGCCCGGAGCCCTAACTCGCTGCGCCGGAAACTGTCGAGCTCGTCCGCTTCGGAGCATTTCGTTTACAGTTGTGCAGGCGGGTTGGTTTCTGATCGGGTTAGCTTGTTGAGGTAAGCATAATGTTCTTAAGTTTGAGCTCAGGATTTTCAATTTGATCTTCTTCGCTTTTTTTTTATCTTCTGCGTTCAGATTTTAGGAATTTGGTGATTGAGGTGGCCGATTTAGGGTTTGTTTTACTGGAATACGTAGTTCAAGTTCGAATTCGTTGGAGATCCTTTTTCTTAATTGCTGATGATTGTATCATTGATTCACTGCAATGCCTTCCTTTTTGTGTTTGCGTCTCTTTGTGCTGAAACTTATTCATTTTGTTTCCATATTGCGTCTCTTTGTGCATATTTCCGTGCGGAACGATCGTTAATGTCAACACTATCTCGTTATATGTTTCTCCTGATTTCATCCACAAACAATCTACTGTTAATTAGACTAATCAGTATGAATGAAGCTTGCTCTTGTTTGGATAGTAATCATGGGTTTCAATGGAAGAGTAGCATACTGGTTATTGGCTCACTTTGTTATTGGGGAATCTGCAGAACATCATACCACTTCTTTATGTACATGATATGCGCTTTTTTGTCTGACTAGATTGATTCGTTGAATTTGGATGTAGTCTTCTATTCGTAGTTTCTGCTGTTCGATGCACCAGGAGTTCACATTGGAAATGAATTTTCCAGGCTTAAGATAAATTGCCTTTATTAGACTGACTAATTTTCCTTTATCTCTCTTTCCTTGTTAGTTTGAACATTTTGAGGCTGCAATGTCGAAATCCTCATCAAATGGATTTTCACACAAAAGAGGTGAAAGTGAGGGAGTTTCGAAACAGTCTATAAAGTCACATCCCGCAAATACACCAAGTACAGGTTAGCTTTTTTTACTCTGTGATATATCTACACGTCATATTCTGAGTTCTCATGCTTGTTGATAATATATTCAGCATTCAGTGGGGAAGCTGTAAGCTCGGAGAGGCCTTCGCGTGATCGTTTAGTGTACCTCACAACATGTAAGATTGGGCATCTTGTGGAAGTGCATCTAAAAAATGGATCGGTGTATAGTGGTATATTTCATGCTGCTGATGTAGAGAAGGATTTTGGTGAGCCTCTGAATCAGATGATTTTTTTCCTTAGAGATGTAAAGCATGGAAAGACACTACTAGTTCTTGCCATTTATAAATTTCTTGAAACTTCCAGGAATCATTCTAAAGATGGCATCCTTGATTAAAGAAGGTACTTTAAGAGGGCCTAAATCCCGTTATGAGGTTGTCAAAAAGCCACCTTCCAAGACATTCATTATTCCGGCTGATGAAGTTGTGCAAGTTGTAGCTAAGGTGTGCTTGTTTTTATTAACTACGGGGAACTTTTTTTCTGTTTATGATTATGTCTATGCGTTACATGGCAGGAAGATTACTTTGATATTTGACATTGTCCTTCCTTTATCATTGTTTTTGGTGCTAGGATCTCTCTGTATCCAGTGACGGCATGTTAAATGCCGTTCAGAGTGAGAAGCAGGGTGAGCTGTTGACAGACTCTTCTATATCACAGTCTTCTCATGTTGAGCAGAGAAGAGAGCTAAAACCCTGGGTACCTGATGAGGATGTTCCAGAGAATTTGGTGAATGTGTTTGATAACCCTGGGAATAGGTATACTATACATATTTGAATTTCTAGTCAAATTTAGTTATCGGGTGTTGGATATGCAGATTTTTCAGCTAGATCCTTAGACCACGATTTCTTAGCTGGACATTTTAGACAAGAGAATGGTGGGAGTGAATAGATTATGTTTTTGTGCTTGCACTGTAGACTACTATGATTATGATTTTTCTTTTGGAAATCTATTCTCTTTCTATGTCTCTGCTGAGCTAAAATTTATTTTTTTAGTGGAAGCGTGTTTTATATTCTGAGGAAGAGCCCTTGGCGAATGTCCATAAGATTAGATAGAATAATGTTTGCACAATTTTCTCTCTTCTGAGCCATCTTTGTGTAGCTCTCTGGCTTTTCTTTCCCTGATATCTCTCATAACATGGCTTTTTTACTGGTAATATGCACAGTAGAGGGTGGGATCAGTTTCGGGTGAATGAGTCACTGTTTGGAGTAAAGAGCACTTTCAATGAAGAACTCTATACCACAAAACTTCAGAGAGGTCCTAGAAGTAAAGAGCTGGAAGAGCAAGCCCTGAGGATTGCGAGAGAGATTGAGGGTGAGAGCACCCGAGATCTTCATGTAGCAGAGGTGATTTTTGGTTTTTTTCATTGCAGTTTGGTTCCTACGTTTATGTTGTTGTTATAAAAGTTTATAATTGTTCATGCCTGCAGGAAAGAGGCCTTCAACTTAACGCGAAATTTGATGTTGATGAGGAAACTAAATACTCAGCTGTTCGTCCAGTTGATGGGTTTGATGATAGTGGGTTTGATGAGGAGGACGACAATTTACTGGATACTCGCAATGATCAGACTTTTGGTGGTTCATCTGCTTCTGATGGTCAGAAGCCAACTTCTTCTAGTGGCAAGGGCTATGGAGAATTACGGGTATGGTTTGATTTCATCTTTGATAGTAGTCTCTACAGAATAGTTATTGATATTGTCCTTCATTTTCATTCAGGGGGACAATAAATCTTCTTGGAAAGATATAAATGTAGATCAAAGCTGCTCGGTATCTGATGATCACCTTCCCTCTGAACGGCTATCCAAAGATTTTCCTGCTCTGGGCAGCAGTAACAGGTCATTTTCATGCCATTAGGCTATGGACTTTAACCACTGGAAAATCATACAAAAGTCTTCTCTCACATTGGGAGTTTCTCTTTTCATAACAGTGATAACCAGCTGGGTGAGCGAAGAAACAACAATAATCCAGAGGTTTCTCACAGTAACAGAGTAAATTCGACTCCATGTTGTTCAACTCCATTGATTGCAGTTAGCGTTTTATTCTTGTCTTGTTAGATTTAACATTGGTTCTTTGGCTTCCTTTTGTATTAACACAGTCAGCTCAGGAATCAGCTTCTGGTCATGGAGGTATACGCTACTACTTCCTTACACTTTTTCTATATATGTTTATCCGTTTGAACAATTGATGATGCCCACAGAAGTCTGATAGTGTATCGTTTTTATTTTCACGTTTATCTCAACGGACTATCTAGTAGCGATTGATAGTGTTCCGTTGATGGTGGATCCTTTTAAAGGTCTCAAATGGAATCTAGAAAAAGCTGCTTTTGTGCACAGGAAGTGGTGCCCTGTTGTATAAAACTTAGGAAACCAATTTATAGATTCGGGAGTGTTAAGTAAAACATGTATTTTGGAATACAGATATCAAAGAAGGTGCAAAACTTGGTGGTGGTACAACCTCAGGGTCGAAAGCTGTTGCTGAGAGAGAAAGACAAGTCGGTCAAGTTTCTGGTAAAACAAAACCTGAAATCTCTTTTGGGCAGTCGACTTCAAGAAGTTCAGGGAGCCGGCCAGCTCCTTCAGCATCAACTCGTCCCGGACTATCACCAAGCTCGTCAATTGGTTCTATGTCCTCAGCAGAAAAGTCCACTCTAAATCCGAATGCAAAGGTTTTTTTATCTGATTTCTTCAAACTTGATAAAGTGTTAAATCGTGTGTGTGTGTGTTTTTTAACTAATCAATGAGTCGTTGGGTTGGTGTGGTCAGGAATTCAAACTCAATCCAAACGCAAAGAGTTTCAAACCATCGCAACCAGCTGGTGCGCGGCCTCAGTCTCCAATCGCAGATTCGTCATTCTACTACCCTGCAGGTCCTGTTCAGCAGATACCACCTGGAATGCCTGTTGGTTACGGAGTAAGTTTGATTGTGTTTGTATACAGCCCAAATTTACTCACAAAAAGGAAATTTGTCTCTAAAACTCTCTCCCACATGAATGGCAGATTCAACCGCAGTATCCTGGCCAGCAACAGCAGATCATGTATCATCATCCTCAAACCTATTATCCTCCAAATGCGCAACATCAGGTTTGTCAATTGTTACTAACACACAAACCTTTTTATAATCACTATGCACATATTAGAAACGAAGAGGTGTAATGGTGTATGGAATTGGGATGTTGTTTGTAGTACCCGCAGCAGCAGCAGCAAATGATGCAAAATCAGCAAATGATGATGCATGGTCAGCCTAGGCCGCCTATTGTTTACATGCCTCCTCCTCCTTACCACCCGGTTATTGCCTTTTCCCCTCTTCTTCTCTTATGTTCAGAGAGTTAAGCTTTTGGATGCTGAGATCTCTATGTTTTTACAGGAAAATCCATATAATCAAGGCCGAGAGTAATAACCCCGATCGTGATGAGATGTTGTTGCTCTTTGTGAAGGACGCGAACAAACCAACCCTCTGTTTTGGTTTACGCTCTTCTTCTTTTTTTGTCCCTCTCTTACCCAGTTATTGAAAACCATTTTTTTTTGTTTTCCCTTTTAAGATTCCCCTATCGGATTTTAATATCTCGTGTTAAACAAGAAAAAGGAAAGAAAAAAAAGAACGATCTTCTGTACTCTCTGAATTCTTGTATCTGAAGATATATATACATATTTTAGAGTTTAGGTTTTTCTCACGTGTCCTAAACTGAATCACTTGGTCGTTCGCATTTTTATGTGTTTTCTTATATGCATGATGCTCACTTTCTGTACTTGATCTTCTAAAATCCAAAACTTGTGATTCGTTTAATAGGATAAGTTAAGAAGAGTCGCGTGATTTTTAAAGCACGCAAAAATATTCATACGTTGGTTACAGCTGACACGAATTGTTTTTGTTTTTGTTTGTTAAGACGTTGAGCTTTGCTATCTATAGTTGATATCGTGTTTATTATTTATAACTATAATGATGAGTTTGAAGTTGTGGGTACGTAGTTGAGACGATTTGGTAGGCAACAAAAATCAGTTTAAGATTCGGCTAAGGAAAAAAGAATCATACCTAATTTACCTGTCGCATATATAATTAGGTGTAGTTGTCGTGAGCTGTATAGGTCGTGACTCGTGAGTCCTTTGTTTCTTTTTCTTTTGACGAATCTCAACATCCAAAAGTATTACATTTTCTATGTGAGTAAAACATTTTTTTTTTCTTTTGGTTAACTGAAGATTTCAAGTTTTCAACTGCCACTCGAGTTAGGAACTATGATTGCTCAACCAATCTTCATCTAGAATGTATATGTGCTCCCTTTATGGTCACTTATCTAATTGCAACCATGTTTTAAATTCTTTATCCCTTAACTACTTTTCACGAACCCAACCACCACTTTATCCAGTGATCCCTGATGTGGCATTGATGATTTTTTCTAAGGTTCGTTTTATGTGGATAACGAATACAGAATACTTAACTACAAATACGGTCAATACCTTGCTAGTGTTCAGGAAATGTTTGTTTACAGATGCGACTTGCGAGACTATATAAATGGAAGTGTGTATGTTGTTGTGTGACGACGCGTCTTTCATCATCCAAACACCGGACGTGAATATCACGCGTGATCGAGAAGCGCGTGGGTTTTGGACAGTGATGTGGCGGCTGTGAATGGAAGGGGACAAAAGTGTCTCTGTTTGATGACTATTTTATTTTCCATTACATCACATCTGAATCCGAGAGAAAATTACACTGGGAGGCACTTTCTTACTTTAAGTTCACAGGAAGAGGCACTTTACACTTATGGTGCGCTTTCAGCAAAGAGAAAGACTAATTTACCCCTCATTCAATCGCAAGACACACGCCCTCTTCCTCAGTAAAACTGTGTTTGGGTTAATTTACAAATTACTCTTTTCATCTTCTCCGGCGCCGACGAGAACCCCGAGAATCTTCTTAAGCTACAGATCCGCCGACAACGAAATCCCCGACAGTGCTCAGGGTTAATGAGGAATAAGTTTTTCGTCAAATCATTAGACACCTTTAGATTCCCTTCCCCCATCTTTTACAGTTAAATCAAACCCTACAAAACACGGCGACGCTTCGTATCCTAGCTAGGAAACGATTGTAACGGCGCCCGGAACATCCGGCAGCTACCTGTTTCTGTTGTTCATAATAGTAGCTACCGCATGGAGTCCTCCTCACACATATCGGAAGTTCAGCAAGGTACCTTCTCAGATCTCTTTAAACAAGTGTTGTACTTGTGGAATAGACGATTCATAGCCAAACGTCTTCAATTACCTTTTTTATTTGGGATTACCCTTTCATAGGATCTGTAGCGATTACCTTTAAACCATCGCATTTCTCAATTGTTCTATGTGTTTTTATCTTCAAATTCAAATTCCCCACACAAGCTATGTATCTAATTGTAGTCATCCATTAACTCGCGTCCACCACCGTGGACAGCCCACACATGTTTATCCATACAGTCACATACACGCCATATTATCCACCCAGACTCATCCACATACACACATCCACTTAGGTCACAAGCACATTATATATCCATTTTTAACTTTTAAGTTTATCCACAGAGGCTTGTCCACATTCAATACTACACGACATGTATTTAGAACTTGCCCAATTCCCTAGAGGATCTGACACCCTTTTGTATCCATTTCTAACGCTCTCCTTCTTATATGCAGGGGCAGACCAGCCTGGATGGGATACTAAGCTACCTCCCAGGCTCTTCGCCACCGGTAGATACCCGAAAGCAAGCCTAAACGTTTATTCAAAGCTAGATCACCTAACCTTCATTCACCACCACCTGAAAGACAGTCCTGTCATGGAAAGAATCATGAACACTTGCTTCGGCAAACTCTTCCACATCCCCTCGCCAAGATGCCCCACATCTGGCAAGCTTATTCACCAGCTTATTACTAGGCAGCTTCTGACCAAGCAGAACCACGAAATGTGGATGGCGTTTGGCGGCAAGCCCATAAGGTTCGGGCTCCCAGAGTTTGCTGCAATAACCGGCCTTCCTTGTGGCCCATTCGAAGATGAATATGAAGAAAACGATACAACATCAACCCCTGAAGGCAAGGTCGACTCTGTCTGGAAAGAGATTGTGGGAGATGATCCGAAAACAACCATAGGCGACATTGCAGATTTGTTTAAAGAAGAAAAAACATTGCTGTCCATGTCGGATGACAGGAAGTTCAAGCTAGTGCTCATACTCATCGTCGACGGTGTCTTAGTCGCCACACATCAGTATCCAAAGCCGACGCCAAAATACGTGTCCATGCTCGCCGATATTCAGAAGTTCCTTCAGTACCCATGGGGACGAGAGTCTTTCATCAGCACCCTAACCACACTGCGTCCAGAAGCAAAAGGGAAAAAAAAAAACCCAGATCCAGTGGCTAAATTTCGCGCCCAGACAAGAGGCGGGACCATGCGGCTCCAAGGTTTCCCATATGCTCTTCAACTCCTTGCTTTGAAAAACATACTTATACTACAAAACTTCCTGTCAAGTGCTGCGGAAGATCACACTCTATTTGACATCCCTGGGATATCAATTCCAACTCACGCTGGATTGAATTGTGATGAGGTCTTGCAAGGAGAAAACCACCACGACGTAAGCTTCTTACGTCCAAACTGCTTACGATGTTTTTGTGAGACAAATCACTAACACTTTTTGTTGCGCAGCTTGTTGTACATCCTTTTCTCACGTCAACGGACCCTTCCGTTCTAGCCCAGTATGAATGGGACGACGAAGTCACAGACAGAAGAGTAATGTACCTGCAGAAGAAAATTGAAGATAAATACTCTTTCGCACTCACCGACTGGCCTCACGGCGATGGCTCACTGGATCTCATATTTCCCAAACCCCCAAAGCCAAAACAAGTGCACTATAAACAACACATCATCAGCCGCAAGAAACGGAAGAGCTCAGTACTACACCCCAAAGAACCGAAGCCTAAAAGAAAACAGGGGGGAACAGGTCCGCAAGCATCCAACGGAGATGTAGAGGACATCCAACTTCTACGTGAAGAATTTATAAAGCTAAGTGACAAGGTCGCCGGACTACAAGCCACCATACAGAGGTACGAGCTGGAGAGAAGGTTCTTCAGGACACAAAGGGTCAGGCAACAGAGGAGGCGTTTCAAGGCAAAAAGCATAGCGCCCTCCAAAATGGAGGTAAGGCACACATCATCTTACTGATTGAACAACACATCACAACCGAAGCTAATAGTTTTTACACGCGCAGGGATGTACATACAGTCAACACCCAGACCTCAGGCATGATCCCTCGCTATCGGACACAACGGAGCTCGCTGGTCCTTCGAAAGTAACACGAAAATACACGCCTTCGCCTCCCATCAATATATTTTCTCGTGCTATCAAATTATTTAACAAATGGCTCACCATACAGGACGAAGTAGAGGAACAACTGCCAACAAAAATCTCGATATCTAATCCCACCACACCAAACGGAGAGCAGGACGAGTGTCTTAAAGATCTTCACAAATCACAGGACGAGCAAGACGACTGTCTCTTACCCAAAGATGTCTTACCAAACCCAGCCGGAATCCTCGCATACCAGGTAGCTTTATTTCCATTTAAGTACATCGCACTAAACATCAAACCAAACATGCACATTATTACTTACTCTGAGCTCACTACCCACCACTACCATCTGATTACAGGGACCTCCACATCATATCCCACAAAACGGAACGGGTGACGTACAGTACACAAGCACTCACAAAGTAAGACAATTCATATCCACAACAATATATTCATATTCCCATCAGCACAAAAATCTCATAAACAAGAAAACAAACTGGTTTTGCTATCTTCTCCTTTCACAGACACAGAAGAACCGCAAATAACATCCCCGCACTGATGGATATATATCAATGGAAATAACAATGTCCGACGTCTCCATTTTCACATTTCATCCCTTCAGCCATACGGTTAACCCAACTAAGTGATGCACAATACTGTAATCAGAGTAACACATTAAAATCGGGAAATACCCAAACATCCGCATCCACTAAACCAGTTCGGACTAACATCGACCGCTTTAAACATACAACAAAAGAAACGTTTGGCAAATTAACAACAAAACATAAAACCAGTCCATATCCGTCAAACACAGCATACCTTAACGGCAACCAAAAAACAAGCAACCCCCTACTCCGCTAACTCGCCCCAACCAAAAGTCAACAACATCCGCCGATTACTAAAAAAACACAAAAACATCCGCAGAAACAGAGCTACGCATAATAAAGAAATTCAATGTATCTTGGTTCACAAGCTATCCACACTACATACCAATGTGGATACCAAAACAACCAAATCATATCAAAGAGGGACATCTTGTACGGTTGTGACCTGGCTGGAGACACTTCGTGCACTTGTTCGGAACCTCCTTCTTCTTCCTAACAACCTACAAACAAATCGAACGACTGGGGATCAAAAAATATACAACACCTGCTACACTCGCCTAAAGATGCAAAAGCATATCACTTACCGGGAACTCTCCCTTAGAGGGAATCCTGGCTTCCTTTCGACGTCCTTTAGCACGGCCTGCCATTGGCGGACAAATCACTAGCTCAGATAGTTCTTCCGAGATGTCAACGTCGCCCTCGTTCACGGCAGGCGTTACCAATCCAACATAAGTCTCTTTCCAGCAACCAGGCTTGTTCCAAAGACCAACTAGTGTACTAGGGAGGACACCAACGCTGTCAGCAGCGAGCAAGGCATGGCCACAAGGGATCTGAAGCCTTTCGAACTTCTTACACGTGCATCTCCTCTCGTTAAGTAGGACTGTGTTGTGATCGCCGAATTTACCAACAACGTCAAAACCCCAACTTGATATCTGGTTTACATGACTGCCTTTAACCTCCTCGATGTGTTCCTTCAAAACCTTCTCCACCTCAGGTGGGAGACTGCCTCTCAAAGCCGAAGACTTCCTACGCCTTGCATTGAACCACCTAGTCATCATGGCTTGGATAAATTTGAAAAGATCAACCACAAGGCATCCCCTTCCTTCTTTCAAGGCTTTGTTCAACTGCTCGGCTGCGTTGCTCGTCATAAAGTTATACCTCTCACCCTTGCAATAACACCGAGCCCAGTGGCTCATTCCGATCTTCTCCAGGTACCGAGCGCATTCTAAGCTCCGAGATTTTATCTTCTCAAAGTGAGGCTTGAAAGCTGAGGGTCTGTAGGCAAAAGCAGCTAGTCACCAACTTCCCGAGACCCTTTGAGTTGTATATAGAGTTAACATTGCGAGCTAGGTGTACTATACAAGCAACATGCACAGCAAGCAGATAGACGGCGGCAATGGCAGCATACAAGGACGTGGCGCGATCTGAAACTATAACCAAACTCGAGCTATCTCCCAAAATCCTCTCTAGCCTTTGCAAAAACCATGTCCAAGATTTCGTGTATTCAGAGTCAACGAGAGCATAGGCAAGAGGAAAAACCTGAAAGTTGGCATCCTGCCCAACAGCAGTAAGAAGAACACCCTTGTACTTGCCCAACAAATGAGTGCCGTCCACAACAACGACACGTCTAAGTCTGCTAAAACCAGTGATCGACGCTCCAAATGAAAGGAAGGCATAGAGAAAACGTTTGTTGCCATCAACATCCAACTCTGTCTCTATATCAGTAACAGTTCCAGGGTTTGCAAGCTTCAGTATATGGAAATAAACTAGCAGCTTCAAATATGATTCCTCCTCAGTGCCTCTTACATCAATACTAGCTAGCTCTTTCGCTCAGTAGCACTTCATATACGACGCATGCACACGTAGCTCCTCCAAAACCATCCGTTGCAGCTGTGTAGCCCTAGGACCTTTATCAGGGTCTCCGTACTTAGCCCTGAAAACGGCGGCAATTACACGCGACAAAGACTTTTTCCTGTATGCATTACGGGTATCTATGCAACAAGAGTGGTCAAGTGTCGCCTTCGTTATCTCGTAGTAACCGCAATCTCCAACCTCCTTCGCTCTTACCCTCCAGTCGCAAAACTTATCAACGCAGCTAACAATGAAATAGTGCCTCTTCGTCGTGGACTGCTTGAAGTGGAACATCTCCTTAATTGCGTGAATAGCCAGCGTAATTTGACACTCCACCTTGCTATTGAACAGTCTGCCTACGTAGATGCACTCTCCAGAAACCTCTATGTCCAGATCCGGTATGTCGTCTGTCACATATTTAGTGTCGTTAAACATAGGGGGTATGTCGAACTCCTCGTCGTCAATTTGCTCCAGTGGACGACAATCGTCAGTTAGTGGAGTCTCTGCTACACGCCTACGAGGAACTCCTTCTGTCTTAATGTCAGGCAAGACATCGCCGCTTAAGACATAGTGATCGAAAGCGTCGTTGTTCGAGCACAATATCATTCGCCGCTTGCCAAGTGCTGCAGCTTTCCCATCGAACCCATCGCTTGGAGGACACATTATGTCAACTGCGTCGGAACCGCCAAAGGGATCGCTGATCAATGGCTCCCAGAATTCTTTGTCATAGCCAACAGGGCGTACATCAGGAGCCCCTGGAGGTAACTCGCCGCAACTCTCGTCGGAGTCGGATGCAGTAAGTCCGTCCACGTAGGCGGAGCTTGTTCGCTTCTCGGGATCACCGAAAAAAACATCTTCCATCAGCTCGGCATCGAACAGGGTCTCGTCCGATGGAGTTTGTACACATCCAGAAGAAGACCCTTCGCTAAATCCTCTTGTCTTATCAGCCCCATTGAAACCGGTGTCGTCGAAGGAAAATTTTCGTCCTATGAGACTGGACACAAAGGGTCTGACGGGACCCCTGGACGAGCAGCTACCGAGTGCAGCTGAAACAGAACGCCCTGTTTTTGCGTCTCTGTTTATATCATCAAACGTTGTCCCCTCTTCCTCGCGTTAGCCGGCATTGTGTAACAAGATTCTGAAGCCCCATAAATTTTGCTCACAAAGGTGACAAAAAGATTCATGGAACGGTTGACGTGGTAGTGTTTGAAGAAGAAGGAAATACTACCTTCGTTGGTGAGAATGACAGGAGGTGTCCTGATACCTGTCGCCAGCTCTGTCGTGTTTGGTGGCCAGTAACTAAGCGCAACCGTAAGGCAAGACTTTCCGTGAGGAAAAAACTCAACAACAACACGATTCTTCAGCTCCTCCAGGCTAATGCCGACTTGAACAACAATGACTCGTGACATCAGATTCTTGTCGACGAGGAAATCCCACTGACCAGCGGAGGAGCAACGCCACTCGCCGCACATAACTAAGCAATGTTCCTCCATTCCGAGGCAGAAAACCACGAAGAGATAGAAAAACGGATTTTTTAGAGTCTTCCAGCTGAGAGCTAAGGTTTACCTTGAGATATAAGGGAGCCACTAATGAAAACCCTTCCTTTCTTACGCCGTACGGTCTCTCCAAAAAGTAATCCAACCACCAAGTCAGGTGTCGATAACACAACCACACGATTGAGAAAACGTAATTGCTTATGACCTAAATCCGACGGCTGAGTTTTCACTTCCTTTGAATTACGGGGGTTTAGTAGATTGACGAGCCAAAAACATGGGGAAAGGCGTCGGAACTGCTTTTGTGTCTATAATTTCGCATCCAAATATGAACCTCATACTTTCGCAATCCAATTTGAAACCCGCAAAGAAACAGGGGAATAGAGCGTCTCCATCCATAAATTCATATCCAAAGACGAACCTCCTAGGTTACCAAAACAAAATGAAAACCGCCGCTGTCCTCTGTAACGCCGCCGGTCTTGTGGAAGAAAAGTAACACCAATCACCGGTCACCGGAAACATTTCATTTTTGTGGAATTAACGTTGGGGCGATTTGGGGACTGATTCAATCGATCGGAAGAATAATTTGGTCGACTCTCGACTAAAACTAACTCACGACAAAAGATACAGCGACGGTAAAACTTTTTTTTAACCAGGGGCTTTTTCGAACATAACAGGCCCAGAAGTGGGGATAAGTCCACCTCAGTCACAAAGTGTGTTTTCGTGATAGGAAACTGCAAAAAGTGCGTCTTAGCGTAATTAACTCTGAATCCGATCACACCGTAAGCCTCCCTACACACACCCTGATTTTTTTTTCTGTCCACTTAAGCATAATTTTAAAGTTTATTGATATCTTAAAGACTTAAACCACAATCAAACACTAGAAAAGACTTTTAAGAATTGTAAAACTCTTAATTAACTACTGTATTCATTCATTTATAAAAGATGAAAGAGGTCAGACAACAAAAGGAAGAAGAATAAAACAAGAGGAAGATAAGAATGGTTTAATAATGTAAACAACGAATAATTTTTACGATTCTATTAATAATTAATGTCATCTAAAAGGTTCCGTAGTGTTCATGGTGAGTTAGTGGTGGAAATTGGGAAAATTGGTTATTGCCGAAGAGAAACAAAAGTGAAGGTAAAGCTTTTTAAGGCATAAGCCAATAATACCCAATTTGCAGAGACAGTGAAAGAGAAATAAAATAGTAGAAAGAAAAAGAAGCCATGTTTTGAGGAAGGAGACATGCATCATCTCAACTTTACATGAAATTTTCTCTCTCTCTCTCTCCATCGTCCACCAATTCCATAGAGTTTCTTATTTCGGGTAAATCTTGTCTCTCTGTTTGGCTACTTGTACTCTGCTTTGAGTGAAGGAAAAAAGAAATCATTTTTTGAGTGATAGGTGAGAAAATCTGATTGCTTTGTCTGTTTGTTTCTTCTCTTTTTGATTGGATCAGTAAAGATCGAATTTTTGGGTTTTAATTTCTCTAAGTTTCCACAAATCTCGTCGACTGAGCTCTCTACTTTGCCGATTTAGTTTTGCATGTTTCTTCTTTCTCTGAACAAACGTTTCAGTGATGAATCAAATTCTGTTTTTTGAGCTGCTTTTCGTTAGGCCGTCGATTCTCACATCCTGAATCTTTTGATTGCTATTTATTTGGTTTGATAATCGGATCTGCTCCGTCGCTTAGATCTGTTGTTTGGTTTTTTCTTTCTATGGATCAAGAACTGTTTTCTTAGATTTGTTCCATATCATGACTGGTTATGTACATGATTGAGTTATAGGTGACACTGTAAAAAAATATACTGTGGTCTCAGCTTACTGAAGTTTGTGTTGCAGACAATGCAAGAGTAGAGTTCCACAGCAAAGATTCATTGCCAAGTACTCTGTTTTGACAACAACACTCTACGCTTGACTATGAAGTTGATGTCTGCCCATCTCCCCGGGATTGGTTTTCAATTGCAAGACCATGATTCTATCTCTTCAACTCAATCCACTGGAGGAGAATCATTTGCTGAAGTTGCAAGCTTGGTGGAACATAATAATCGTTTTGGCCACAGCATCTCAGGTCCAGCTTTTCAAACTAAGACTTCATTCACATTGCATCAACTGCAAGTAGTTTTAGCTCATCTATGTTGGTTCTTGCTTTGATGCAGCTGGTTACAAAGAAAACGCTGAGAATCCTATTGGAAACCATTCGAAGCCAATCTTGTCGAAAGTGTCTCAAGATTCAGTGGCTCCTCCAGTCATTGAGGTTAATTAGTCACATCATCTTTGACCTTATGAGACAGGAGTTTAAAGCTAAACACAATATTAATTATGTCTATTGCTTAACCCCTCAGGCTTCTTGGCCTCTACATGGCACTGAAACGCAACATGTCAATGGTTTCTTTTCTTTTCCATATGCACCACAACACACGGTAATACATAAATATTACATGTCAGTTTAATGCTCTTGTTGCCATCTAATTCTTGATCTTATGAACTATATGTTGTGGGAATCTTTTGCAGGGGCAGCATCCTCAGATGGGAGGGTTGATTCCTTCTAGAATGCTTTTGCCTCACAACATTCCAGAGAACGAACCAGTTTTCGTCAATCCTAAACAATACCAAGCCATTCTCCGTCGAAGACAGCGCCGTGCAAAGCTTGAAGCTCAGAACAAGCTCATCAAAGTCCGCAAAGTATGCTTATCTCTATAACTCTATAGCAACCATTCCGATAAATAGAGTCATGTGTCTAATGACCGGTTTTGTATATGAAACTATATGTAATGCAGCCATATCTTCACGAGTCTCGCCACCTTCATGCGTTAAAGAGAGCTAGAGGCTCTGGTGGTCGTTTCCTCAACACAAAGAAGCTTCAAGAGTCAAATTCTCCAGAGTCTCCTTCATTCTTGAGCACACCTCATTTCTTCAAAAACCCTCAGGGGAAGTTCCGGCAAAGGGACATTTCGGGAGGTGGTGGGGTCGGGTCTAGTGGCTTGACAACATCTTGCTTGGACATAGCTGGGAACAACAAGGACATGTTCCAACAAAACCCACAGTTCAGGTTCTCAGGTTATCCATCAAACCACCATGTCTCAGTCCTCATGTGAGAGTCTTGCTCCGGCTTGGTGGTTGATGAGATCATGACGGGAAGTCATCCTTGGCTATTGTATTATTGATCCACAAAGGTTTCTGTCTTTAAAGTCTGCTTTCTGCAATCTCTACTGCAAAAATAGTTTTTTTATTTGGAGAATTTTTTTGTGATTGTACTATATGGTTTGTTGCTGGATTGTTAATACTTGGTTTAAACTTATTCGCTTTAATTATATGAACCTACATGGTTTTGTGATTGATGTAAATGTATGATATTTTTATTTTATTTGTACTTTTTAAAACTTTCTTCTGTTGCCTATTTAAGTATTTAGTCCATTTCCGCTCTAAATTCTTGCAAAATTTTGGTTGCTTTAATCAAACGATAGTATCATATAGTTTAGCTCAAGTTCTCCCATAATAGTTGGATAGTTTGATATATATCATATGATTTGCTATTGCAGTTGAGAATAAAGTTGTTGAATCAAGATAAACGTCCGACATATTGACATGTTCAATAGACTTGTACTTCCAAGTTCCAAAAAAAGATCCTCCCTCCAAAACACCAAACATAATAGGGATGAAGATAAAGATGGTGATTAACATATGGCTTTTTGTAAGGGAATTCTACAAGGCCCATTGATTAACATATAAGTATATAACATATTGTGAATTGTGACAGACTTCCAGGTCGGAACCCACCTGGACCCAAGGGTCAAAAGTATTATTGCAGCATTCACTGAAAAAGCGCGCCAAGATAAATAAAGAAGTATTGAAACGTCAAGACTTGAGCTCGTTTTGCCTTCAGTGCATCCAAACGTACTTGAAATTTACTTTCATAAAGTTCTGTGAAAAGTAACAACATATAACATATTTACCTAGAACTCATACTATCTCCTACAATCCTCTTATCTGAACTCTAAATCACTGAATTATTGTCATTTAGAAGGAACACGTCAAAGTCAAGTCTCAAGTGGTCCATTGAACTTGGTTTGACTAATATGTGGGAGCAAAGACATCTTTGTCTTTGTCCCATTTTATTAAGGTTGTATTATGTCTTGACGTTTTGTATCCTCCAATCATTTCTCAATTCCTACACCCACATCTGATATCTTTACGATTACAATAATTTACCAAACCAAATAAGGCGTCACACATCAATTATTTGTTCTACTGCTCGAAAAACTTATATATTGATTGTGCATCTCTCTAGCTAATTTTTTTATAATATAGATGTATATGTTTTACAATGGATTGTGGTCTGTGGATAGTGCGAAATTATTTATCTAAATCCCCAGCTAAATACGTACATAACTAACTCATGTTAGTCTTATAAGATGCTCAAAAAAAAATTCTATTAAAAACCCATAGTCAAATTGGTGTTTGTGGGCAAATATCATGAGAACATATTAATTTACATAGTATTTTAGAAATGGATGTTCCTCCAACTCAGACAAGTGGATGAGGGTGTGAAAAGCTTTCAGATGTTGGACTATATGTTCGTGATGATATTCATTTCAATATCTATATTGTGACATAACATAAGTGTACTATCATCAACAAAAGTCTATTGGGATGGAAACGGTTGATATCTTCTATCTTTGGAAAATGGTATTCTTATACATATTCTGAACCAAGACACGAACATAGGTTATAGTTTTAACTTTTTAACCAGACTAGTTTCAACAGACAAACCATAAAGACCATAACAAAGATTATCATCGAGACCAATAAATAGAGGATATAACCAGATTCTATGTCTACATCCTAATATGTCCCCACAATCTAGACTTTGTCATTACAAATACTATATATGGCAACATCATAGTACAGCTTGATTCTCTTATGTATCTCTCAAATCTTCCATAAAAACACACATATATGATATTATATAATGTCTGATATGCAACATAAATAGTATATAGTACAACCAACAACAATGGTCCCAAATTTGCAATGAGAGAAGAGACTAATTCACTTAAGAAATGCAAATCAAATTGTAATATTCAAATGGTATTTTTCACAACTCTTATAACCATTTTCTAAATACTCCTCGGCACACATCTATATGTAAGACCACACGCCATTTCAATCTGTATTCGATTCTCAACATAGAAATCCTCCAAACCAAATGATTTCTACTCCTGTTATTTGTTTATGTTAAACCTTAACATATCACTTACTCTCAAACAATATATTTTTTCACCATCTATTCAATGTCGTTAGAAGAAGCAGAACCACCAAACCAAACTCTAGATCACGTCCTAGGCTGGCTTGAGGAAACTATGTCCTTAACCCCATTACCTGGACTCGATGATTCTTTTTTCCTCCACGAGTTTGACGGGTCTCAAACGTTGGAATGGGATCAGACTCCATATCCGGGACATGATCTTCTTCAAAGCTATACTCAAGATCTTAATGCATATATGAATTGTGAAACAACCAACCTGGAAGTGCTAACAGAAGATCCAGTCATTGATTCGGATCCTCCACCCGAGCTTCAGCAACCAAACGATCATTCCAAGAAAAGGAACCTTGATGGGCTTATCGATGCCCAACATGTGAAAAGATCAAGAAGGGGCAAGAGAAAAGCAAACAAGCCTAGTGAGAAGAGCTGTGGTAACAAGGAAAAGAGATGGGCAGAGCAACTGCTTAACCCTTGTGCCTTGGCAATCACGGCAAAGAACTCATCAAGGGTTCAACATTACCTTTGTGTTCTCTCTGAACTTGCCTCTTCTTCTGGAGATGCTAACCATCGTCTTGCAGCTTTTGGTCTTCACGCTTTGCAACACCATCTCTCAACCTCCACTGTGTCGTCCTCTGTTACTTTTGCTTCAGCAGAAGTGAAGATGTTTCAAAAGACTCTGCTCAAGTTCTATGAGGTAAGCCCTTGGTTTGCTTTGCCTAATAACATGGCAAACTCAGCTATCCTTCAGATCCTAGGACAAGAGACCAGAGATAAAAAGGATCTTCATGTTCTTGATATTGGTGTTTCTCACGGTATGCAATGGCCCACTTTTCTGGAAGCTCTGTGCAGCAGACCAGAAGGACCTCCTCCTCGTGTTCGAATTACCGTTGTATCTGATCTAACCGGAGACATACCTTTCTCTGTTGGTCCACCAGCTTACAACTATGGTTCTCAGCTCATTGGCTTTGCTCGGTCCCTCAACATCAACCTCCATATCAGTGTACTAGACAAGTTCCAACTCATTGATACCTCACCTCATGAGACCTTGATCGTCTGTGCTCAGTTTAGGCTGAATCAACTGAAACATGGCATCACTGATGAGAAAAGTGAGGCTTTGATAGCACTGAGAAGTTTGAAGCCAAAAGGAGTGGTTCTTTGTGAGAACATTAATGGAGAAGGCAGTAGTAGAGCGGACTTTGCAGCAGGTTTCTCGAGGAAACTGGAATACCTTTGGAAGTTTCTGGACTCAACAGGCTCTGGATTCAAAGAAGAGAACAGCGAAGAGCGGAAGCTTATGGAAGGAGAGGCAACAAAGGTGTTGATGAGTTCAGGAGAGATGAATGAAGGAAAATACATATGGTATGAAAGGATGAGAGAAGCTGGTTTTACTGAAGAAGCGTTTGGAGAAGATGCTATTGATGGAGCCAAATCTTTGTTGAGAAAGTATGACAACAATTGGGAAATAAGGATGGAGGATGGAGATACATTTGCTGGGTTGCTTTGGAATGGAGAGGCAGTTTCCTTTTGTTCCTTGTGGAAGTAGCTTAGCTTCTTTTTTAAGAATCCAAACTAAAGCCTTGTGCAAAATGTTGACCAAAAGACTTGTGTAAACGTTATCTTCCAAGTTTTTTATTTTTATTGTGAAGTAGACCAAACTTTGAAAAGCTTATATATCTTAGAACTAGATGGGAAAAGGCCAAGAATAAATGTATATTTGGTGGTAGTAAGCTGCAGAATGTTGTAACTTGTAACCCAAGAGAAGTTCTTGTAATTATTTAAAATATTAAAAGAAATAAAATTGAAAGATGAAACGAGAACATACAATGTCATTGTACAAACGAGACATAAAAGGAGATGCCAGAAACAAAATCAAGAAAACTGAAATAAATAATTAATAATCTCTTTCTTTCCTTTTGCTTAGTTGCACACTAAGCTTGGACCATAAGAAGAAGAACACACAGTTGGACACAATATATGGGCTGAGTATATCCAAACCTACCAAGATCCGTAGCTTGTTTAATATTCACAGTTTTGTAATATCCATCTTCTCCAATGATGTGAGCTCTTTGGTAGCGACGAGTCTCTGTCGGTTTATATCCGTCTAGATCGAAAACCACAGCGAGTTTCTTCTCCTCGTGAATGAAGAAACTCCCACTTTTGAAGTCAAACTGAAAACGAGAGAGTGGTTTCATATCAACTCTCAAGAACTTTCTCCAGGACACGTCATCGTGCTCGATCTGGGTGGTAACCCAAATCTCCATTGTATCAAGAAACTTCTTGCTCTGATATAAAACCAAGAGCTTCTCTTCTCTAACGAAAGAAAAATCCACAGAGTCTTCGGCATAAGAGTGAAAAGGCAGAGGCAAGCGTGGACCAAATCTCTCGCTTGTAAAATCAAAACTTAGTAAAAAATCCTGAATCCCTCCCGGTGTCACTCTTGCGATTTTCTCCTGAGCAAAAAAGTAAGCATTTCCTTTCAAAGACACACCACGTTGATAAGGTTTTATATTCCACTCCGGAGTGACATCAAGAACCTTCCATGAATTAGAGGCGAAATCGAAGATTTGGTACGTAAAAGCGTGTTTTTCGAGTCCGTCAGTGAAGAAGTGATCATCTATAAACCTCAAGATCTTGTGGTTACGGTTCTTGTTGTTGTTGTTGTCGTAACCGAAAGCATACCGGTCTAATCTGCTGTAACTGTTTCTTGGTGGGATGCTCACGAGTTGATTCAAATACGGGCTCCATACCAAGAGCCTCGTGTCTTTGGTGACAAGTAACAATAATCCGTCGCAGTAAGAGGTTTTAGATTTCTCAAAGTGATCAAGTGGACTTACTTGGTTTATCACTGGATCAACGAAAGATTTTTCGTATGTCAAGGCACAAACCTTTGAATTCATCGTCATGAACCCTAGAAGCTGGTTCGATGTTGCTGGTTTCGATAAAGCGTTCCATAATTTGCAAGTAGATCGCACCGATCTCTGAGATGTTAATCGATTCCTAGAGAGTATCTCTCTTGCCAAATCCTCGGAAAGATCCAACATCTTCGCCATTGTTTTTGACTTAGTTTTTAGGTTTCAACGATTAATCAAGGCTGTGTAACAAAAATTGGGATTTATCTCAAATAGGTTTAAATAACCGTCGTTATAATTTTACTTTCTATCTTTTTTTTAAAAAAGGAAAGCTAGTCATTTCCTTTTTTGTCCTTAACCTATTTCAACCTCCTCTGTTACTTTTGCTTCACGTTTTAAAAGACTTTGCTAGGTCAGCCGTTGGTTTGCTAGCTTGACCTAGGTCAACATTTCTCCACTTTGCTGGAAGCTCTGTGCAGCAGACCAGAAGGACCTCCTCCTCGTGTTCGAATAACCGTTGTATCCGATCTAACCGGAGACATGCCTTTCTCTGTTGGTCCACCAGCTTACAGTTATGGTTCTCAGCTCATTGTCTTTGCTCGGTCCCTCAACGTCAACCTCCATATCAGTGTACTAGACGAGTTCCAACTCACTGATACCTCACCTCATGAGACCTTGATCGTCTGTGCTCAGTTTAGGCTGAGTCAACTGAAACATAGCATCCCTGATGAGAAAAGCGAGGCTTTGATAGCACTGAGAAGTTTGAATCCAAAAGGAGTGGTTCTTTGTGAGAACATTAACGGACAATGCAGTAGTAGAGAGGACTTTGCAGCAGGGTTCTCGAGGAAACTTGAATACCTGTGGAAGTTCCTGGACTCAACAGGCTCTGGATTCAAAGAAGAGAACAGCGAAGAGCGGAAGCTAATGGAAGGAGAAGCAACAAAGGTGTTGATGAGTTTAGGAGAGATGAATGAAGGAAAAGATAAATGGTATGAAAGGATGAGAGCAGCTGACTTTGCTGAAGAAGCGTTTGGAGAAGATGCTATTGATGGAGCCAAATCTTTGCTGAGAAAGTATGACAACAATTGGGAAGATGGAAGATGGAGATACCTTTGCTGGGTTACTTTGGAATGGAGAGGCAGTTTCCTTTTGTTCCTTGTGGAAGTAGCTTAGCTTCTTTTGAGAATCCAAACTAAAACCTTGTTCAAAATGTTGACCAAAAGACTTGTGTAAACGTTATCTTAAAAGTTTTTTTATTGTGAAGTAGACCAAACTTTGAAAAGATTATATATCTTAAAACTGCTGAAGAATGTTGTAACCCAAGAGAAGTTCTTGTAGCTATTTCAGAACTAAAAGAAATAAAATTGAAAGATGAAACGAGTACATAAAAGGAGATGCAAGAAACAGAATTATGAAGACTGAAGTAGTTAATAATCTCTTTCTTTCCTTTTGCCTAGTTGCACTAAGCTTGGAACATAAGAAGAAGAACACACAAGTGGGACACAATATACGGACATACCAGGTTCCCCAAGATCCTTAGCTTCTTTAATATTCACAGATTTGTAATATCCATCTTCTCCAATGATGTGAGCTGTTTGGTAGCGACAACGTGTCGGTTTGTATCCGTCTAGATCGAAAACCACTGCGAGTTTCTTCTCCTCGTGAATGAAGAAACTCCCACTTTTATAGTCAAACTGAAAACCAGTGAGTGGTCTCATATCAACTCTCAGAAACTTGCTCCAGGACACGTCACTGTGCTCGATCTTAGTGGTAACCCAAATCTCCATCGTATCAAGAAGCCTCTTGCTCTGATGTAAAACCGAGAGCTTCTCTTCTCTAACGCAAGACAAAGCCACAGTGTCTCTGGCATAAGAGTGAAAAGGCAGAGGCAGACGTGGACCAAATCTCTCTCTTGTAAAATCAAAACATAGTAAGAAATCTTGAATCTCAAACTCCAGTCTTGTAGTTTTCTCTTGAGCGAAAAAGTAAGCGTTTCCCTTCAAAGACACACCACGTTGATAAGATTTGATATCCCAGTCTGGAGTGACATCAACAACTCTCCATGACTCCGAGGCGAGATCGAAGACTTGGTACGTAAGAGCGTGTTTTACGAGTCCGTCAGTGAATAAGTACTCATCTATAAACCTCAAGACTTTGTGGTTTCGGTTGTTGTTGTCGTAACCGAAAGCATACTGGTCTAATCTGCTGTAACTGTTTCTTGGTCGGATCTTCAAGAGTTGATTCATACAGGGGTTCCATACCAAGGGCCTCGAGTCTTTTGTGACAAGTAACAATAATCCCTCGCAGTAAAAGGTTTTCGATATCTCCATGTGATCAAGTACACTTACTTGGTTTATTACTCGATCAACGAAAGCTTCGTCGCTGTTGCGGATTCTTTCCAAATCGAACATCAAGGAACAAACCTTTGAATCCATCATCATGAACCCTAGAAACTGGTTCCTTGATGCTGACTTCGATAAAGCGTTCCAGTTTTTGCAAGTAGATCGCACTGATCTCTGAGATGTTAATCGAACCCTAGAGAGTACTCTCTTGCCAAATCCTCGGAAAGATCCGACATCTTCGCCATTGTTTTTGACTTTTGAGTTTTTAGGTTTCAACGATTAATCAAGGCTGTGTAACAAAAATTGTGATTTATCTCAAATCGGTTTAAATAACCGTCGTTATAATTTTACTTTCTATTTCTTTTTAAAATAGGAAAGTAGTCATTTTCTTTTTTTGTCCAAACCTATATCAACCTCCTCTGTTACTTTTGCTTCACGTTTCAAAAGACTTTGCTAGGTCTAAGCCGTTGATTTGCTAGCTTGACCTAATAATACGGGCTATCCTGCAGATTCTAACAAAACAGCATCTTTCTCTGAATTCTCTCACATTCGTCGCGGTATTGAAATAACACAGCGAGCTGCTCGTCTCCAACACAAGACATAGCTTTCTCTGTTTGGTCAACCAGCTTACAGTTATGGTTCTCTACTTGTTGGCTTTTCTCAACCTCTCAACATCCACCTTCATATCAATCTTCTTTTTAGTGTGATACATTTGATGTAGACAATACACACTCTTTTTCTATCAGAACCACAATCAGGCTCTCTCTGTTATTTTAAGAACACTATTATAGTCGGAGTAGTTTATTCCTAAATATAAGATCCTTTTATCATTTTATCCGTTCTCTCCGACCTGTGGAAAGACAGTCTTGTTCAAATGAAACTTTGGTGTAGAAAAAGAAGCAACAAAATACACAAGTAAATAGCTTAGTTTGATTATGTTATCTAAAGCCGGATTGATTATGCTATCTAAAGAAGCAACAAGATACAGAGATAGGGATGATGATGATGACAAACCCTCTTCTTCTGGCTTTTCAATCTTTCACGGTTCATAGCGAAACTCTTGTCCATCTCTTCCAGCTCGTGAACCTGATCGATGACAATGTGAGCATCAGCACGCGCGAGTTGAGACTCCAAGTCGCTTATCCTTTTCTTCAGACAAGAAGTGGCCTCCAGCTTGTAATCCTCCTCCAGCTTCTGCGATAAGGATAGCTTCATCGTTCAACTCGGGTTTGCTGAGCTGAATCCCTCACATAATTCTCAAAGATGGTCATGGGTTGCCGGTTGATTCTCCCAGAGTTCGGGGAACAGGCCGTTCCATTGGGATTTCAAGCATCGTAAGGATGTTTCTATCTTGGACGACGAGGTGGGACGGGCTCAGTTTGAGAGGCATCTCAAGGCTACTGGTTGTGTGCTGGAACGAGATGACAGAGCGTCACGCCTATATTGATATGGCCATGGTGAATGCTCATCTCGTTTACGGAGGGCAACACACAACCATCAGCCTTGAGATGCCTCTCAAACTGAGTCCGTCCCACCTCGTCGTCCAAGATAGGAACATCTTTACGATGCTTGAAATCCCAATGGAACGGCATGTTCCCCGAACTCTGGGAGAATCAACCGGCAACCCATGGCCATTTTTGAGAATTATGTGAGGGATTCAGCTCAGCAAACCGGAGTTGAACGATGAAGGAGATGATCGGGAAGCTATCCTCATCCCTGAAGGTATCGCAGAAGCTGGAGGAGGATTACAAGCTGGAGTTTGAGGCCGCTTCTTGCCAGAAGAAAAGGATAAGCGACTTGGAGTCTCAACTGGCGCAAGCGCATCCTGATGCGATGCTGGCATTGTCAGTGGTCGGGTTCGCGAGCTGGAGGAGATGGACAAAAGTTTCCTCTTTTTTTTTGCCGCGCCAACAATGTGTTCGCCTCGCATATCACTTCGTCAAAATTGTTTCCAGCAAAACCAGAACGAGCCCTGGCATGTCACCCACCAGAGCTTTCCCTTGCTGTTTCTCGAGCTGACATTGAGTAAGTCTCCTCCTGCTATTCAAAGCTGATGAGCCTGTATCCGGAATTTGCAGAGTAGAACCGCCTGCAATCAGACACGCCAAGTCAAAATAAGGTCTACTAACAAATTCAAAACCACAAAACAGGTAGTATTCGCATATGTACCTCGACGAACAGGAGCCTGATCCAAATCTATGAACGGAGCAGGAAAATCGTATGCCGAAGTAGCACAGTTCGCTTCTTCAAAACTTGATCGCATTTGATCCTATATGGTGCTTCTGCAAACACGTGGGAAAAACCAAAGGTTAAAACAACCAAGTACTTAGACGAACAATGATTAAGACAGAAACAGCTCTTAATCGTTAAACTAATTAAAACTAAAATTAATTCCCCCTGACCAACTGCGTCCGCCTAAGCTTTGGGGATCCTGTCAAAATCGAAATCCCCCACAGAAGCTTTGTCGATCGTGCGGTTATGGCCAGGAGAGGAGTAAAACGAGCCGGGAAAGCGATTGTTCCCCTTCATTGAGCAAAGCTGGTGGAATTCGTCGATCCAAAACATAACCCCTGCTCGCACAACAATACTTTGAGCGCGATTAGGGTCCGCGGACAGATCTGAGGGAGCGCGATCTTTAGATTAGCCATGATCTCCACGAGAAACGGAGGGAGGCCGCCGACTCATGCTTCCTCGGAGTGGTGATCTTCACTCCATACAGAGCCTTGAGGTCTTTGATTTCATCTGAGGTGATCTTAGATCTCTCGTGAGGACCATACTTCTTTTGACAACGTTTTTTCGCAGCCGCAGCAGTTGGACGTGTTTCCGCCATAAAACTCGAAAGCAACTAAAGCTTAACTCATTTTCGAAAAAAACGGATTCAAAACAAAACAAATAACTCTTTGCAGAAAGAAGACAATTTTTTCTCGAAAACATGTAAACAAAAAAAAACATAAATAAAGAACTTAAAGCAAGAAGAATGGAAAGAAGAAATTACTTTGGGAAGAGTAGCGGAGACGTGCACAGTTAAGGAATTGTAAGATAGTGGGTTAAATATAGCAATAAGTGTTGTTACCAAAATCGAGAGAAAAATCTTTTTCTCTTCATCTCAATCGTCTATCTCATGTAATTAAAGATCCGATTCTCAAGATACGCATGATTTAATCCGAGAGCTATCTTATTTCCAACTACTAAAAATCCCCAAAAAAATCCTTTAAATTCGAAGTTATCCGTATATTCTTTTTGCTTCAGGATTTCGAAACTATCCGGAATTTCTCTAAAATAAAATATACAAAAGTTTAAAATTCTTGTATGAAATATTAGTTTTCCTGCTTTCTGCTTATCAAGTATTAAAGTAGGAGATCGAGTAAAAACTGTTCAATGGAGATCACCGAGAATCTGGAGAACGAACACCCAATATCATGCTGTAGCTGGAAGCCGAAGTGGATATATATAAGGCAACTAGGGCAAATGGAGGCGGATCATCTTTTACTCATTCTCTTATTCTCTTGTATGCTTAAGAGCTATCGCATTACGAATCTTCTCTGTAAACACATTTCTCATTGATATAAATTCATTTGGTAGATTTAAGTCATATCTCTTATTTGGTTCATTGTGGGATTTTTACCTACTTTTTTCTCATCTCTTCATTCACTCAAAATACTTAGGATGTGGGCATTGTATCTTACAATCATAAACGTTTCTGTATTTTACATAAAACAGTTAATTTCCAGTTAATTTAGCAATAGATATTTAGAGACTCGGTATTAGCTCCACAAAACTCACTTGTAGTGTATAAGATGAACTAGATGGACCCATACTTATCCAAACATGGATTAATAGGTTCTACACATGACTATGAGGACAAACATGAGTGAAACGGTCTCAATCCAAGGGAGGAACATCAAATGGACCTAATTTGGGAACCGGAAGAGGTAAGGAGTCCGAAATGTACCTCTGTGACTCCACATTGTGGAAACTCACTTGTAGTGTATAAGATGAACTAGATGGACCCATACTTATCCAAACATGGATTAATAGGTTCTACACATGACTATGAGGACAAACATGAGTGAAACGGTCTCAATCCAAGGGAGGAACATCAAATGGACCTAATTTGGGAACCGGAAGAGGTAAGGAGTCCGAAATGTACCTCTGTGACTCCACATTGTGGAAACTCACTTGTAGTGTATAAGATGAACTAGATGGACCCATACTTATCCAAACATGGATTAATAGGTTCTACACATGACTATGAGGACAAACATGAGTGAAACGGTCTCAATCCAAGGGAGGAACATCAAATGGACCTAATTTGGGAACCGGAAGAGGTAAGGAGTCCGAAATGTACCTCTGTGACTCCACATTGTGGAAACTCACTTGTAGTGTATAAGATGAACTAGATGGACCCATACTTACCCAAACATGGATTAATAGGTTCTACACATGACTATGAGGACAAACATGAGTGAAACGGTCTCAATCCAAGGGAGGAACATCAAATGGACCTAATTTGGGAACCGGAAGAGGTAAGGAGTCCGAAATGTACCTCTGTGACTCCACATTGTGGAAACTCACTTGTAGTGTATAAGATGAACTAGATGGACCCATACTTATCCAAACATGGATTAATAGGTTCTACACATGACTATGAGGACAAACATGAGTGAAACGGTCTCAATCCAAGGGAGGAACATCAAATGGACCTAATTTGGGAACCGGAAGAGGTAAGGAGTCCGAAATGTACCTCTGTGACTCCACATTGTGGAAACTCACTTGTAGTGTATAAGATGAACTAGATGGACCCATACTTACCCAAACATGGATTAATAGGTTCTACACATGACTATGAGGACAAACATGAGTGAAACGGTCTCAATCCAAGGAGAGGAAAAGGATCAAATGGACCTAATTTGGAACCGGAAGAGGTAAGGAGTCCGAAATGTACCTCTGTGACTCCACATTGTGGAAACTCACTTGTAGTGTATAAGATGAACTAGATGGACCCATACTTATCCAAACATGGATTAATAGGTTCTACACATGACTATGAGGACAAACATGAGTGAAACGGTCTCAATCCAAGGGAGGAACATCAAATGGACCTAATTTGGGAACCGGAAGAGGTAAGAGTCCGAAATGTACCTCTGTGACTCCACATTGTGGAAACTCACTTGTAGTGTATAAGATGAACTAGATGGACCCATACTTATCCAAACATGGATTAATAGGTTCTACACATGACTATGAGGACAAACATGAGTGAAACGGTCTCAATCCAAGGGAGGAACATCAAATGGACCAAATTTGGGAACCGGAAGAGGTAAGGAGTGAAATGTACCTGTGACACATACTCTGTGAAACTCACTTGTAGTGTATAAGATGCAGATGGACCCATACTTATCCAAACATGGATAATAGGTTCTACACATGACTATGAGGACAAACATGAGTGAAACGGTCTCAATCCAAGGGAGGAACATCGACCTAATTTGGGAAGGAAGAGGTAAGGAGTCCGAAATGTCCCTTGTGACTCCACATTGTGTGAAACCACTTGTAGTGTATAAGATGAACTAGATGGACCCATACTTACCAAACATGGATTAATAGGTTCTACACATGACTATGAGGAAAAACATGAGTGAAACGGTCTCAATCCAAGGTAGGAACATCAAATGGACCTAATTTGGGAACCGGAAGAGGTAAGGAGTCCGAACTGTACCTTTGTGACTCCACAGTGTGGAAACTCACTTGTAGTGTATAAGATGAACTAGATGGACCCATACTTACCTAAACATGGATTAATAGGTTGTCCACATGACTATGAGGACAAACATGAAGTGAAACGGTCTCAATCCAAGGGAGGAACATCAAATGGAACTAATTTGGGAACCGGAAGAGGTTAGAGTCCGAAATGTACCTCTGTGACTCCACATTTGAGGAAACTCACTTGTAGTGTATAAGATGAACTAGATGGACCCATACTTATCCAAACATGGGTTTAAATAGGTTTCTAGCACTGAAATGACTATGAGGACAAACATGAGTTGAAAA